TTTGTTGAACCTGAATATGTTTAGATTATAGGGAAGTGCAGTGTTGAAAACGGTAATATTTTGACGCTGCGTTATCTGTAGTTGCGGTCTTGATAACGAAAACTGTAACACAAATCTCAGGGGGTGCACGTTGCCCCCCCCCCCCCAATCAAATCACGAAGAGAGACAGAGAGACAGAGACAGAGACAGAGACAGATACAGAGAGACAGAGATTAGGGGATCGAAAGCGGAACGGAAGTGATCCCCTCTAAGGCCTTTAAAAAAAAAATTAAATTGGGTCAGAATTTTTTTCTTCTTTTCCTCGTTGGGCTGATATTTCTCAGTTCTGATTTTTTTTTTCTTCTTAAAAAAGGTTAATTTTTTTTTTTTTTTTTTAAAGGCCGACCGTAGATTTCACGATTTTGGGGTCGGTCGCAAATGGCAATACAACATTTTTTTTAACGCCTAATCACTGGCCCCGACAGTTTGATTTTCATTAATCGAGTTACTGTATACAGTGCCACCCCCCCCCCCCCCGATTCCGGTGCCCCTTGATGTCTGGACCCATGCACGCTATATCACTAACTTCAATTATACAGTCATATTATATGACGAAATGTACCATATACAATGCAGTTGCATGGGTTGTTCTTTTATGTTGTTAACTCGGCAGAGGCACGGTCATGTTCAAGCATTTACGCTTACGACATGTGGTCTCCTGCTTTTTCCTTTTGTATGTAACTTTTATTTTAACTAGAAACAAATTTTGTCAAACTTACATGTTATTCATCATATTTATTTGTATGTTTCTTTGTAGTGATATGAAAAAGTGGAAATAAAACAAAACAAACAAAACAAACAAACAATATATTGAACCATTTGAGTCAGTCACCAAGAAGGAGGAATTAAGTGTTACGTATTTGCTGTAAAATGTCATTAAGTGATGAATTACAGCAGAACTGTAATATGATGATATTTTTGGAGGAATTTTGTAATACTTTTCCTCTAGTGTAGTTGTTTGAATACAATAATAATTTGCACAATTATCAAACTACCGATATATTTCACATTTTAGAAATTAAATCGGCCTTGTTTCTTAGTATATAGTTATCGCTATCGTTATTGGAAACGTAGGACACTAGGGCTTAAAGCTTAATCTTACAAAGCGAATTTTAAACCTACGTTTTTTATCAGTCATTAGGGAAACAAGGTCATGCTAAGATTGCATTGTTTCGTTGATAAATTATCGTTCTGTATATAATATCTGGTGCAGTTTCTTGATTGTTTCATTTTTTACCATTAATGTCATCTCCATCGTCAATTTCACCCTCTTTAAGAAATGTATAACTATCATGATTACACAATTATATTTTGTATGATTTCAAACGATTACTGTTGTACATTATGTAGTTCCTAAATAGGCTATGCACCTTAATTTTTTTTAAATAGATTACGAGAACTTGAACTTCAAAACTTTCTTAAGCATTAAACATTAACTGAAAATACGATTGAAATTGACCTCTGCTTATTTATCTTTGAGGACTAAAACTTTTCTTCAATCAGATTGTTCGTAGATGACGTCATGCATGCGCGCGCAGCCAAAAGTAAATCTTGTTTGATATAAAGAATAGATAAATTAGACAAGAATTTTAAGTACTTTTAAGGATTTTAAATTCAAATTCTTATGATGGTGCATGTCTTAAATTTAGAAGTTTTTGTAATCGGTTTAAAAATCTCTTGGACTAAAAAAATAAAATACTTCGGACTTGAAAATAATTAATGGCGTACTTCTGGTTGCTGATTTATTATGATTAACCATGTGATTGAAGTGTCTGTTTTAAAAGCTCACATGCATGCAGCTACTGCCTTGGACATGTAATTATTCCAGACTTTCACTTTTGCTTTATTGTTAATGACATTTGCCCTTAAAGTGGATTCACTTAAAATAAAGTCATTTTGCAAGATGACAGCCCTTTCATACTCGAAACCTCATAAATCCTTTTATATAAGAATACAAGACCGAGCAAGCGATCTTTATTTACTGGGTGCAAGACAAATTTCTTTACAAAAAAAAATTATACCTCTGTATCATACACAACCAAGGAACTTCATCCAGAGTTCATGGTGTCGTGCTGTGTGTGTCGCTCTCTCCCTTGCTAACACGCTTTCTCTCTCTCTCTCTCTCTCTCTCTCTCTCTCTCCCTCTCTCATAAGTGTTAAATTATTGAAAAAGTTTTTATAAACTTTAAACAAAACAAAACTAGAAAATAATATAACTGATTAATTACAGATTCTTGTGATGGCTATAGAAGCCCTTTTAGAAGATTCTGGTAAGTTAATTACTTTGGAAAGTGGACTATTCAACTTTTCACTTCCCATAACTGGTGGATTTATGAGATGGGGGCAGGGTTCTAATAGAAGTTTTAAAATGCAAAAATATGCATACTCCAAATTTGTTGTTGTTGAGGTGATGACCTTGTTGTAATATTTCAATGCATCAAGCAATCCAGAATAACATTCCATTTTAAAGCTGTCTCTTTGTACTTTCAGAACTTCATTAAGCAACACAACAAATAATATGTACAATAAACAAGTTTTTATTTAAAACTCTTCTATTTTTACACATTTACAAACAACATTTACAACTTTCTAAATGATCATTCAGGAAAAGCAATAGCACAAGTAATAACTTAGAAGTGAAATTGAATGAAGCTTCTGTACCCTCTTAAATAGTCCAACCTAACATAATGACATTATTAGGTGTGGTACAAGGGGTCAAGATATAAAGCTCATGACGAGTGTGTTTCCTTTTATAGTTTAAAGCCATTTTTTATTACATTTTAGCAAAATTAACGACTGGAATTAAGAATAATTTTATTCTCTTCCATCACTCAGGATGTGTGTATTTTGTACTTTAACAGGTTACAACTAGTTTCATCTCCAATTTAATAACATATATACAAATTAATATTTTTAAAAAAAAACAGCTAATAAGACAAGAGAGAGTATTTTTTATCAAACCTGTCAAGGTCTATGAATTATAGGCATATTGCATCCTATCTACTTATCAACAATTCAGTGCTAATAAACCATAGTGCTTCAAGTGCAGACAAAACAAATGAATTAAAGCATTACATATGCCTAGCAAATAATAATAAAACAATACTTTCATCTTGGACACTTAAAGGCCTTCTCCGATGAAAATAAAACTATACAGAGTTTGTTCTCCCTCTCCCCTCAATATTTTCATCATCATTTTTTGTTAAATTTCAGTGTCAACTTTATCATTGATTTTTGCCTAATATTTTATTTCATTGAAGACCATCTCGGAACTGAAAATATGAAATGGATAAATCATATATCAAACTAATATTAGGCAAAAGATCGATCATAAAGGAGACACTGAAATATATGAAAATAAAGATGAAAATATTGAGGGGAGAGGGAGAAAAAATTCTGTCAGAAAATATCTACAAGTGCAAAATTTAAGTTGCTGCTTATAACGTCCCTATTTTCACGAAGTGACGGTAGTGAGGAAAATCGTAATGCAAAGTGAATGCAATTTTTTTTCACTACCGTCACTTCGTGAAAACAGCGACAATAAGTATCGGCTTGCATGGTGTAGATATACAGTATCCAATCCTCCCCCCTCTCTCACATGGTACTACCATATTAAAGCCTACTGTATAAGTTATCAAATATATACTAACTGTGATTTTATTTTCTAATGCACAAAACAGAAATATTAAAGCAACTGAAAGAAAGCAGTTTCGCCATATCGAGGAAGCAAGCATAAACACATGAATAAGGAAGCGATCATAATCTTTAGGGCGAATACCATATCGCCTTTCAAAAAAAATGGCAGGGTTCAGGGGGATTAGAAACAGGATGCTCCCAGCTAACTTGGGCGTTTCGTTGCTCTTATTATTATTATGCCGGTGGCATGTTTTGGAACTTTATAGTAAGATATCACATTACCTTCCTCAAATCTGGTTATTGTTTTTTAGGTGATATTCCTTGACTTTTCCCAAATATTCCAATAATAATAATATTCCGCTTTTATATAGTGCTTAATACAATGTCTCTAAGTGCTTTACAGATATGCTATTACCCCGGTCATTGGATTCACTGCTTGCCCACACACACTGTGTGCACATTCTCCACTTCCTGGGGAGCATTCCCGCCAGGCGTTACTTGACGCTCAAAAACTGTTCGACTGTTTCATGGTCGCATCCTACGGGGTACCCATTTAACACCTGGGTGGAGAGTAGCAAGTGCAGGTTAGAATCTTGCCAAAGGATATTAGTGCCATGCCCGGATTCGAACCCTCGACCTTCGCATCTCCAGTCAAGCGCCTTAAACCACTCAGCCGCGACACTTTTGAGAGGGGGAAATGGGGTCTCCATGTTCCAATTAGTGTTAAGCTATTTGAATAATTTGAATACTGCGTACTAGTATTCAAATATTGATCCTAGGCCTAATCAATATTGGCTGAACAGGTACAATATTTGACCTACATGCAACTATACCTAACTGTCAATGCCTCATATGATTTAAGTCTTGGATACTTCCAGAAATTCAGGAAGGCCCAACTACACGCACAAGATGTTACTAGCATTATATTACACCTGACCTGTATTAAAGGGTGTTAGCATTTTTTTAATTCAAAGAATAGAAATGAGGCCAATATCTAATAAACTCTTGCTCTCCCACAAAAAATAAAAAATAAAATAAAATTTAAGAACCTCCGCCTCCGACCCAATGCTATTTTTTTAGAAACAGCATAGCCCATCTTTCTGATTTGCACATTATAAGTCCATTCTCTCTACAGCTGCAGCTACTACTCTGTTTACTAGTTATGAATAGTAGTACTGGTAAAAGAACCAACATATCAAGGGTTCAGTGACACAAAGACGTAACTCCATATTTTGCCAAAATGAGAATTTGATATCAAAATGTTCAGAAAAATGTGGGCTTTCCAGGAAACACAAAGACTTAACTCCACTCAACACCCCATTGAGTCAATGGCTAGTGAAACATAGACTTAACTCCTTAAGGCCCAAATGCTCAGTGACACATAAACCAGTTTTTCTCAAAATGGAGTTATGTCTTTGTGTCACTGGCCCCTAGATATCTTGTTGACAAGCAGTATGAAACACCTACTAATGCTAACATACAATGAACATTTGTACCGGTAGGTCATTTTAAAACATTGTCTTTCTATCTTTGAGTAACCATAAGCTGAATAGGCATCATATCGATTGGTACCAGATACATTGTACGGAACACCCTCTGACTGAACGGCCCATACTCAAAATGCTTTGAAAGTGTGTTAATATAGACGGTCTTTGCATATTATTGAGAAAATCTCTGACATATTCCATATAAATGTACGGCAAGCAAATTATCACTCACTTAATCACAATTACTTTCACTGTACCATTAATACAATGTTAAATATGTTTTAATAACCTGTCATATCGGATAATGGATGAATCAATAAATATATAATATGGTAATACCTCTATACTTTTCTGCATCTGTACATACATAGTTGAATTTGGATAAGTAGCTTATCTATTTAAATATCATCTGCTGGGATCTACAAAGCTCTTATAATACTTCATTGCATTTATGCCCCATGCAGACAATATAATGAATGATTTTATAGATACAGAATACCATTTTTTCATAAAAATACATGTATGTAAATATTCATCTACTGAAATAAATTAGCAGCATCTAGGCAGTCTAAACAGAATTGATAATTAATTTGTAGCAAAATATCTGAGTTTACTAGTTTCTGTAAAAGAAAATGTCAGAAGTTGCCTATAAGATGTAAGGGTGTAGCTGTTCATTGGGTAGATTAGTGGTCATGAGACATGGTTTGGCTATTTCCATGGTGAAGAACGATTTGTATTTGAAGTCATAGAAGAAGATGATCTTGACGACAGGATCTTTGCGTTAGGGTCAGGGTTAGCTTGAGGTGTGGCACGGCTCAATCGACCTGGAAACAGACATATCAATGAAATACTCGTTTGGAGGTGAGCACTTACATAGACCAAAGCACCAAAATTCTCTTTTCATTACTTTATTGTATGTAAATGTAAACCCATAAAAATGGCTGAACTCAAAGGGCAATAAGGATGAAAACAAATAAATACATAAACACAAATTGTTAAACAACATAACAAATTAGTTTGCCCCAAAAGCTCAACCTCTAAAATCTTCATTCAATTACTGTTGACAAATGGTTATTCATGAATATTAAATGTTAAATATACTTATTTATAAAAGAATCAAAGATTTAGTCTAATCATTTATGAACTTCTTGAGGTCCTTGTAACAATAAATTTCATGGTTGTTTTTCAAAGGATTAGTCAGAGAAGAAAAACAACTAGAAAAATAGAGAAAATGCAATGGAAACTTACTTCCACTATCCTTTGGAATGAGGCTTTCATCCAGTTGATTACTCAGATTTTCCAGATGTAGAAAAAAAATACAACAGTCAAGGAAGAGAAACATGTTTACAACTATACGCTGATCTGATTAAGCATCTAAAATATCTAGCACCATCTATCCACCCTAGTATAGGGGCTTATTTATTGTCAGGTAGACTACTTTCATTTTGGAGGAATGTATAAAAGGTCAAGCATGTGCTTTATGAGGAAATATTTTAATGCTGGAGAGACAAGCACAACATCATATGAAGAAGAAAAATGCATTTTGAGGTTTTCATTTATTGAAGAGACTTAAAAATCAAAGATAAACAGAGCGTTAAAAGGAACCACTAGTGGAGGGAATATATACCTACATACAACAGAAAATGAATAAGGAACAGATGAAATAATGATACAACGAAGCACATGATTAAAGAAAGGCAAGAAGAAACAAAAGGGGGGAAATTAAGTGCTTCTTGTATCATCCAAAATCTTACTCTCTTCAAATAAATTAGATTTTAAAAAAATATCACAATTTCTGGTCATTGATCAATATGTAAAGGATATCATCTGCCATGAAGGTGGTTTTGTCAGCTGGTATCTGGGGCGGGGTCTTTACTTTCAAAACCTTCTTTGAAGACCTGGATGTTTGGGGTGGAGGTGGTCTGCATGAGGGTGGAAGGGTCCCTGTGATCAGACCTTTGGGGAACTTCTGTGCTGCTACCTTCAAACCTAAAGATAATAATAAAACATTGATATGGATATGTATTCTATTGAAATTTTCTTTTCTTGCTACAGTGAACCAGTGTATAAGGAAGATAAACCTGTTAATAAAAGAGAAACAAGAGAAGCAGTCTTCATAAGCTTGGGGTCTTTATGTCCAGGTTCCTTAAGTACACTTTTCAATGGGAAACACTATTCAAGGGATACAGAAAATGTAGTCTTTATAGACGGGTGCTTTCTAAAGCAGTTTTCTCTGTAACAACATTGCAAAACTTATTTATGAATTTCTATCATTCTTAAAGATTTTTAAATAGTCATAGGTATGACTGAAGAAAAAAATTCTTACAGGTTTCAAGAGTAACATGATGATACACATAAAAAGTGGCACAGTGGATCAACCCTTGGTTATTTAAAAAAAAAAAAAAAAATCAATTTGCCTTGTTTTCAGAAACAATTTCACATCATCTCAATGACAAACACTTGGGAGTTGTTACTGTATGCAGTGATAGATGTAGAAAGTAAGAAAACAAGTTTTTATTGTAAGGTTTCATTCATATCAATGACAAATCAACAAATATTCAATAGAATAAAAGACCCATTCATTTTAGTAACAATAACTTTAAGTAACAATGAAATGAAAATTGTAGTTTCACCACATACACAATACTACAGTCATTACAACAATTCAGAAACATATATTTACTCATTATCAACAATGTGCTATCGATCACAAAGAATAAACTTTACAAATATATTTCAAATGATTTACAACAGGGAACTTGGAACTAATAACTTTCTTTTTAACCGCTGAGAGCTACTTGGCCATCAACGACAAAGAGATAATGCCAATCTGGCTCTCAACAGACAATGTGTTTGTTACTTATGTCGGCACATTTGACTACAAGAACTTTGTACAGAATATCACTTACCTCCTGATAGTAAAAATACATTGTCAAATCCTCTATCTACAAACGTGGTTGCTGCTGTGGTCGATATCCTTTCATCCTCATCGTATATTACGATGATCTTTCCTGGTTTGTTTCGCTGAAATCAGCAGCTCAGGAAAATACAAACACTTTTCTTGTCTTTTGTTTCATCATATAACTTGGTAGGACGAATAATGAGAACCAAGAAGGGGAAGCAATTTAACCTTAATTTGAAATATAAATTTAAATCAACTGAAAAGGGCTGAATATCAATTCCCAATACTCCAAATAAGTTTCCGGTAATAACTTTCACCACATACTAATCAACGGTTTCCAAATCACATGATCGGGATATGTGCAAAGGGAATTATTTACATGATTAGGATGTCTATCATTTTGAGATTCAGGAAAGTATAAATCAGCTTTGAACCATAGGGAAGTATACGGTACTTATATATTTTTTTTGTCCAAAAATTGTAGTCTCTTTACTAACAATCTATTTCAAAATTTGCATTTTTGTCCTCTTTCAAATTTTATCAGAATAGGAACATTATCTTTTAATAACAGGTATATCTCCTTTGCCAATTGATGACGGAGTTCTCAGGTTAATGTCCAAATAACAACAAACATGCATGTGCATCTAGATATAAATACTTTACAAATTTAGTATATATACAGGAATTCATGATGCCACAAAATGAATAATGCAGAGAGTACAGTGATGCTCATCATTCTGGTTCACACACTTCCAAACAGCTATTGTTAATAATCACAAAATACTTCTCTTAAACTACTTGTTATAAAGGATACAAAGTTTAAGATGTTCTTTGTAAAGTTGTTGACTGCTCTTGATAACATTGCTGTGGGATAGCATTCCGCTGCAAAGTGAAATAAAGAAAAACATGCTTTTATCGGGTAAATAGCTTAAAACACTGATAACAAATCTAATCAAACAGAAAATGGTATGAAATTTCCATCACGTTTTCTGCACAATCTTTAAAGTGAACCGGTAACATTGTTGAAGGTTGATGAAAAAACTACGTAATTTTTAGATGAAATGTTACTTATTATATTTCTTCTACTGTACTAACCCTCTAACATGCAAAAGATCCTGGAAAAATTGTCAAACCTCAAAGATATATATGGTTTCCTTTGAAGGCGTCACTGTGCAACACCCTCTAAAAGTAAATTCTCCCAAACGTTTTCCCATGAAAAAAGGACATAAAACAGGCTTTTTAAAATCTTTCAACACTTAAATGTTTGAAATGGTATACAGAGCCAATTCATTGCTTTGTGAGGATTTACATTCACCTCAAATTTAATGGAATTATAATAGTTGAGAGAAATCAGGAATTGATCAGATCAGTGTTTTTCAATTGTTATTATTAATAATGGTCTGTTTCTACTCAAACTTTGAGATTTTTAAATGTACATGTAGCATTGAATTCACTACCTTAGCACCAATTTCTCTCATCTGAATAATGTTAACAAGTCCCTTTAAGAGTACTGGTGTCAAAAATGACAAAATGCACTTGAAATTTTGTTTCTAAATAGCAATAAATGAACAGCCCTTGTTTATGACATGATACATAACTGAAACTCCTATGAGGTTTCAGAGCCTCAAAGTTCTGCTGACGTCTGAATGCTATTTTCATGGCTTTGAGTGGGGGAGGGGGGGGGGGGAGGGGGGAGTGTCAATTACCTGTTATGATGTGGCACTGTTGATATATATCTTTATCCCTCAAGTCAAGTAGAAGATAAGGACAGTCTGGTTCTTGTTCTGTTGCATCTGACCTAGGTGTTGGATCATCCACGTACTCTCCTGACAGATCAAACTCTCCTACGCCTGCTATCACACTGTACAATGTACACAACATAAAGAATCATATATATGGAGTGTCTAAAAAAATGAAATGAAATTTGGATTGGCAATATCTCAAACCGTACTTAACCATCATTAGGTACTGTTGTAGTACCATATCTCAGATTTTATCTATAACTATAAAGACATGATTGCTTTGAAAGACATTACATTACAAAGAGAGCATGTTAAACAGCATAAGTGTACACTATTATAATATACCTGTCACTTTTTCACTTCATGACAAACCTTCCAATTGAAGTCATTCTAACTTCTTGGAATCACCAGTGCCACATTTTAGATTGATATTTCATTTGTAAAATGAATACATTCCAAGATGCTTTTTTTGTGTGAATGATTTCAGGATTGTTTTCAAGTGATAATGTGTGCTGCAAGATTTCCATAAAACAAAAATTTGGGGACCTTAAAAAGTTAAGCCGTTGACTAATTTTTTTGTACAAACAAACACATTTGATTGCATATATAACTGAAAATAATGGTACCAAGATATATATAAGAATGCTATAAAATAGTTACATCAAACTATATACAGTTTAGGTGATACATAAATGAATAAAATGTTGTTGCTACACTGTACTTCCAAATTAACTATATACAGTCTAGGTGATACATCAATAAATGAATAAATATGTTGTTGCTTCACTGTACTTCCAAATTATTACACAATTTAAAGAATAAATTGACTACTAAAATTGAGTGTACAATACATGCAGGCCTGTCACTCAGTTGTGAGTACAATATCACATAAGGAGAAGGTAAGTTAGGCATAATAGTTGATGATGAATTTGATATTACAAGGGAAATGGTTACAGATCAAGAGATAAAGAAAAAAATGTCATAAACATGACCTAGATTCACATTATAAAGTACAGTTAGTGGTGGTACCATATTATGTCGTAGAAAATATATCTCAGTGAAATTAAGGAAATGAGTATTTGGTAGCATCAATCATGCAAGTAAAAGCACTTAGGTGAAGAAAAACTTAAAACGAAATTGGACACTCAGTACAGTTCACTGTACACTAATAATCCTTTAAGTATAAGAATGATAAAGAAACAGAAACAACAAAAAACTGAATGTGTGAAGGTACAAAATACATTGTGCTATCTGAATCACAACAGGGAAGAGATACCACTAGTTTGCTTTCAGTATAACATTACTTCAAGTCTAACATACATTGGGGTGAAAAATCATTTTAATACCTGCTAATTTTATATTTAGGTGAAAACAATGCCTTATCTTTCCTCTGGGTGTATTTCATTTCCCTTGGGAAGGGAAGGAGAGAATATAACTTGTGATTAATACTCTGCATTCAAACGCATTTGAACATACAGTCAATCCTGTCTATAGCGACCGCCCAAGGGAAACAGGTTACTTTAGCACATGATTCAATGAGAAACCATTTTTAAGGGAAACAACAAATGTGGCCTTTGTAGACAGGTGGTCTCTGTAGACAGGTGGTCACTGAAGCAGGTTTGACAGTATTTGGACACAATTTTATTCAACAATCAAATAATTGCCCCAAAACAATAGCCCTTATCAGGCAGGTGTTTTTTAGTGATACAAAAATATTAAGTTTATTCACCAGATTATTTGCTAAATGAAATTGTGAAAATCAAAGGAATATATTAGTAGCGTACGGTTATTGGGAGATCGAGGTTAAAATTATGTTCAAAGGAATATAATAGTAGCGTACGATTATTGGGAGATCGAGGTTAAAATTATGTTCAAAGGAATATAATAGTAGCGTACGATTATTGGAAGATCGAGGTTAAAATTATGTTCAAAGGAATATAATAGTAGCGTACGATTATTGGGAGATCGAGGTTAAAATTATGTTCAAAGGAATATAATAGTAGCGTACGATTATTGGGAGATCGAGGTTAAGATTATGTTCAAAGGAATATAATAGTAGCGTACGATTATTGGGAGATCGAGGTTAAAATTATGTTCAAAGGAATATAATAGTAGCGTACGATTATTGGGAGATCGAGGTTAAAATTATGTTCAAAGGAATATAATAGTAGCGTACGATTATTGAAAGATCGAGGTTAAAATTATGTTCAAAGGAATATAATAGTAGCGTACGATTATTGGGAGATCGAGGTTAAAATTATGTTCAAAGGAATATAATAGTAGCGTACGATTATTGGGAGATCGAGGTTAAGATTATGTTCAAAGGAATATAATAGTAGCGTACGATTATTGGGAGATCGAGGTTAAAATTATGTTCAAAGGAATATAATAGTAGCGTATGATTATTGGGAGATCGAGGTTAAAATTATATTCAAAGGAATATAATAGTAGCGTACGATTATTGGGAGATCGATTGTTCAAACAGGATGGTCCGATTCTCCAATCATCTGTAGTACCGGTATATCCCATTTTCTCCTCATCTATCATTCCGATTCCTTCAACCTCTATAGATAGAGAGCATCTGCTCTGCAATAAATCAAAGTCTTCTCAAAGCCGTCCTTCACCAGGATGCAAGGGCTGACTGAATGAAACTGAAATATGAGGTTTTACATGTAAATCGCTTTTCAGCCTTTTTTTCCTTATCACCATTCAAATCTGCATTTGATCGATGACATTTGAACCTTTCGTTCAGCGATACATGTTATTGCTTGGTATTATGATCAACAGAGGCACGGGTGGTTAATTTTTTTCCTTCCGTTTTTCTAAATAAATTTTAAAATAAAATACATAATGCTTTCTTTAAAAAAAACGTATCCTGTTCAAGTCCATATTTCATAAAAAGGTTACAATACATTTTGAGTGGATTGTAAAGTCTCCTACCTTTGAAGTGTTGATCTTGATGTTAAGGGTTGTTCTGGTTGTCCCCCAAAGTCCCCTTCTGTTAAGGCAAGCGAAGGGACAGGACTCTGGCCATCCCCACTACCACCATTCATGTTTAGATCGGTCGTTTCTGGTCTTTCTGCTTCTACAATCATGGAAGGGGATAAAGGATGTATGTCAAATACTATAGAAAACAACTTAAATGTACTACATGAAGATAATGAAATGAAGTTACTAGAAGGGTATTCAAAGTAGAGCAGAAAATATTTCATGACCAGTAGCATCTTCTGAATTTAACACCATAATGATAAAAATACTTTTGTAATATTAATATAATTTTTGTTTGTTAATCATGAAAAAAAAAAATATATATATATATGCCTCAAAATTTTGTAACTCAGGATCTGACTGTCATTTTACATATATGAAAATAAATAAAAATTAATGTCAGATAAAATGACAAAATTTCAATTACTATATCAATAATAACATGCTTGCAAATGGATTGTTTGTGAGCATTCTTTTTGTTATTTAAAATCAAAATGCCTAGATTTGGGCAATATGTTTTCTAGTCTTATCTAATCAATATCATAAACAAATTTGAAGAGAGAAAAAAAAGCTATGATTGAATTATAGTATCCAACTAATCATGTTCTCTGGAAATTATCCTTCAAAGTAAAATGTTCAGTTTAAAAATTAACTTAAGTTTGAATTTCAAGAAGATATTTCATTGAACGTCAATTGTGATTGAAGTAATGTAGGTTGAAGTGGGACAAACCTGAAAAACTTCTCATCCTTGACTGCTGCCTTTCATTCTGCCTGATAGTGTTTACTTGTAAAACCTGACAGACAAGAAAGAGAGAGAGATAGGAAATACCTGAAATGAGCTTCCCCTATCACCTAGCAACCAGGCAGAGTGATTGTGACACCAATACATGCCGCCGTCAGCTGTGCAACTAGAAGCTTTAATAATAAATGTCATCCATAAAAATGATTGCACATAAATTGACGGATGCAATATAGAGCTGCAGTGTGAGATTATAGTAACAGAGTGATTTACTGCAAGTAGCCTGCGGATGCGGGATGGATGCATAACGATATTGAGTACACCATACAAATAACAAAATAACTGTTAAGATTTTTTCTTAACACTTACATTTTACAACTGAATTATTCCTACCCCTTGTAAATTTGATGTTTTTAGTTTTTGTGTAACTCATGAAAAAAAGGTAAACTGGTTGAATTGGGGCCTTTAAAGTTTGTTTAGATGTAAGCTTTAATTGCATCATTCTCAAGGAACATAAATCGGGACAAATCAATTTTTTTACATACAGTACGTACAAAATTACGAAACTTGGTAGTAAAGGTATAAATAATTTTATTAATTTTGTTAATGGTATATTATGTAAAGGAATTGTAGTTTCTTTTACTGAGTGAATCATATAACCCTTCCACAATAAAGGTACTGAAAAAACTATTAAAAACATTAATAAGTACACACACAAAAAAAGTTCTCTGTTGAAAGCCAGAAGTGTGTAAACTCTGTGTGAATGGTTGGAAGGTAATGCCCTTTTGGCTCTCGGCAGAGGATTTATTGCCTAAAGTCATAAAGGCAGAAGATTTTTAGAGTGAAGCAGTCCTTGAGGGACAACAAATACTTGCCACTTGTCTGCTTTATCTGTAGATACAGAGGTATTCATGGCGCCTTCGCAACAATAACTTACACAAACCCTGATCAAATACAGATCCTTTCTCTTGATTCGAAAGGTAATTTCATCATGAACATTTGTATCATGACATAAAGCTAGGAAGAGAGACAAAAGAGGAAGGAAGAGAGGGGGAGAGGGGGGAGAGGGGGAGAGAGAGGGGGAGAGAGAGGGGAGAGATAGGAGAGAGAGAGAGAGAGAGAGAGAAAGATGGGGAAGAGGGAGAGAAGCTAATGAAGATGACAAAGTAAAAACAGAAGAAACGGTCACTAGAAAGAGAGAGAGAGAGAGAGAGAGAGAGAGAGAGAGGGGGGGGGGGGTCAGAGATAGAAGGAGAGAGAAATGAAATAAGAGGGCAAGGGATAGCGGAGAGATTACAATTTACCATCTCACTCAGCATTTCAGTTCAATTCTAGTAAAGTATCGCCCAACACAAAAATTACCTTGTAACTGTTTTTAATTTTCTAAGCACTTTAGTAAGCAGACAGCAACTCAAGATAATACACTGTACTACTGTAGACCTATTCAGCAATTCCAACTTGGAAGATCAAACATAAAATGTCTCAAAATAGATTTAAAAGAATTCTTCATCGTGGGTTCGTGTTGTTTCCCATACTTCCACAAAAATGAGAGTATCTGTTTTTGAATTTGTGTAAAGTATAAAGTGAATGGATAGTTCAGCACCCTATGAAAGTACTCAATGTGTGCACAAGTTATTTCTGAAAACTCCTCTAATTTGGTGTTAAACAGACCCCGGGCAACACAAATACAATTGGCACACTTTGAACAATTGAACATGCTTTCAAAGAAAGATTCCTTAGAGTTGGAATGCCTTTCTCTGCACAATGCACCATTTCCCACCAGTACAAGACACCCGGTGAACAACAAGAACATCACCACCACCACCATCGTCATCATTATCATCATCCTTATCATCAATTCATCATCATTAACAACAACAACATCATCCTATGTTGCGGTATTGAAAAGTGCATACTGTAGATCTACTGGATAGCAAATAGCTGTACAATAAAGTATATAATAAAAGTAGGTAATAAAATGCAAAATGAATATGATCATAATGAAGTTAATGATACTGTGAAACAATTCTTCTGAGAATGTTTATACTACCACTAGTACTAGTATCAAAGTTAGCAATGAAAATAAGAATCACTTTTCTTTCTCAGATGAATTAACGACTTATCATGACAGAATATCTTGTATCTGTCATTAAACCATGTGTTTGCTTAATATAAACTAATTAAATTTTGTGCGGTCAGATTTACATTTATGTGCACAGTGCACTTATGTGGTTTCATTTACATTTAAAATTGTCCATGTAAAAAACTGACACATTGAACTTGTTTTTTTCAATCAAATCAAATTTGTTTTGTCTCTAAACGTAACAAAGAGACCAACCAAAAAAGAATAATAGAATTAAAGTAAACTCAGATAATAATTTATCCACTCATTGATAGGACCATATTTTGTTAAGTTTACTCACCAACTGAACAAATGTTGTCACTTTCATACGCTTGAAGATTTCATTGTTCCTATACCTGTAATCTGAAACAAAGGTAAATCATGGAAGAAATTAATTATATTTCACTGTAAATATCTGTCTTACATGTAAACCTCCTTTCAAAATTTGCATTTCACGTTATTACAACATTTGGACAACTAAGCAATGACAAACATCATATTTCCGCAATAAGACAAAGTGTATGCATCTAGTCTAATATTCTATGCATCTAGTCTAATATTCGAGACAACAGATTATTTACAACAAATACATGTTGAAAATGATTCATTATAACTGTGAAGGCCAGTGTGATTTGAATATAAAATGGATATGAAGCAAAGCAAAAGCTCTGTTGAATGGAGAGCTCTCAAGTCATTACTCACCAAGGAAACACATTTCTAAAACCATTGAAACTTTACAGTATAAAAAAAACTTCAAATAGTACAACAAAAATTGAGACTAAGATTAGAATGTACTTTAGGTTTGGGATAAACAACTCAGTGTAATCTGATTTGAGGAGGATAAGCCATGATCTAAAGTATTTACTGGATTACAAAGCTCATTCTCCAACAAATCTATTCTTTTCCTTTATTTGTAAACAACACTTGTTTTTCTATTTCTATGATGTAGCATTAACAGTGTGAGAGCTATGGATTGATCAAGACTTGTGGAGTGGGGAGAAACTTAAAGTGTACCAATCACTAAATAAAAAGAAAGTGAACTATTTGTGTACATACAGTTATTACAGTATAGCTACAGGTAAATTGTTGAGGAGTATGAAGAACATAAAGGATAGTAGGGCAATTCCACGGTAACGGAAGGACACTCAGACAAGATTTTTGAACTTCAGGTTCATACTAAAAGAACTGTTTTATTAGTATAAGATGTGAAACAGTACAGATATAATACCTATATAAGTGCCTTTAATTCTCCCCCAAAAAATTGTCATTATAGTTAAGTAGTTTAAGAATGTGCATATTAATTATCTCGGTAACGGAAGGACATAAAAATGGACATGGTTTTTCCAGTTAATTAGTGTTTATCCAAACTTTGTGAAGTTGATGAAGCTTTCCACTTGACTGAAACACATTTTGTTCCCCATAGTTTAATACATACTAATAAAACAGTTCTTTTAGTATGAACCTGAAGTTCAAAAATCTTGTCTGAGTGTCCTTCCGTTACCGTGGAATTGCCCAGTATTGAACCCCACGTATAGGGCTGATAGCTGATATTTAGGGGGAAATAACTTGTCAGCTAAAATTACAATACTATTTAATACAAGAGAAGAAACCTAAGAAGATTGAGGCAGAAAAATTAAAAGAGTAAATTATTCAAATTCTAACTTTGATAGTAGACACACTTACTTGAAGGAATAACAATTAATCATTGACACTAGGTCAAATATGAATCACTTCATCATAACAATTTTAAACATTGAACAAATCGTGAGCTTGAACAGATATGCTTCCTTGCTGCCCAGAAACATAACAAAACCTGGAATTCTAGCGAAACCACACTGCAAATCAAGAACCAGATAAATCAGACATATTAAATGGCTTTAGAAAGCTCAAGACTAACACAGATGCCACGATGAAAATTGATCCATTGAAAGGAATCTACTGGCTCGACATTTCATAAAATCTGTCCTATTTTACCACTTACCACATTCATTTTTATCCAAAATAATGCTTAGCCTTAGCTTTGTCCTTGCCTTCCTATTGCTAACATCTTTCTGGACTTCACGGTGAGTCAAATCACCTGCTCCAATGTACTTGTCTCGAGGACTCCTTGGACTGATTGTTGACATGGTAACATCTAAAATTCAACCCCTGATGGAATGATCACTTGGTGTTCCAATTACTTGAACAGGCCAATTAATTCTGTGACCTTCATAAAGATTTGAAGATGCTGCTACGTTTTGAAGACCTTCTTTATCTACAGACACATGAATGACTGGTTTTTTAAGAAGTTCTGAAGATACCTTCAACAAAAAACCATATCTGACAGATCATCAAGAGATATTAACTGACAAATCAGAGATGCTATGCAGATGAAAATTACTACCGGTATGTGAGCTTTCCTTGATCACCAGACTTCATGTGCTGTCCACCACTTAGTATTAGAATGGTTTATAAATAAACTCCCGATCAATTCAATGTTGCGTCCAATGTTAGCATCCTGTCAGTGAATCACTCAAATACTTTTAAAAAATATAAACGTGCTGAATATTTATTTCAGTGTCGGGGATTATTGATTCCTGGATGTGCACACAGCTGCAGAAAGTGTGAGAGATCGATGCTGGATCGTCAACGTGAAAAGCCAAAATGCTCTTTTTATAATCCCGTAGCACCCTTGTAGTTTAGGAGAGAAGTCTTGATCACCAAATGGCACTCGAGCATGACAGCTAAACCCGTGTCCACACAGTAGCCCAACTGAGAAGGTTCTTGCACAGTGTAAATAGTAACGCACACTTTGGTAAGTGTTTCTCATTGTGGATAACCATATGCTGGGTGGTCACTGATCGTGCGCACCACACCACACCGTGAGCAAAGGGGGGAAGCTGTTGCCATGGTGAGATGAAGCCAAATATCTGCGCATCTAAGAGTTGAGCAAATATTGAAAGGGGGAAGGGTGTTCTTGCACAGACTGAAATCCAAACAGTAGCTCATCAACTAATTACATGACAGTAGCAGCAACCTTCTATTCGTAGGATGCTAATGAGTGGACAAAAATGAAACCTATTTATAAAACAATTATCTACAGCCTTCTATTTACGTGAAGCATACAACAACCTAGGTAGGGGGTACAGTAATTTACAAAGAATACAAATACCCAGTAATTAAACGATGCATCTTTCTGTTTTGCCTTCACCCAATGTATGTAATGATGTGCAAAACTATCCAATGTCAGTTTTTGATAATGAGTATAATTCCTAAGAGAACAAATACTGTGAATTTTGTTTTCAAAAATCTTTATAACATAAATGAATACATCAAAAGTTTTAGAAAGATTCAACTGAATACACTCTATCACTATAAGTTAATACATTTTATTACATGAATTGAAGAGCAAACATATTGTTAAAAAATAAAACAAAACAAAAAAACTCCAGTAATCTAGCAAAAGATACAGAGGAGAGGAGAGCAACTTAGTTATGGTAAGCTTTATAAAGAGCTTCTGAAATCTGAAAGCTCTTGTAAGAGAAAGAAAACAAAAAAATGCATAAAAAACACTGAAAATATAATAAAAATCTAAAAAGGGATCTTGTGTCTTACCAAAAATATATTTGTCCAGTTATGTATGATGTAGATATAAATTACATTCACATTCCTTAATCAACTGTATCAATTGTTGATTTCACCACCTAATTTTCCTATTCAAGATCAATTACGAGTTAATACATGTACATGTAGGGTATTTATTGCAACTTTTCCAGGGATAATCAATTGCACCAAGGACATATGAAATTATGAAAATATATGAAAATATACATATTTCTATGTACAGTGCTTGTAACTTTACCACGACTGGGCCCAATTTCTTATCATTTTGATGATTCCAGAACCTTGCAGTACACACCAATACCGGTACTTAAATGCTAGATGATCAACCTTTTCTGATTGACTTCACACTGTTTCTTTCACAAGGCAATCACATGACCAGAACTCAACTTTATCTTTAACCAAGTAAATCATATGAAGTGCGTTGACCAACAAACGTTCATAAAGAATTTCACAATTTACCCAGAGTCAATGCAATTTAATCATCAAGTCCTCAACATTTGAATGAACATTTATTTAGAGACCTGAATAAACAGTTTTGTAGAAATAGAAACTTACTGTGAAGAGTCTGAAGTTGAACTACAAATTGTTATAGTGCCCTCTGTGTTCAATGTAAGCATAATGTGCAAATTCAACTCATTTGATATCTGTAGACATGCAGCAGTAAATAAACCAGTAAATGGTCATGGGCACGACTTTGTCTTCTCCGCTTCATCACTAACAATGCTTTTTGTACATGCCCCCCCCCCCCCTCCATCCATGATACACTTTCTTATCTGATATCATAAAGTATTTCCCATACTGATAATCAAAATGATTGAAATTTCTAGCAAAGGCCAATTGTAAGATTTTGAAGAAAAAAAAGTGAAAATAGGTTGATGAAATACTGGACAGCAAGTATTTCTGAGATTTCAAACGTGAAATACAATGGTAATAGCAGCCATTTTATGGGATTACATTGTATTTTAAACAAGATGAAATGCTTTAGAGAAAGATATAATGCAATTGAGTACAATTCTATAACAATCATGTGATCTCTGGTCCTTTACAAGTACAACCAAAATAGGGGACCGAAGACACAATACGGCCAGATAAAAATACTTGGATTAAAGGTAAGCAAGTAGTTGGTCAATCTTGGGCTTCTTTAGAAGACTCACCAATCCTTTGTATTTTCTGGATAAAAAATCTTTTTTTCCATGCCCATATTTTTTTTACTTAAAAATTTGAAGAATAAGTTACATTGACAGCTTTATCCTAAAATTATATATCAGATTAAAACTACATATTCAGCCACTTTGGATGCTTCTTTGGAAAACTTGTTGGCTCACTGTCATAATAATTAAATTCTACTTTGGAAAGCCTAAATTCAAAAAAATGTGAACACTATTTCCCATTTGCACTCATGTATGAGCCAATCCACCTGCCTCCAGGATGTAACACGTGTACATGTAGGTACTATAGCAGTCATCCAAACGAGGATCTAATCACACGCGCAGGCAATCAATTAATTATTAATCACACTGTCATGGCATCACTATGGACTCAGCAAAACTGTAAATTAAATTACTCCAAATTGGTAACATCATTAATATTACCCATGGAGTTTACTTAATTGTTTTTTCCAAGGGTTTTTGCGATCAGTCACTGTTGATGATAACTGTATGATAAGATTTGGATACAAGGAGTTTTTACGTCACACAGGGTCTCTGCATGGTAATATGGCCCCACAGATTCACTCTTATTTCTTCTATGTTTAAATAAAATGACATAATCATTCATTGTAAAGCAATGTAAAGTAAAAACCCATCAACAACAACAACTTCAGTAGTAATATAAATAGTGATACTACTACTACTATAATATTGATGAAAATAATAAAGAAAAAACAAAACAGCAATAACAATAATAACAATAGTAATAAAAATACTACTAATAATAATGATAATAATAATTATAAAACTATAAAAGTAAAGTAAAAAATAATGATACTGATAAAATCATAGTAATAATATCAATAACATTTGGATTTCATTTGGGGGGTTTATATTACATTACCCTCAACACCATCATTTGTTGACACAACTATACTGATAAACATTATCATATTATATGATTATAACTGGGAAATATAGCTTCCCATTCCCCTCCATGCCCTTCAGTCTTTTATGAATACTTGACTTACTCTTTCTGATGTCCTCAATTTTAGCCATGTGCTTGGACAAACTTGCCCCTGTAATAAAAAGAAACATGCAGACAGCAATAATTAGTTTCTATCACACCAATAGCAAATTAATTTTTATTTTTAATTTCTTGATATTCTTCCTAAATTCACCAATGGTTTAAAGTTTCATGAGTAATTCATTGTATAGAGGATTTATTTCTAATAACAAAAACAACTTTATATATGAATAGAATGGTCTCAAAATATATTCAAACACAAATAAACTATTAAACACACACATAAATATTAATAATAGGAAAGTAGACTTCAATGACTTCAGCTAAGAGGGAAAAATAGACCTACAGCTGTACATATAGAGTCTAATACTAAATATCCTCTCTTATGCATGTTTGTCGGCGATACAGGCATTTCTCAGCTTATAAGCAATACTTTAAAGCTAAAGACCAGTTATGGTCAGGCGATTGCATTGTGAAAGAAACATTGTGAAATCGATCAGAAAAGGTTGATCATCTAGCATAGATGTACTGCAAGGTTCTGGAATCATCAAAATGATAAGAAATTTGGCCAAGTCTTCATAAAGTTAGAATCACTGTACACAGAAAGATGTATATGGGACTACACACACGTGCGCAACACGTGCATTTGTATCTCTCAACAGGCGAGAGATACACTAATTTACCAAATATATCAATTAGTAGGCAGTTTCCCGTCAACATTTTTATCATCATGTATTATTCAATACATATTCTTTCACATGATTGGTAATAAGAGCTTGCATTTCATTTTTTTAAATTGGGGCGTTTCCAATACTGGCCTTTACCTTTAATACTTCAAATTCCATCTTTTGTTAGTCGTATTACGTTTGTACTTTGCATTGTATTACCAGGCAATTTTCAAATTATGGAACAGTTGTGTCGTTTCACCTGTATGTTCCAACGCAGCAACATTACTGTATTCTGACATGCACTGGCAACATAGGCTTACTGTCTGTGACAAGTCTCACACAAATAACATGTCCCCTTACACTAACAGGGGCCAGGGTCACATGGGTGTCCAAATTTAAGGCTGGACACCCCACATTGTGAAGACAAAAATTAACATGGGGTTCATGCATATATACAGACTGTAAAAAGTTCAACCTGGACCCCCTTCTAAAAAACGTTAGTGTGGAGCCTTAGATAAAGACCAATAATGATAATGATATTGATAATGATGGTGGATAGATAGTGGTGATGGTGGTTATAATGATTGAGTTGGTGATGGAAAGGATGAAAATGGTGATGATGGTGGTGGTGCCTGTGCACTATGGGGGTTTGATGGTGGGTATGATGTAGATGATTTTGGTGATGGTAATAGTGGTAATTGTGGTCATAACCCAATAATTCAATTTTAATTTACCTCTCTGTTTTGTTAGATTTAAAGGGACACACGCCTATTAATTTTAATAAAATCAAATTAGATCCATGTTTAAAGGTAAAGACCAGTTCTAGTCATGCGATTGCATTGTGAAAGAAACGTTGTGGAATCGATCAGAAAAGGTTGATCATCTAGCATATAAAGTAGTCTAAGTGATGAAATTGTAAATAATAAACTCTTTGTGTTGTATAGCTCCCTCTCAAGACTGATATTAGACCTACTTTAGCTTTAAAAGTAACAATGTTTCTTGACTACAAATTGACCGATTTGCTATTCCCGTTTGGAAATTATTCTATCAGAGATTTTCATGGTTGCGGCTACCATGGAATGGTCTACTCTGAGGCGCTGTTTGAAATATTTAAAATATACCGGGAGCATCGGTAAATTTTTTTTCATTCAATTTCTCAAAATCAGTAGCGTTTTACTATTACTAATTTTAGGGGCTAAATTTTCTTTTGCTGACAATCCACAGGGGCATCCAAATAGACTCTAGTAGTCAGGGGGCCGTTTCTCGAAACCAACTCCATGACAGTCATATCTTTGTCGGCGACCTACGGAGATGTCATGAAGCGGATAAACCGTTTCACAAAGCCATGACAGACATGATATCGATATATCGCGATACTAGCAGCTCAAGAACATAGTCTTTGTCACGATCCATTTGATTTATCAAGAATAACCCAAAACAAGTTTTGGGGCTAAAATTGTTCAAAAAGAAATATATACATATAAATTCTCCTAAAATAAATAATGAATAGTGTCATTATCATATTTACATCATCAAACGATTTGCATATTTCTGTAAAGATTCTTAAATTGAAGAAAAACCGGTGAGTGTTTTTTTTTTGACAGTCGAATCAAAAGTTAGTTGAAGGATACCGTAATGTGATAGTTTATCAATACGTACTTTTTTGTTTATTGTGACGAGGAATTTTAGGCAAAATGTCTTTTCTCCGCCAGTTTTTATTCTAGAGTCTCATAAATACTCGTTATATAATTGATTTGATATTGAAAATATAATTTGGAAGAAGTAATTAGAGAGGGAATAATAATTCACATAGGCCCCAAAGGTATACGGTATCCTAAGAAAAGACTATGAATCGACTATGGAAAACGGTGTGTAACATTCTTACCTCTCTTATTTATATGTTATAGTTTAATGATTTGTGATTTAATATTTATATTCAGCTTTTAAAAGTTTCTGTATAATTTGTATTCTCACTTTTGTCCATTTGCATTTCGCATCCCAGAGAATTACGTACCGAACTCGTCTATATTTTTCTCAAAATGATATTGAAACTAATCGTCCATTTCGCGGCCCATGGAATGGCAACAAACTGACTTGTGATGGCGCTTTACAGCAATTAAAAAGATATGACAGGTTCGGAGCAGTGACAACTCGCTTGTCGCGGAAGTTGTCGCTCATCTTGGCAAAGACGGCTTCGTGAAACACTTAGCTGACAAGTTGCGTGACAGTGGCGAGATGTCGTTGATCTTGTAGTTATGACGGTTTCGAGAAACGGCCCCCTAGACTCTAGTCTAGGCCTAGGTCTAGATCTAGATAGAAGTCTCTAGGCCTAGATCTAGCCCTAGATCTAGGCCTAGATCTATCTACTAGTACTAACCAATTTCCGAATTTCCCAAAACTTTGCATTACCGACATCCATCATCAAACTGATATAGGTCTAGGCCTAGACCTACTGATGTGCTACCACCACCACCAGCAAATGCAAATGTAAGAGCACCCGCCTTGATCTAGCTGCGGCACTACCAACACTCAGATCTCACGCCGCTACATCCCCGCTAAATTACCGAGCAATTACGGTGGATATTGTCTTACCCGTGTCAATCATCGGCTTCACATCTTTGTACCTGGGATTTTCTGGCACTTTCCTATTGAGAATCTGCAACAGAAATGAAACAAAAATAAAAAAATAATCATTGACAATGAGTCTTTCACTAATTAAAGACAAAATCGGGTTCAAAAATATGAAAATTAGAACTTACATCGACTGTGGTTCCAGGCCGCGAGGTTCTTCCGTGGGCAGACATGTTGGCTTGACAACATAAACCGAAGCTAGTGCAGTGGGAAATCGCGATCAATAATTCAAAATCGCATGTCTCGATCGACCGCATCGGCGGCGCGGTGCGGAGGAAGAAAATGTAAACATTCTCTTGATCTGTGATTGTGTGCACGTGCACAAGTGATCGTAAACATATCAACACCCATCGACTGCTGCATTAGCAGCATTCTTCCAGTATTACGGTAGGCCTAAAGGAAATTAAAGGTAAAGACAAGTTACACAACTGTTAAAGAGCTGAGCTGAGGTAAGTCAATCCATCAATTAAACAGACCAATTCGTAGTGAAATGTTGAGATTTTTAAACTAACTTTTAATAGGCAGCCAGGCCCAGGCCAGACCTGCAGAAGTATGAAACTTTAAAGCATATGATTCTGCCAGTATTTACGGTAAATTAAAGCCAAAGCCACAGGTAGGTAAATAAATTCATGAGCAGTGTGTCGTCTGAAGCTATGTTATTAGGGAGTCGGGCTAACTCGGACCAGGGGACAACTCGGCCCAGGTACAAAAACGGTCAGTTTTTGCATGTTTAGGTTTAGGGTTAGGGTTAGGGTTAGGGTTAGAGTTAGGGTTAGAGTTACGGTAAATTGACAAAAAATGACCGTTTTTGCAGCTGGGCCGAGTTTTCCCCTGGTCCGAGTTAGCCCGGATCCGTTATAAGAGAACTAGTATAACTGCCACGCCCATTTTTCATGACAGCAACCGACAGTCTAAATCTCTACATTAACATTGCCTCAAAGTGATTGTGATTGCATTATATTCAAACAATAAATGATACATTAATAAGTGAATGATATTGTGTATATAATATATATTGTAGTGTTAATTGCTCGAGACTATGCCGTGCAACTCTGCTGTTATTCATTTTTTTAATGTTTTTATACTACACTACAGTCTTCTTAAACTTCACCTGTAGAGAGAGATCGAGGTTCTCCCATTAATAGGCCTACAAAGCATATTTTGTTCAAAAACAAATTCCATGAAATCAATCAAGTATACCTGTAAGTTTGTCAATGAAATTATCGATTAATATATCACAAATATGACGCATATAGAAAACATATAAGCATTGACATGATTGATGACTCATTAGACTGCATACATTTGTAACTGAATTATCCAAAATGTAATTTTGTCTTTAATCATCTCACAATATGTTGTTTTGTCCAAATTGATCATTCTATTGTATTATTAAAGGTACCGGGTAATACAAAGTTTTGGGAAATTTTGAAAATGGGGTGGATAGTGATTCTTTACAATTTTGATATATTTGGATGCCTCTGTGGATGTATCATAAGCATTAGAAAATTTAGACCCTAAAACACTTCTGCTAAATATTGTAGGATCGCATATATGCTTCCAATATTTTCATTTGAACCAAATTCATGACCCCATACCAAAACTTTGAATTACCTTTGAATTATCTGTACATTGAGATTATAAACTGACATACATGGTAAGATTTTGTATTGTAAATTATTATTTCTTTGTAAAGTCAATGTCATATGTGTCCTATACACGGGCAATATATAATGTTCAACTCCATATAATTACCTGGAACAAAAAAGTACAGATAACCTTTTTATTTCTTTTAATGCTGTGGATCATTATGGAAGCTCTATCTGTTCTATAAAACACAGGTTATTTCACTAGATAGGCCTATCAAATCGCCATGGGAACCACTACAGTTCTACTTCTTACAGTGCTGATTGCATGTGTGGCTGTTTTCATCGAGTACCCAGCCCCAGAGTTCTCCACGCAGGTTAAAGAATGGCATGACACAGGCAAACTCTTCAAATTCAATGGTCACAACATCTTTTATAAAGGTAGGCCATTGAGACCACAAGTATAGCTCTTTGATACAATATTTGATTTTGGTATGTTTATTAAGGATTTGTTCTATTTTGGTCAATCAACAGTGAGGATCGATGGTTCAAAATATGAATTTGATTACATTTATATGCATATTAAGTTAATTCAATTCAATAATCATAATTCAATTTTATTTTCATGGTCAAATTTGCTATGATGTGAATATAAGTTAATATTTTACTGTTTTTCTATCATGTTACCCAATGATTTCCACTTGAGTACATGATATTTTATTATTTGGTTACTAGTTGTAATGTTATTACAGTGATAAGTGAATGTCACAATTTATGAAAAAGAAGAAAATGCCATTTATTATTTCCATTAAAAACTATTGATTTGGTAAAAATAGACTAGATCATTTTTAAAGATTTAATGATTATCATATGATGCGATTGATGCCATATTTATGAGCTTGTACATGATGTTAGCTTCTGTTTTACAGATGAAGGAAACAAACAAAATGAGGATGTCTTGGTCATATTTCATGGCTTCCCAACATGTGGCTATGACTTTCACGTGGTAAATATTTCTCCTTTTTGGGGATGTTCTACAAATCCAGGGTTATCTGAGATCTGTGGGGGGAGGGGGGGGGGGGGGGGGGAGTTAGGTGTAAACAAAAAAAATCTTTTTAAACAGTAATATATATAGTTCTTTGGTAAGCATAAATATGGGTTACCAAATTTCGGGAGAGGTATACACAGGCGCTTCTTTTACCTGGCTACAGCCTACAAGAGAGATGTCCTAGTGAACTCTTTAAATGTCAATGTCAGTCTTGTGGGCTGTCGGTCTACTGGGATGCATCCCTTTTAATAAGTCTGGTGTTTACAGTAAAGATATGTATCCCATATTTTATTTGGCTGCACATAAGTTAAGTTTAATTTGTTATCATTTGCACTTCAATTGTCACAGATTTGGGATGGTCTTCTAACCCAATTTGGTCGTGTTATCATGCCTGATTTCCTTGGGTACGGCTTCAGTGATAAACCGGTGAGTGTACTCTGAAGGACCAATATTATTTGACACAATTTAATGCACTAATATATGAGGTTCTGATTTTTTATTTTTTATTTATGTCAGAATTGATATATTTCCCTGTTGAAAAATAGTTTAGTAGCAATTTATTGTCTATGTAATAGCTAGATGACTTATTACTGAGAGAAAAGGGTTAAACAACTTTAGCACTATCTATTTTGCTTATTGTATTTTACTGACTTACATTGAAGCCAAAGATATTTCATACCTGCTTGCAAAGAATAATGAATTTGACATTGTTTATTTTCTGAATCCTGAATTAATGTTAAACAATTATTGTTTCTTTCGAAGTCAGGTGGTGAATTTTCCTCTAAAGGTCCTGATAAGAAAGCGATCTGAAATGTATCTGAAATTCTGTATTATTTCTTACAGACAGACCACGTTTACAGTCTGTTTGATAAAGCTGATATGATAGAGGCTCTTCTCAAAAACTTGGGTGTTTCAAAGGTTCATATCTTGGCTCATGATATGGGAGATACTGTTGCTCAGGAGCTCATACACAGGTACACACACTTCATTATTTCTTCTTCTCCTCCTCCTCCTCCTCCTCCTTAATTTTCCTAAGAATGACCATAAAAATGTTTGGAAAACATCTCAGTTTGGAGAGCCGCCTAATATCTTGATTTCTCAGAATTTTTTGACTGTGCAAACTTACCGTATATAATGTTTTTCATCCTGTTTTTAAGACAAAATAAGCTCTCTGAGAAGGTATCTCGCTCCAATAATGAACTTGAAATCGTCGGTGTTTGTCTATCAAATGGAGGTTAGTACAACCCCAAATTCTTTTAGTAACTTTTCACCTTGAACATGAAATTTAACATTTCAAACCCCCATTTCAAAATTCCATGTAGATACAATTTTTCTTTTAAAAATGTCATACCGGGTACTTCATGTATAGAAGAAGATAAAAAGAAGCCAAAGCTGTCATCCTTTCAAAAAATCTATTCTAAAAAAAAGATCCAGAAGAAATTATTTGTTCAAGTGCTGCTCTTAGATGTTTTCCCAGGCAGATTTTAGGGCAAATTTAGAACAAAATAAAATATACATGGGCTCAAACGGTCAAACCCTAACTTTGTAACATTGTTTAGTGTCCTCACAAATCAATAATAAAAGAGAACTTCAGATATATTGCATTGCATTAATATTCCCACATTGTGGCTATTAAATAAATTATTTAGCATAATTCAGTTACAATAATGTGATTGAAATATACATGGTTGGTATTTAATATTAGGATTATATGTTTTTAGGATTACATATTTTAAGATATTTTTTAATATTTCATTCTTTTAGGAATCATACCAGAGACCATTCATCAACGTTTGATACAAAAAGTTAGTACATTGCTTTATTATTTTAGTCTTTTTTTAATATTTTTTACTCCTTTACAAATTTTATATTAACATAGTGTTTGGCCTCTTTACTGTAGTTGCATATGTGTACTGATTTTGTTGTATGACTACTAATAATAGAGAGCGTTGATTTGTTTGAAGAAATTATTTTAACTAGGACAAAAATCACTGGTAAATGGATTACTTAATATTTGAATTAAGTTAAATAAGAATATACATGTACCAATTGAAACAAATTTCTGGTTTAAAACACCAGTAATCTAAATGGCCTGGTTTCATATCCCACCGCTGCCACCATGCAAAATGAAACAAAACAAATTAACACGAGAGACGTAACATTAATCAAACTGCATATATACGTGTGTGTAAATATATGACCTTTATTGATTCAGAGTGCAGAGTGACTGCCTAGCCAGCAACCTAATAATATGGAGTAATATATAATCACACTATCATGCAGAACCATGCATGACACGTGGGTGCCCAAATGCCAAACCCTTCCATGATCTCATGCATACAGATTATGAAAGGGTATCAACCCCCTTCCAAGTATAGTTAGTGTAGAGTGAGAAACTGTGTCCTGGGTACACACAATATTTGTTTACACATTATTATATGACATGGATGATTATTTCAAATATTACTCCAGATAGCACTGTTTTAAAACAAGGATAGGTAGATATAATTATGATATATTTTTGCACATTTATAAAAAATCTTCTTTTTAACATACATAACGGCAGATTTTTTGTCTTTTGATTTCACTTGTAAACAACTTGAGAAAAGTCACAGCCTTAATTTTCTTCTCTCTGTTATGTAGTTCTTGAACATTACACATAATCGTTTGGTGAATGATTCTTGTGTTTATTTTACAGATTCTGTTGAAGCCATACTTGGGGGCACTGGCACCCTACTTCACCAATAGATTTTTATTTATGAAAGGGTAAGAAAGTTGCAAGTAAACATTTCCATTATAGACCATAATTTTGTTAGTTGTCTTCAAGTTATCGCTGTTCCATCAAATATGTTACATCAAATTCTCCTTAATGCTTCAATGAGAATCATTGATAAGTATTAACTTCATTTGTTTTATTTCATCTTACAATGTTTGGGATAAGTTTTACCGGATACCCGGTATGCTTGTAAATTAAATCACTATAAAGGATATCTGTATTCGTATGGATATACAGCTGAAACCAAGTACATTTATTTTTCAGATTTGACAACATGAAAACGGTGAGCTAGAGTTCATCAATTTTAAAAATGTCATAAATATAATAGAACTTTAATTTGCAAAATACAATTTTTTATTTTTTTTTAAAACTGCAGCCTGGGGGAAGTTTTTGGAAAACCTTCCCAGTCTACAGCGGAGGAATTATTTAACCAATGGACTTTGTCAAGGCACAACAATGGTCATCTCGTTACACATCTGTGAGTATGATTTTGAGACCTGTTTGCTAATTACTCAGCTAAGTCTGTCTTGCAGCATTGCAACTCCTTAAACCCTATTAAATACATGAACATAAAATGTAGATTTCTATGTCTAAAATATAATGTTCTGTAGAATAAAGGATGGAACATTTCTTGTTGACTATATTTGGAGCTAGTATATGTCTTTAAAACTCAGTCATTGAGCTGTATGCTATACATCCTGGCCCTTACTTGAAAGGTGAAACCAGCTAAAAAAATACAGTCTGAAGCAGTGAAAATCAAATTACCCCTCACAGCTTCTTCCATGGATGTGGAGGATTAAAATAACTGTGTCATTAAATTCCTTGTCAGAAAAGTGAAAGAAATATCCGTGTCTACCAATCTTCAGAAAGCTGGATTTTTGAAGAAGCAAATTACATTTCTTCCTTTTTATTGAAACATTTCTTTGTGAATTACTCCCTATTTATTCTTGGCAGTTTGATAAACTATCTTCGTGAGAGGTATATCAACAGAGATCGGTGGGTCCATGCTCTTTCCGAGACCTCCATTCCATGTAAGTATGCGTCTGGTAATAGCTTTTACCTCCCATAGAAGCTACATGTAGTCAAAAAGGAAAACACACAGTTTCAATTTCAAACACAAGATAATGTCTAGGGAGTATGTTGGGAAGTACTGAGTAATTCATGGCATCCATACTGTCCTCTTAATTTTGAATATAAGTTTCGCTTCGTGCATGATCGTTTTTATATGTTCGTACTTCTTCAGTTTCAAAACAATGGACTCTTATCCATGTACCTGTTATCTAACAAGTGATAGCTAATTATGCTCTGTGTCTGATTTCTATTTTTCTTTCCCTCTTGATAAAGAGGATATTAACAATTTGCTATCTTTCTCTTTGTAGTGCACCTCATCTATGGTCCTGCAGACCCTGTGAATCCAAAGGATCCTTTCCTCAGCACTTACAAGTATGTTGTTTTTCATGTTGTTAGTGGGGTTTTTTCTATTCCTTTTTGGTTATATTATGAGAAGTTATTCAAGGAGGAAGCAGTTGAGAAACCCTTCATAAATCCTCAAATTCTGATTTCTAGTTAGACATTTAGCCAGCTGTGTTGAGTATGAGGTGGAGAGGATGTTATTACTGTAGTGATGATCTGACTTGACCAAATTGCGTGCCGTTAATTAAACGATAATGGATTTATTAAAACAAATTAACAGATTTGTATTTTTTTCTTCAGATATTAAAGTATTGATACTGATCATTTGCCAATATTTTAATATGATCATACTTTCAAAGAATAGAAACATCAAATTTGTATAAAAGTAGAAAAAGGTTTTCTCTCTTTACAACTCCTGTTCAACCCTGTTTTTTTATACTTCTATGTCTATAAAATGTTTGTTTAAACAGGCCTGAATTCAAATGTTTACCAAAAGGTGCTTGAAAATAGGAGTTTCCCATTTCGCATACTCAATGGTATATTCTAAGATATTTGCCTGCTATAAACCTTTCACTGAGTTAATGTAATGATGATTTTTCAGTACAAACAATAACAATTTTTTTTTAAACTCTTTGTACTTCTGTAGGAAACTAGTGCCCAATTCAGGTGTGAGCGAGTTAGAACCTCACATCAGTCACTACCCTCAGCTAGAAGCGCCCAAGGAATACCTTGATGCATGTCTTCAGTTTTTCAAATCTTTGCAGAAGTCTTGAAGGATATGTATCTTTCAGCATGCAAATTAGTGATGAATGTGAAATTCCAAAGTGCTCTTCATCAGTTTTGAACAGAAAGGATTTTATTATTCAATCATTATTAAATCAGAAATTTCTTGAAGTGTACCTTCAGCTCAGGGTATACATATGTCTACGAAGGCATCCTGACAATAAAATCTCTTACTGCGAAGTATGCGAAATATAAAAGTGCCTCTTTATGAAGTGTTATTATACAAATCCAATCATTGAAATACCTGAGAGTGTGAAAGAATAGGTGTAAAATATTCCATGGAATCTTGTCCACATCAAAGGATCTTTAGATTTATGTCTATTTATATTTTATGTGTCTGTTCAGAAAAAATGTCAAAGTGTGACTGGCTAAATTACTTCCTATAGTGTAGTGTAGAGTGTGTACTTTGAAGTGCAGAATCATATTTAGAATTCAGTGACCGTAGTCAAGATACTGTGAGCACTTTGTTTAGTTATGTTGTAAGCCATAATTCTCTTTATAAGAAATAGTTATTATCAGTAATTAATTGATGATAAATCATAATGGAATCTATTCTATAACTGATAAATTAAAAAGGTCAATAAGAATGGTTGATGACGATGGTGATCTTTCTGTGGTATGTATTCATCATTCAATCAGAAGTTCAAAATTGAAGAAGAAGAAGATATATGAAACTGACATATTGCATCTTCATGTATTTCCTTTTCAGCTATTTTGTGGAAGATTCAGACATGTATTGAAGGTCTGAAAGAGTTTTTGTTATTCATGAATGCTTTCTTTTCTACAAACCATTTTAAAATAGCAGTGCATACCTGTAAGTGACATAACTTTGCTTTAGTTATCTTAAAGAGATTAATGTCGTCTTTCCTCACTTATTAATATTCATCAAGTATCCCCGTAGTTCTATGGTTTCCCTCTGTACAGATGGTTGTCATAAGCTAAGAGATGGGAACCTGTATAGGGCATTTGCTAGGTACATAAATATATACAAGAGATGTGACTTTACTAATAAAAGATCACTTTCAGTCTACATTATGTCAAGATCATGCCTTTAATATACTATTTAATTGGGATTTTCCATTGTACATTTACTACATTGTATTGAAATGTGCCACATTTGATTGCCTAATGTGTTCATATTGTAACTGATCGATAATTAGAGCAAATCAAGTATTATTGCATAATTGAGGTTGCTTTTGAATAACAGCAATAATTATATTTCAGGAAATCAGTACTAATGTGAGTTTGTTGCAGTGTATTTGAGTAATTTGTATAATGATGATATATTAACTGTACAATGATTTTGTTTTAATGTTCTTGATTAAAATTAGAATAGGAAGACAATATGTTTACTTGTAAAATAAAATTGGTATGTAAATATCAGTTAGAACAATCAAAAGAATTGTGACTATGATTATGCTTCACTTTTTGTATTGATAGGTGGTTAGACACATATTACGCCTATAGCAATATAAAATTTCCCTTGTCCCCTGACATTTTAATCTTTTCCCTTTTTAGTGAGAGACATTTGAATTAATGATCAATTTCTTCTACAGTAAGTGCCATTATTTCAAGTATTCTGATACATTAAAAGTGATCACTTATTCATTCCTAAAACAGTAATTGAAACTTCAAATAAAAACTGAATACAATGTGCAAAGATTTACAGAATAAATGTTATCATGAATTTTATTCAAACGTATTTATATGTGGAATGAGATTATTTTTTTTACCTTCATAGAAATGATATCAACATTTCAAAACGTGTCTTTGGAATAAAGAGTCATTTGAATTACTGTACAAGTAAAGATGGCTTAGAATATTCTTTGGAATATAGATCTATAATGATATTACTCCAATTACCTTAACCTCTTCCACAGATACACATACCAACAGGGAAGCCCTCTAGTGTCATATGAAGTTTATGCCATTTTTAAAAATATCAATGATAATTAGAAGTGCATTTTTATAAGGGTATTCCTTGATTTCAAGTTTCTGACAACGGGTACAAAATTACAAGAATAATATAGACAATACATTTCCACACATTTTTAGTTATCATAAAGGAACATATTATACTATCTTGTCAACTATTTAATTATTACTGAGAGGGTAAGGTATTACTGAGGGGTTAAAGTATTATAACATGATAGAGGTTTTGGTGGTATAGTGGTTCATTCACTTGACTCTCCATCCAAGGGTTGAGGGTTCCAATCCCAGCTTGGTACTAACGTCCTATGGCAAGATCCACAGTTGTTACTCTCCATCCAGGTGTTAAATGGGCATCTGTTAGGATACAAAACTCACAGTACTTTGCTCAGCATTTAGAGCATCTGTAGAATGGCACCTGGCTTGAATGTTCCCCAGGGTGTGGAGAATGTGCATACTTTGTGTGCGGGCAAATCTGAAATCTGATGACCGGGGTAATAATATAACTGTAAAGCCAATAGAGACATCTTTGCTGTATTGCAGCACTATATAAACCCAGAGTATTATTTAGTGCATTTCAAACTCAAAGCTGTTAAACTTAAAAATTATGATATATTTTCAAAGGAAATCTACATGTGATATGTACAACATATTACACATGGATCATGCTTGAAGGATACTTCTACAGTATTTCCAAAAAGGAATGAGAAAAAAACTGTTCAGTTACACTTCTCCTAAAGACAAACCAAGGCACTTGAACTATTCTTTGGATAATTTTTCAGAGGAAAGAATTATTAGTGGTTCAAAAGGCACAATTACATGCAAAAGAGTCAAACATATATGTTGGTTAGAAACAATAAAATGAGGAATGATTCAACAAACGATGAGAGATGGAAGGACTTTGAATATAAGAAGTAGCAATATATATGTTTTAAATGCAAGAAAAGATAAGTTGATACTTAATAGGTAGAGTAAAGATATCTAAAAATAATGATGGAGGTAGCATGGCACTACCATGGTGACACATTATTTCCTAGATAAGATATACAGAAGAAAAAAACACTGAAATATATTTGTACAAATATAATCTATTTCCTTAATCACAAGTACAACAAAATTTATGGCAGCATTGAATGTTCAATACACTGAAAACATCAAAATCTTCTTGGGGAAGGACACACATTTGTATGAGATGTACTCTGAGATGTGGAATGTCAAATACACAATTTAAAAAAAATACATTTATATGATTACATTGAATAAACAATACAGGGCAAGAAGACAAAATTATTCCTATTATCTTAACTTCCAATCCGATTAAAAACTCACATTCTAACAAATATTTGCATCATTAGTTTTGCAAGATAAAATAACCTGTTCTTCCAAAAATATATATATATCATATACATACTGGCACATCATTGTCTGTTATAATGTAAATGTAAAATTAAAAACAATTTACTTGTAATGCTAACAAAATAACTTCCAATAGTCTACCTTCTTATTGACCCTGTTACACAACAAGAGTTTTTCTGTTGCTCTGGTCTTTGAATATTCATACATATGTTGATATTATTTTTAAGTTCTATACATTGTATTTTATTTACAGTGTATAAAGAATATTCTACCAGATCAGTTCAGCAATGATAAACAGTTTTTTTTTCTTGCCTATTAATTATTGTTAAAGTTATGAATACTCCACTTGAAATCTATCAATGTCATTAAATGGAATAAACTGCAAATTATCAAGACTAATCTGTTATACTTGCAACAAAAGTCTTGGTTTTTTTAATATCACTTTCAAAAAGTTATGAGAACTTTAAAATACACTTATTAGTGGATTACTATATTCTAAAGTTAAGCCGACATGATTTTCATGATTTTTCATGCAGTGAACCACCATAGATGATTTCATAACATTTCCCTTCTGAATCCATTGGGTTTTTAACATGATTTTCAGCTGCATGAATGAAGTGACTACATGATTACATTGCATCAGATAATCACCCTCATATATCTCACTGCATGCATTACTAACACCTTTCTTTCTATGACTATGGTAGTACAGTTACTTTGTTGGTATCTCCTCTTGCACAGCCCCCAATCGTTCAACAATCTGGAAAATATAAAATATAAATAATTTGTTTTCCTTCTCTTTTTTTTCTGCATAAAAAAAAACATTAATAAATAACGAAAGAGAGTTTATGTATAACACAGTAATGTCTGTCCTTATTTCTCATGTGTGACCAAAAGCACTAGAACAATGGAAATTTTGTTTAAAGGCCCACTGCCATACTTGTAGCTACTTGCGCCCTCTGTATAACAAACAACGCCTAATCGGTGACCATTGGTCCCCCATAATCCTCTTTTTCTTATGTTAACTGAGAGCTGAGTTGATGAGATAACCACCTGTCCAGTGACCTTGTAGGGCGGTCTAATCCCTCATGTAAACTATGGCAGATAAGCTTTAAACAATGCTGACTGGTATTCATCTTATATGTGAGGCAGACTAAACTTTATAAATGGTAGGGTTGCATTTAAACAGGTTGCTTGCACATTTTCTTTCAATTCATCATAAGGTCTGTTATATTTCAGTGGTTGTGACATAATACACTTAATGTAAGGGTAAATGTTTTTTTTTACATGAGAAAGCAAAATATTCTCAAATCAATGATTAAGAAAGTAATATTTGCCAAATATCTGGTCAAGTATATCACCGTTGGTTCCCTTCCGAGTCACCAACGATGGGGCCATAATTTTCCATGCAAAACCTGGAAGGAGATGCTAAAAGAGGGATGGCTACTGACGCCTGGAAGACTTGGAGAAGGGCCATAAGGGAAATGTCCAACCCCACAGAATGGGAAAAACAGATGCTAAACAGTAAAGATGAATATATCACCCATACATATTCTCCTCACCTCTTCAATGTCTGGTCTACGCCTACCCTTCTGCTCCGTGCACCGAGAAGCGAGGTCATACATCACTTGGGCTGACTTTTCATTCCACATCTCCGCATGCTTGTCTATCAGTAACACCACATCGTTGCAACTGTCCATGATATTGTCCACTTTAGTCATGATGTGTGAATCGTCATCATACACAGGTAGACCGGTCAGAATCTCCAGGAGAACCTGAGGTTGTGAGAGAATGATGGAGGATGACAAGATATATACGTTAGGTATGAAGGAATCATCTGCCTTGTACAACAAGGGTTGAACATAATCAAGCTTAAAGTCTCGTTTTACAAAAGTTCAATGATGTATTAAAGGTATTACAAAGTTGTGGGAAATTTTGAAAATGGGGTGATAGTGATTCTTTACAATTGTGATATATTTGGATGCCCCTGTGGATATATTAAAAACACCAGAAATTTTAGTCCCTAAAACACTTCTGCTTTCGAGCAAATTTGAATATAAAGATTTACCGGTGCTCCCGGTAAATTTTGATAAATTTCAAATAGCTCCTACGGCCGTACAATGGTAGCTGCGACCATGAAAATCTCAGAGCATGTAGTTGTAGTATATAATTTCCGAACGAGAATAGCTAATCGGTCGATTTTAGTCAATAAACATTGTTTTATAGCCTAATTAATATCTTGACCTTGAGGGGGAGCTATTCAACATAAATTGTTTATTATTTGCAATTTCATAACTTTAGAGTCGATTTCGACCGCGACAACGATCACTGAATATTGTAAGATCGTATATGCTTCCAATATGTTCATTTGTACCAAATTCATGACCCCATACCAAAACTTTGTATTACCTTTAAGCATAGGTTATACTTACCATTTTGTACGTCATGCTATACGGGCCTGTGTTCTGTACAGATACTCTTATCATTCATATTTGCCATTTATTCATCTATAAACTTTAAGCTGCTTAACCAATCATATCTGAGAGAGATCTAAAACTCTACTCATACCTAGATTCCAAATGACTTTTAATCAATGAATCATGACAAACACCTTCATAGAATATTATGAATGAGCTACAGTATAACAGTTTTGAACTGACCCAATTTCAATTTGCAAAAATATGAACTCACCAGTCCAAAGCTGTAAACGTCTGTCTTTTTAGAGTATTCACCATAGTTGGCCTCTGGTGCCATGTATGCTGTACTACCAATAGTGATGCTAGTATGGAAACAAGATATTTCACCTTTCAGTTTGCCAGACTTATCCCGAACCAGCCCAAAGTCACAGATCTTGGGCGTTAGATTTGCATCAAGGAGAATATTGGCACTGCAGAGAGGAACAGGTTTTTGGAAAAAATTAATCTGGGGCTCGTTCGTTCGTGTCTCCTTAGATCAAGATTACTGCAATCTTGATCTTCGGAGTAGTTGCTACAACCGGCCGTGTCAGACACGTTGCCCCGGGGTGCGAGATAGGACTCTTGTAGCGTGCCCCCATTTAAAACAGTTATACAGTTACAGTTAACAATACATTTAATTAATAGTATGAAACTATTAAAATTACTCTCATGTTACGGGAAAAAATATTGCATATACATATATTATGAATCAGCTGATTTGGTCGATCCAGTTAGATGGCACAAACACGGCACTACTGGACAGAGATCCTAATAATTACAGAGCTTGGTCTTGTTGCTCTGTTCGCCAGCAGTTTAAGGATATGGAATCCCGCGGCACATTGGCCGAGATATCTTTGCTATTTTCCTGATTCAAATTGAAGAGGGAAGAGAAATTGAAAGTGGTACCAGGTTTTTACTATTTAGGGGACGTAAGGAATTCTCGAACATTTAGCAACAACATATTTGATTACTCCACACTATTTTTTTTGCACAGGGGTTTGTTTAAATGGTAGAGCAATTAAAGGTATATATGTTATATATAAAGAGAGAGAGAGAGAGAGGGAAGAGAGAAAGAGAAAGAGAGAAAGAAGGGTAGGGAAATATAAAATGGACTTGGGAAGAGGAGGTAAGAGACCTTGTGACAAACCTCTTGATATCTCTATGAATGAAGCCCTTATCATGTAGAAATTGTATCCCACATGCTGAGCCCCATGCGATGTCAAGTCTCTTTGGCCAAGACAGGGGCTTAGGAGTACATGTAGTATCCCTGCAGGCTAGACGATCCCTCAGTGCACCCCCTGTGATTAGCTCATAAACCAGGCAGAGTTGAGGTGGTTCATAGCAGTAGCCATACAGTATTACAAGGTTTGGATGCCTCAGTCTTGATCCAAGAAAATGAATTAATGAAAAATATGATTACTGGTAGGAAAACAATTATATTATTATAATCTTCAAAAGAAACAAAATGAGCATTACATGTTTCAATGAAAATGATATTCCTTTAAATAGGGTGCTATTGAAAAGAAAAAAATTTCTGTGATACATTTCGTTCCATTGTATGTTAGCCATTGGTGCAAAAGTGTAAGTTGCAAAAAATACTGTAAATAACTTTTTTTGCATTATTTCATGGTGGAGCCTTCAATATTCTGAAATAATTTTGAGCCTTTTAATCTCAAAACAGAAACTAAGACACTTTTGTTGTCATTATATTTGGTATAGAACAAATAAACTGAAAAGATGTTTACTGTCATTTTCTACTACATGCAGTGATGTAAGTGCATATATGTATTTGTGGAAATATGAAAGTAACACACCTGCATAAGGATTTGAGTTCACTATTAAACTGCTCCTCTATACTAATCTCTTCAGACATCACATGCTGTAAAATGAAACAGATATTAAACTTTAAAAGAGACAAAGACAAAGTAAATGGTACAGATGAAAAGAGAGAGAGGGAGAGAGAGAGAGTGGGAGACATTAAGGTAGAAAGTGAGAGATATTGTGATATATATATATATATATATATATATATATATATATTGCAAGGTAGTGAGACAAGAAAAATAATTAAGGGGATATACAAATACAACTATTTAGCAAAAAAAGAAGTGGGCCATGGAGAGTAGGAAAGGCACATTGAAAATACACGGCCCCTTTTTATTAATTTTAGAAAATATTTTTTAAAATATGTATCTATAATAATGTAAAAGAAACTTAGCTTTTAATAAATTGTTCATAAGAGAAATATAATTTCAACATAACAATTTAACCATTTTAATAACCAGTATATTAAATAATGTTATTTTTTCTATGAATGGAGATTTTATATGCATTAGCAAATGTGATAATTACAATAGCCAGCCCTCTGATCATTGCAAATGTATATAATATTAACTAAAATACAGGTATATATCACCAGTCCTTTTTTATCAAGTAGAGTTTTGGCATGAGGGTAAATGCAGGTATTAAACTATAAACATAATGTAAATTTAGACAAATCAATAAACAATTATCCTCATTCATGATAAAGGAGTAAAGATTTCCCACATATTCTTCAGGAATCATTTTGTGAATTAGTTATATACAACTTAGTTCCTTGCCTCTTTTAATTTTTTCACAGCACAAGGTTCTTCTCCTGAGAATCTACCCCTGAAGACAACTCCGAATCCTCCCTCATCGATGAGACAACCTCCATCTTTGACCTTCTTCTGATTAAAGCCTTTCGTCATGCTTGATAGCTCTTCAAAGCTAAACCTCTGAACTATTAAACGATATCATAATAATGATAATTATAATATTGATAAAAAGAATAACAACGATTATAGTAATGATAATAACAATGATTATAATAATAATAATACTGCCAACAATAATAATAATAATAGTAACTACTAAAAATGACAATAACTATAGCCTCTTGAAATTAATTATGCAATTATAAGCACATAATAACTGTAATAAAGCAAAATTCAATCAGTTTAAAGCAACCATAAAATAGCTCTTAAAAAGTCCCACTGGTCAATTAAAACCAAAGCCTTATCCTTACAGAACATAGAATAGATGTAGGACCAGAGGAATATCACCATGATATCAGCTGTTAAAGAAGATGCATTATAACTACCATACATGTATACAAAAAACGCTAAGAGGAGACAAGAATCACAGTATCTTTAGACAAATGGTCTTTATTTAAAATGCTTATGTATTACACATTTCCATGGGAGATCTTGATCAAGGAAAAAAAAAATCATGTAGCTTTTATAAACATTGTCTACGAGACAGTTGGTCTTTCTAAACAGTTTTAAAAAAATTTAAAAAACGGTGCTTATTAATATTAGTATTAATATTAACAGTGCTTTGGTCATTAAAGCAGGTTTGACTGCATTTACCTGTTTGGGGATCAAAGTTCGGTAGTGTTGTCGAGTCTGCTGGGTACTCCGATTTGGGTACTGGTTTTGCCCCTGGTCTGGGAGGTATATTAGGAGGTGTTGATGGAGTCCATGGATGAATGTTTGCTGCACCATCAGCTGCCTCTGGCTCCTCTCGTAAAACGTCTGCACTAGAACCTTGCTCGAGAGATCAAATTAAATCACATGATGATAAAAGTTTCTGATCTTTTATAGAGCTACGCATTATTTAATGTCACAGTGGAAAAGATAACACTTAAGTGATACTTGTACGTTTTTCAATGAATAGGGTAAAATATACGACAAATCTTTAAATTTGTCTAACATTGTATGGAAATAGTCCTATATTAATCATGTTAAATTTGCCTAATCAGTATAATCATTTATTTTCAAGGTGTGACTGTTATGTTTAAAAAAATTATGTTTGGCCACTATTTTTCCCCAAATTTTTCCCCTTCACTTTTAATGTTTAACTCAACAATAATCAATATATAACTTGATATTCCAAAATAATTTATTTCTCAACAATTTGATAACCTTTCACTTAAATATTGATACTCAAACATCACTAAAACCAACAAATGTGTTAACAGTAACCCATCCAACTTTCTGAACAGAAGACAAGTTTAGTGTTTTTCTTAAATCTACTAATATGTCAACTACTTTACAATCTATACTCTATATATATATATATATATATATATATATATATATATATATATATATACAATTACATACATGTACATATCAATACTATGGCCAGTACCTATGTAGGGAATTTATATAAGACAATAATATAATTTAATTATTGTTAATATTACCATTATTATTATTTTTATCATTGTTATTTTTATTTTTATAGTTATCATCATTACTATTATCATTACTGTTATCATTATCATTATAATTATCAACCATTATTATCATTCTTATTGTTATTATCATCGTCATCATCATTGCTAATATTACAATCCGTAAATGAGAAATTTAAAGCAACTCCAATTTGGTTAAGAAGTACCTGGTAGAAGAGCATCCATGGCCGCTAGGTGATGCATTTCACCAAACACCCTGAGAAGATCCGATACCCTAGCATTAGTGGTGCCCCAGTCCTGTAGGACCGACTCTGTAGGACTACCTCCTGGTCTCTGCAATGCCAGTGCAAACATGCTGGGAAGGAGGGGGAGGAGGGGGAGGAGGGGGAAGGAGGGGGAGGGAGAAAACAAGGATAACAGATTGATCTATATTTGCCCTTGTTAATAATCCAACAGGAGGATTGGAATAAAGAGGCAAAGTTTGATTAGCATGAAAATGAAATACTTGTATAATCAATACCTCTTGTTACAGAATCAACGTTTAACTTTTGATATTAATAATTAAATACATGTACAATATTTTCAAAAGTCTCCACTCTTGTTGCATACATGTTGAATCATGAATAAAGTAACATCCTGAAAGTTCACTAATATCATTATTTTTATATTTTGCATTGTATTAAAAAACATTTCATTAATCATAACTTCCATATGCAGATTACTCTGGACATTTCTCAATGATCCTGATCATATTCATGTATGACAAGGATGAGATGTAATTAAACTCCTAAAAACTGTTCTTCTTTTTAAGTTTGAACATCGATATTTCTCTTGTTACTATATTATCATACTTGATGTTGATATCATTTAAAAGACTCCTTATTTCTCTTTACAATTATGCCCCATTTGTAATGATTATGTAATCATGGAATGTGAAGTAATGTTGTAATGTTATTCTTCATTTCTTTTGAGGATGTATAATTTTAATGTGATTGTAGCATTTATACATGAATGCCAATGGTGTATTCTCCTATAATGAAACACGTTTTTAATGTGGTCATTCACGAATTGCAAGATGTTGTTTTCACCTTTTGTTTGGAAGATGAAATGTGTTTTGAATCAACCGATTGTGAGATCATCAGTGTGTTTGAGTATCCATCCTCCAAACAAATGAAGATTTGTTGACAATTTTGCAATGTTTCACTTTTGACTTGGCCCCATTTTCAAGTGTACTGCACATCCCATGATTACGTAACAAGTACGAATGGGGCATCATTGTAAAAAAGAAGTAACAGGTTTTCAGAGATACCAACATCAAGCATGATAATATAGTAACAAGAGAGATATCAACACTTAAATTTGAATTGCTGAACATTTTTGAGGAGTTTATATCATAGCTCATTTGATACCATAAAGTTGATCATCTCAATAAATAACACAAATTCATTAGGACATAAAACATCGCTTTATATAGTCATGGGAAACAGTTTGTTTGTTTTTTAAACGAACACACACTGTACAGATACCTTATTTGCTGGGTGTTATACTTGAGTTCTTGGACACCTGGTCGCCGTGGCAACAGAGCAGCCATGCCTCTCCAGTCCATGTATGACCCAATCTGATGGTCAAGGCATAGAGCTAGCCTTCTTATAGCACTCAAGGGGAGTTCTCGGATGAAAGTGTCCCTTGTCACATTCATGCTTGTTCGTCTGTGTTGAAAGATTGTCAACAATAAAAGGCATGTCTAGAATTAGACAGAAATAACCATCTGATTTGGGTCATTTCTTTAATAAAACTGACATTTGTTGTCATTCCCCAATACAGATGGTAACCCAGAGATCTCGTACCGTGGGGAGGGCTATGAACATCTTTTCGTTCACGACATTTTCTTCCCGATTTTCTTTATTTAGATCTAATTTTCTGATTTCTAAATCAGATGTAAATTAGGTCGGTATGTCACTTGTCCTAATTGCAGTTATCAAAATTTGATAACTTAATATTAAATGTATAATTTACGGACTTACTTATATGAATTATCCAACTTGTATGTCTGAACTGTGAAACAGTACGTTCATGCACTCGAACATAGGGCTATATGACCCGGCGGCCAAAATATGTCCGGGTCAACCTACCAAAACATAGCCAAATGGCCAATCAGAGCACTCGTTTCGTGGGAGTTCGTTGGTCAAGCCGGGCTGACTCGTACGAAGGTACGGTAGCTATTGGACGTTCGAAAAGAAAAAATGAATATTCATCAACTAAAACCAAGACAGATAATGTTGACGACGAGACTTTCTCGGATTAATCATTAATTTAGGATCTAAATCAGCAAGCTATCGTAAGTCAAATAAGCTATATATATGTTATTTTTAATTTTTATTATAATTGCTGCAGTTATGAGGATGTAAAGAGTGAAAATCTTGTTGCATATCTCATTCATCGCGGTCCGGTCGAACCGAACCATTTGTTCCGTACAGTCCCGTACAGTCCCGGATAGGCCATACTTCAGTCTCTATAATCGGAGGTCTAGTGGAGCCAGACGTAGTCTCAGTGGAACAACCGACGATTAGAGAGACTGAAGCTTTCGGTCTAGTCTAGAATAAAAAATCTATTTCGAATTGCAAAGTTAATTCAATTTTCTTTCTTTTTTCTTTTCTGTGAAGTAATTCCTTATTCACTGACATTTCTTTTTCAGATTTTTTTTTTCTTCAAAGACGGTCATTTCTGTCTAAAGTTTACATGTAAGTAAGGCTATACTTCAATTTTCTAGCCTCGTAGCGTAGTCAAAACTTTCTTACCTACGGAGTATCGGTCTACATACATTACATATACAATACTGTCCCTGTATCTTTCTGAACATTTCATACATATTTTTTCTCCCGATTTTCAGTTTATTTTTCTATACCAACTTCTAATGAAAGTAATTTCCTCTACAAATTTAAACTTACTGAATAAAACTGAAGATGAATTTAAAGTTAAACTTACTCAGTCAAACTGAAGTGAAGATGAATTGTTTGCTAACTCGGTCTCGGACACTTGCTGCAGATCTAGATCTCCTTTCCTGACTCCACAGTTCACAGACACAGTAGGCCTATTGTGAATATATTTGCCCATATATTATAGGCCTACTGATAGCTAAAGACCTAAGGGTATACTATATTTTTAGTACATTATTCATTAGGCTTAGCAAAAATCAAAGTCTAAATATACAGTGCAGTGAATGTCTTTAATACAACTTGATCTTGGTGAAGCCGAAGACACATAGATCTAGAATCTACAGGTACATCCGCACGCAGAACAACGTGAAAAAGAATGATCAACGACATTAGGGAAAGTACCCTACTGCTATTTCCGGGTTGAAGATAGTCGTTTTTACAGGTGTTTATAGCATAAACCTAGGAATCACTGAACGTGATCGACACGATCCCAGAATTACAACAAAAAACGGCTTCTTAAAGGCTAAGTTTATTACCATTCGTATGTGTAATGGAACCATTAAATGTTATGTGCAGTTTCAGGTATTAAATGCTCAAGGCCGGGGCTCAAGAACAACGAATTCGAGATTTTGAAAAGGTGAGCGCAATCATACAATTGTTTTATGGTACACTATTTCAATTAATGTGCTCTAAATTGAAATCTAAGGATCCAATTAACGTTAACTAAGACTGAACGTGAGACACAAAGTATGCCAGCTGCAGTCCAGCTCGTTCAACTTCAACTCGGTGAACGCCTAGCCTCCATCTGCGAGCAACTACATGTAGCTAGCGCTAGCGCAGGCCAGAAGGTGCGGGCAGGTGGGGCCTGAGCTGAGTGCTGTAATTTTGATGCCATACAGCAGCAGTACTAGCTACTACTAGACCAAATTTTTCTGTCTCTTTCGTTTGTAAGCCTTTCATTTAGAGAGGAGCCGACCCTACCCAAATCAGAGGCTAACGAACGAAAGAGACAGAAAAATTTGGTCTATACTATAGGGTCTAGAGGTCAGGTGTTTGTTTTGCTGTACGTGTCATAGCAAGGCGATCCTTGGGTTGAAATGATGGGGCAAAGTGGACTACTAGTACTAGTACTAGATCTAAAATGTCGTCATTCACTCTCATCACTCTCATCAACGATGACAGTTCAATCTAGATCTAACAATTGTTACAAGTACAAGTTAGACAGCTATTTTTAATTTTTATGGTAAATGTAATTCTAAAGATGTTGAGGTAAAAGTTAAAACCAGACTTGGTCTGACTCTTGGAGGTTGTTCACACCGGCAGAGATAGCGCGCGCTAGACCTCGCTATCTCTGCGGTTTGGAAGGTACAACGTCGTTTCGGTCCGCCCAACAGCGAGCCACGGCGAGCCAAAACGGCGTGCCACTGGAGCACCTCTTGGGGGTGGTCCACGAGAGATAGCGCGGTCTAGCGCGCGCTAGAAAAAAAGGGGTGCTACGATAGACCGCGCTATCTCATTGCGGTGTGAACAACCTCTTGGATTCTAGAAAACCGTGTTCAATAGCTGCCTACGGCTACCTCTACAATGCTAGTCTAGGCTTTACAATCCATACCGTTTTAAAGTGAATATGTTCCAAGTTCATGTACCGGGTATATAGAATGCTCTATGTGGGTATATAGAGCTTATATAATGCTGCTGCCGCGCTGAGTTCGAACTGTGCGATTTCTACCCCTCGTTATCTTGGCTTCGGACCTGGTTTCATGCAGAGGCTGATCTTTTTGAGGTTGCTGGGGCTTTTTATTATCGGTACATGTATTTAACAATAACAAGGTAATTGTTGTGTGTACATGTATATGCTGTGGGCCAGTGACCATGTGATCTTTGTTTAATAGTATCCAGAGCTCCAATAGCAATGATTTTGGTGGTGTATAGAACCGGCAGCTTTTCATCTAAAATTTATATCATGATGATAGCCAATTTATGAAACAAAAAACCAAAGTCGACACCCAAAGCATTGACATTTCTTGTTAATTAAGACAAAATGTATGTAGATCTATCATCTAGACCAAAAATAATTTTCCTTTGGAGCCTATTATATCTTGCTCCTCCAAATGAGCCACAACTATTGTGAAACTCCTCCAAATCTAACCAGACAAGTTTTCTTATTTATTTGATTGTTCTTTAAACAAAAAAATTGTTTGTATGTTTTTGTCTTTAATTTGATTTTGCTTTCATGATGTAATAAAAGTAAAATGAGTGGTGTTTCGGTGAATTTAAGGCAATTTTTCATGTGATGATAGGAGACGTAGGGATTAGCAAGGATTGGTCCAAAGTCCAATGTAGATCAGGTGATGTAGATTATAATCAAGTAAATGAATTTTTGAGTAATTCATTTTCATTTTGACAACTCCAAATTTTTGGCACAGTATATTTCAAAAGGCCCTGAATCAGCTAGTCACTCTGTAAATGAGTATTCTTTTTTTTTTATTGTTTTTAAAACTATAGTGTAGCAGTGCTTGTTTTCCATAGCCCCACATAGCTATGGACACGCTGTTGTGTTGTAAATATGAACAAACAGTTCATTTCAGTATATATGTTTGTCCCTCTGAAAGTGAGTTGACCCTATATTTCAGAGGATATGAGATATGACTTGTTCTTATTTCTTGGTGATTTGAATATGTTAATAGTTCCGTTTGATATGTTATGAACTGAGATTTTAACAAGGGTTTGACACTAATAGCAAAAGGTAGCCAGGATACATGGGCACCCCAAAATCTAAGACTTGGGCTCCCTAAATTTCAAAATGTTAACAAAGAACCCATGCATACAGAGTTACAGGCTCTAACATGTTCAGTCTGATGTGGAGTCCTGATAAAAGTATGATCAAACTGGTCAGGTGACTAAAGAAGGTGAGTTGTCTGAACTCACTCTGAAGCAGGGCTCAAATTAATTTTTTGTCCACGGGGGCTCTTCCCCCGAAAAAAGAGCCCCCGTGAGCATTCTCACGGGGGCTCTTTTTTATACAAATATCCTTTGAATTGGTACCTATGATACTCCTCAATTATTTGCTATTTCATCATTATCATTTCAATCAGCATTTTCCCTCGTACAAATTTACAAGCTACATAGCTGTTACTTGCCTGTGTATATACGCATACAACACTGATCATTATGATGTCTTTAAAGTTGACACTAAGCAAATAAATGTCCCTTAATTTGTTACCTACTGCAAGTATACAGTATGTTATTTTTAAGTTTTTCAATTACTTAGTATATCACAAAAAAATTCTGTCTACTCGAAATCCTCAATTGAAATGTCAAAAATATCTGCCTCTCTTTGCATAGAAAACCAGTCACGGCGCTGGTCTACTATTTATGACCTCACGTCCGTGAAAGAGTATATTCACGCACCCGGATTTTCCATAGCAAACATGTGCAGAGTGATACGATTTTCTGTATATTTTTGTTCAAAGGCTGAAAAGTCTAATAAATCATAATTCTATGTACAATTCTTTACCTTCCCCTAGTACTTCATAGTATTAATATCAATTCCCCTTTTAAGAATTATGACATATACATGCCAACGATGTGCTATTAGTCGATATTTTCACCATGTAACTTTTGTTTTGGTGTTGAAATCGGCCCAGGCACGGAGTGAACAGTAGCTGTCTACCCATGCACAGTTCATTACCATACACTACAGCGATCTCCCGATGGTTTCTTCTTCCTTTTTCCCATGTTTTTTGCCTTCCTTGGCCCTGAAGATCCTTCATCTACCAATTCTGACACCGGTAGTCAGGAGCAAGTCTTTGTTAGTTGTTTTTCTTAGCTGGCAACGTCGCTTTCATTCTCTTGCAATTGCCGATAAACATATAACTAGCGCACGTACGTTCCATCACAAGCAAGCAGCGCCTAGAGCAGCGGCTTGGTCTTACCTCCCGATTCTGCTCGCTTCACGAACGTTCATGCAAGAGCCGCATCACTCGCCAAAATATTATAGAGGAAGCGCGCTTGCATGATCTCGTTCAAGTTTGATATTTTACAACATAAAATGTTTAACTGGTACTGTATCCTTTTTTGAGGCAGTCACACACATCTATGATAAGTACTATCATAGTTCTAGACCTATTCGTTTTACAAAACTGCTCCTGTACCTTATCTGATGACAATATATAATGCATCCGCCTATATTCATACATGCACGATTTAACTTTAATTCCTAAGCAGTAAACTCGTCTTAAATCTCTACCAAATAGGTGAATATGAGGATATAAAAAGAAATCAGCGACTGGAAAATGTTGCTTCGTTATTCTTCATTCAAATGAAAACAGAAAATCCATCAAATATACTCCTTAACAACAACAAATCTAAGCTCTGACAGGATAGCATTTACGTAGGGATATCACTGCCATTCACTCTCACTGAGCCCATGAGTCCCGTTCGTGACGTCACGGATAGAGGCCCGACTCTACGTGCACTTCCGGGTTTCAGACTTAGATATTTTGGTAGAGTTTACTCGAATAAATTCATTATTCTAAACTTGTTTTGTCGGGTGGACACCATTTGGTGTTATTATGGGGGTTAAAAGCTTTCTATTTATGTAATTATCTCAGTATTTGGGATTGTCTTAGAGTATCAGCTTTAACGTGACATATCTTCTTCTCCCCTTGCAAACGAAAAAGAAAACATGGTCATTAAAAGGGATTAAGCGACAAATAATGATTGTGATTCAAATTGATGTGAATATTTGTTTGAATAAGCACTGCTATTCACCCGAATCTTCTTTGTAAAAACAACTTTTACGAATCTCAGCCATGCTTACTGAGTTGAGACGTTCCATTCAATTTAAAATACCCATTACATAATACACTTCTCCTAATCTCAAAGTGATCTTACAGCACAGTGGCAGAATTGCATGGCTGAGATTTGTAAAAGTCAGACTCGAGCATTCGACTACACGTCGCAGCCCTACTCTGAAGTCTTGTCTTCATTGCTTGGCAAAATACTGTGAGCACTTGGTATTAAATTGACATTTTGTTTAGTCTACCATTTTCTATAAGCATCGATAAGTACAGATAAGTGCTGATAGAAAAAACACTTACTTTTTAAAAAACAATGTTCCTCCCATTTACATGACTACAATTAAGGCTTGTTCATACATGTATACTGCGTGGTAAACAACAGCAAAAAAAAAAACACCCATGTTTTTTTTTTTTAAAGTGTAACTGAATGGGAACTGCAACAAAGAACTTTCCCGTACCTTCACTGAGCTCTGTGTTATAAGATACACAAATATGAAGCATATATAACATTTGTGTACAATCAAAATAAATACCCCAGTTTTGCTGCATCGTACATGAATGCACCTCTACAACATGTAGGCCAATAATGGCTTATGTGCTTTTAAAACTATCAGAACATTTCATTTTCTCTTTGAAAATGCAAAGATAAAGTTGGTATGTCCTGTTTATTTGCAATTTTAATGAGTTGAGAATAAACTAATAAACATGGAGTAATAACCAGTCAATGAACATTTAAAGGGAGTGTGTCATGACGACACTGTGTCTTTCCCGTGGCCCTAATCTGGGCCAATCGGGTAGAATATGACTATGGACGATGCAACCGCAGCATTCATGTGCGAGCAACATACGCGAAACCGAAGCGTGAGGAAAACTTTGGTCTGTTTCGCGAGTTAATCAAGTCCATTCGTTTATGTGCAGTTGTCCAAAAGAAGACGTAGATGGCGTCAACCACTAATTCCCATAACTCCCTTTAAAGGGATCCAGTAACTTTGTCTCAGATTCTGAAATAAAATTCTGGATTTAGCTCATGATGCAATGATAATTATAAACCTTAAGGTCAGTCAGGAACCCCATGACTTTTACAAGCCGATCGCCTGTCCGATTATCAAGATATTTATGATTGGAATTACAAATTTTGAAAACCGTTCGCCTGACGGTTTTCATAACACTACAGTTTATTGGGGAAAACGAGTATGGTATAACTGGTCACTCAAAGATTTTTACTTTTTTGAGGCACTTCTTGATTATTTTGAAGCGCGATTTTTTTAGGGCTTCAACGTTACACCATATCACAGACACTGATAACATGTAGGACCGTGTATCTCAGATTTAACATTGTTAAACGATCCCTTTAAAGCTTGAGATCTACAGTATCTCTTTGAAACTTTCAAAAGTTCCTTATTATAAATCTCCTGTCTTTTCTTGTTTTGTCCATTTTTTCTACTTTGGGGGGGGGGGGGAATTCAATGTCCAACATTTTAATTGTGCAGGGCATTGTTTATTATAAAAGCTCATGTATGCAGAGACGCCAAGTTCAAAGATCGGCAATGCGTGACATTTTCATGATTTGGCCCGCGAGCGCGTGTGCGAGGGTATAACACACGTATAAGGTATAGCGTTTTTTCAAAATCTAACGCGCGCGTCGTGCATAAGAGCATTTTCAGACCCTCGAAATGCGTGATGTCACGCCTAATGCGTGATACTTGGTAGCTCTGTGTATGAGTTGCTATGAGCCTATGAGGAGTATTATTGAAGTGCCGAACTGTCTCAATCTTACCTTCAACATTTCAAATAGTCACAATCATCATTACAAGTTTATCTCTTGTTATTTAAAGTCATTTTTGGGGTAAGTATACTGAAAGAATCAAATGTTAGGATTACCCTGCTGCTGACCTGGGCAAGTCAAGCACAGATATCTGCCATGTACTTAGTTGCAATTGTACTTGCAGTGTTTACATTTGAGAATATCCAAAAAGATCTGGAGATACAGAACCGGGTTTACATGCAGCAATGTGTAGTCAAGGCAGCATCCCAGGTGTAGTCATGAATCATGAGGTACATGAATAATGTATTGTAATTGGGCAAAGCAGAGTATGTGTTAGTGAAAGTGGGTCTGCACATCATTCTTGTTAGGGGACATATCCATGTCCATTACATATAGGAATACCATGACTTTTTCAGCACTTTTTGTCGAGTGTTGTAGCTCCAGGGGGCTTTTGAGGTAGGTGCCCCGACGCCATCACCCATAACTTGGTATTAAAAAAAAAGGGGGGAAAGGAATAACATAAAAAGAAAGGAAAAGAAAGGGAGAGGAGGAAAGAAGCATGAAAGAAGTTAAGTGTGATATCCGCCCACTCCACCACCCTAGTCAATAGCCTGGATAATTTATGTTCTGTCCGTCTAGTGAGATCAACGCCTCCAATGATGCCAATGACCTTTCATTGCCAGGAGACCAAGATGCCATGCTGCATCCCTATTTTTTTGTCATAGATTTATGCAAGGTATCTCCTAGAAGATCAGGTTAAATTTCTAGAAAGTAGTATGAAGAGAAAATTATGATCATTTACAGCATGGGCAAAATCAAAGTACTCTTGTTTCTTAGTCTTAGAAGCTGTCAAGAACAAAAACCTTTCAATTGTAAACATAGCTTAAAGAGAAGGTTGAGTTCTGGGAAAAGGTGAAAAATAATTTGTGAGCGTTATCATTCTTATTATGCCAGTGTGGAAGAACATCAGATAAGACATGTTCCCTAAAAAGCATGGCTCTTCAAATGCCTTTTTATTCTAAATATGTCATGTAACATCGTAAAACTCGGGGGTAGGATTTTTACGCCACGTGTTCGTGTAGTCCCATATACATCTTTCTGTGTACAGTGTTTGTAACTTTACCAAGACTTGGCCAAATTTCTTATCATTTTGATGATTCCAGAACCTTGCAATACACACAAATTCTTATGCTAGATGATCAACCTTTTCTGGTCGATTCCACACCGTTTCTTTCACAATGCAATCGTATGACCAGAACTCAACTTCGTCTTTAAGTCGTATAGTTACTTGTTTCAGTGATGATGCACAACATTAAATCATTTGGCCAATTACTTCTGAACGCAGGCTTAAGCCTCTATATTCTGTTCCAAAGTCCTTCTTCAACTTTTTTGTTTTTGTTTCCCCCTGTAGGGTTGGAAAGGTATTGGAAACTTACTTAGTTCAGATTATTCAGGTCAGGTTCAAACAAAAAAATTGAATGCTAACCAGAAAAATCCATGAGGTCTAGGCCATAGCCAAGCATCATTTCCTGCTTGATGATGAATTTTTGTGTAAACATAATACTTTGCACAAAGTAAGACTAATGATGATGTACGTGTACAAATGCAACTGTCCATGCCATACCATTTCATTATTTATACAGAGGTTATCTGTACAATGATTTCATTTTTTATTACAATAAAACCATTACGGTACCTAGATGTCCCCCAGTTGTGCCCTTTGACCAATTGTTATGTGATATTTTCTCTCAATAACTGTTTTCATTATTTTTTTTTTATACTTTTGTTGCTAGCTGAACTGGAATACAATCAGTTGCATTTATGATTGTTGTTCCTAAGGTTTTTTTTATGAAGTAATCATCTTTGATTACATGTTAGTCTTTTTTAATTTTATTGCTGCTTCAGCTCCCATTGAAGACAAGCCCCCTGTTCATATAAAATAGATCTCTGAATACCACAATATTGCTTGCCAATTGGCATTGGAATTCGATAAGCGATTTTCCTCTGCCACTTTTTACATTATAGGCAGGCGATACAAAGACCCCAGTAATACTGCAGTATTGTAGCATGCCCCATTCGTGTACACGTCAGTAGCAATACATTAGTCATGTCAATCGGCAAGTACCACCTTCCATTGTGGTTACCCAGCATGCAAATCTCAATTCAGATTTTCAGTCAAGGGGTAGAGACTTGCGAGCAACACCTCTTGTATTTCATTGCACAAGATGTGAATGTGAATGTTACAGATACATGTACTTTTCAGATATTGGCAGCAATGTAACATTTTTCTTTGATAGGTTCCAGCAGGAAAAAAGTAACCACATAATTAATAGCTGTAAAATATAAGGAAGCAAAATACCAAACATTTTTTGGTATGACCCATTTATATCTTTCACTATCGATAGCATGTCCGAAAATAGCAGGAATGTTTGGGGCTAATGCGCTTTTTTTACAGATAGATGGCAGAATTAATTAACATACCCCCTGTCCACACACAACATTTTCCGTGACTAATCATGATTAGCTATACCGTTTCGCGATAGTGATACCGTTTCGCGATAGTTTTACGACCAAAATTGTAGGTGTGGACGCTCACTAACGATACGTCGTATAACGAAACTAGTCTAACGAAACGCAGGTTTGGGCATCGTTTCGAACTGAAACTCGATAAAGAATCACGCCTAATCACGGAAAATGTTGTGTGTGGACAGGGGGAGTGTAACTAGTGTAACTAACTGGGCGGGGCTTAACGTGACCTCGAGCGAAATGAGACCAGACCTCTTAATTATCACTATCGCGAAACTCTATAAAGAATCACGGAAAATGTTGTGTGTGGACAGGGGGCATTTTATACGATGATTCTTTAGTGACGACGTTTCTTGTGTGTGGACATCCTGGAATTTATACGATGATTCTTTATACGACGTATCGTTATAGAGTTTCGGGATAAATTGTTTTGTGTGTGGACACGCTGATAGCTATAGAGAGGGATCAGTAGAGATTTGGACAATAAAGGTAACACAAGCGCTATCTTTGAATGTTGGGTGCCGATAAACCTACATTATAATCAAGCTATAGTAACTAGCAATAACCCTGATAAACTTATCTCCTATCATTTACTTTGCTAAAGGTCAGCTTTTGGTAGCTAGACAAGATTTGTATACTATTCATTACCAAAATCTTATCAGTATTGACACGATTTGAGTCTGAGAGGTCGTACCGTGTTTGCTTTGTTGTGAGTAACCAGGTCCTCACTGTAAAGCATAAATTTATGATATCATTCATATAAATGGTAACAAAGATCATATTGCTTCCTGTTGATAGGCGGGCGTTGCACTACCCCTGTTGCTCGTTCCATAGGGTCTGTATCCTTGTTCCGTTTTGGTCAGCTTAATTTCCACCGACGTCAATTATTTATGGCTCTGATTATTTCCGGTCAGTTATCCACTGACGTCAATTGTTTATTACTCTCTGATTATTTCCATCAAGAAATATTAGAATTCGTTTCGAATTCAAATCTTTCACGATTATATTGTCTTATATCTCTTTAGGGCTTCAGTAAAGTGAAGATACACATGTAAGCTCCACAACCTGTCTCCGTTTTACAGCTAGCTGTCAAGTCATCATGATCGCCAAGTTGATTCTTTGGATGTCTGCTCTCATCTGCTAAGGAGTGTTCTCTTGGAGAAGTGTTCTCTTCAACCCCTGACTGGTCCATAAGAGATATATTCTACGATGGAGCTGGAGTGCACGTTTGACATACAGAAAGATATCCTCCCGTATGTACTTGGCAGGGGAGAGGAGGCTAACAAAAAAGGTATTTTTCCTCATAGTTTTATTGCAATTTCTTGAAACACATTTTCTTTTGATATCATGTTAATGTATTTTGTAGCTGACTTGATGTATTTATTGACAACTCATGGGTTGGATTGCCCTTGTCAGCTAACAGCTGTTTTTTCAAAGGGGTTCAAGCTAGCGGTTAACAATAAAAAGAAATATATGAACATACAAATATATACTTATAACCAGCAATCATGAAATATTAATCATGTGCAAAGTAACAAAATAACATTCAACAAATTACAGCAACAACAACAACAACAAAGTACACTGATAAATATAAAGGGCGATGACACAATACAACAGAATCCTACATAAAGAGAGAGGGTGGAGAGTGGGTGGGTCCCAGATTGCAATTCCCATTTTACTTAATGGTTAGAAAAATAATTTTACACGTAAGAAAGTAACACAAAATTGAAGAAAAAGCAGTGACTAGTACTTTGATTTATTGCCTGTAAAAAAAATTCTAGTAGTCAAATGCCTTTTTCTTTAATCATAAAAACATGATGAGAAAACGAGTGAAGAAGTAGTGAAGGAAAAAATGAAAGAAAAACTGATGACTAGTAATTTGATTTATTGCCAGTCTCAAAAAAGTTGCCGGTCATGTGTTTGACGTTTGTTTCACTTTAGAAGAAGGCCTCATTCCAGATTGTATAAAATCACAAATTCAATAGATATTTAAAAATTATTAATATCTATTATCTATTAGTGTAGACTGCTTGATGTTCTCTTGTTTTTGTACTTGTAGTTTTAAGCATCCCTTTTGGGTTTGGTGAGCATTATTATTTATAATACTCATGAAATCCTGCAGTGTAACATTTCACTTGATACTGATCATGCATTGCCCAGCTTGTCACTAAATACTCTTTGTTTAAAATCAGTGATTCTGTAGCAAAATTGACTTGACCAAATGCTTTCTTGGATGAAATCAGTCCCAAGACTCTGTATTCTGGGATGAAATCAAGTTGTAAGATTGACATTTGGTGTCCCCTCGCATTAAAGTATTTGGTGACGTGCTGAAATTCAAATGAAAATATGACTTCACTTTAATAATACCCAGTAGTTCAAGTTTAAGTTCTTAAATTATATTGTTACCATGTACTGTACCATTGTAATCATATACTTCATCATGTTTGCCTGCAGAATGGATGCTTACATTTAAACTGAACTTAAAGATAAAGACCAGTTATGGTCATGCGATTGCATTGTGAAAGAAACGTTGTGGAATCTATCAGAAAAGATTGATCATCTAGCATATAAGTATTGGTGTGTACTGCAAGGTTCTGGAATCATCAAAATGATAAGAAATTTGGCCCAGTCTTCGTAAAGTTACAAGCACTGTACACAGAAAGATGTATATGGGACTACACACACGTGCGCGACACATGCGTTTATCTCTCACACACCAATAGATAAACTAATTTACCAAATATATCGATTAGTAGGCAGTTTCCCGCAAAATTTGTATCATCATGTATTAGTCAAAACATACTCTTTCACATGATTGGTAATAAGAGCTTCCATTTCATTTTTTGAAATTGGGGCGTTTCCAATACTGGTCTTTACCTTTAAACACGTAATGCTTTATAGCACAATTAATTTATGCATGTAGGAAATTGATATTCATTCATTTGATAATTATATTGAGCTTTTTTATATATCTTTCTACTGATAATTTTGTGTACCCATTTGCATGTATACCCTTGGCCCACACGATCTTGACAAATCAGAAATCACACACAGATTTTGTTGTTCTGTTCTACGTCCAGGTCACTCAGATAAGGACATCACTGTGCGTGTGGTAGGTCAGGAGAGAGATGGCACTCTGCTCTACACATGGGATGATCTTGCACCAGTCGGTGTCAGTTATGTACAGGTCACCCACATTGGACTCTACGATCCTGCTGAACAAAAAAATGAAGTAAATTTCCTACTTTTGGGGTCTTTTTACTGTTTCTTACTAAATGTTCAGTCATTTGAGCATACCGTAATGTAACTGAAAGCAAATTGAATGAGAAAAAGAATAAAAGGAAGAGGTGAGAATAAAAAAGAGAAGAAAGGGTCTTCACATTCAAGGATGACGTCTTTTTAAATATGGAATTTTTAAATAAAGTTCTAGGAAACTAGTAAATGATGGGGCCAGATTTAAGGTCTTTACTCATTTTGTTCCATTAGTAAAGTGGATAGAATGAGTTCTTATAGTTCAATGAGTGATTGGAACACAAATATTATCCTTTGTATAAGTGTGATATGTATGGAATGAAGAATATTATCACAAAAATTATCACATCTCCTTGAATCCATCATGACTTTTATCATTAATCATCACTTCCAGTCAATTTTATCCCACTGACAGATAGAATAATTGTAAAACATACCAGTAATTAATAGTAGCAGCTGGATTGTAGCAAGAATAGAGATATATTATCTTTACAATTGATTGTAAGTTGATTTTAATGAAACAGAGCTGTTCTAATTTAATGTGAGTGTTATGTAACTTGGGTCAGGACATTGAGAAATGGAGTATTCCAAACTGTTACTTGATAGACAAATCCTCCTTTAGGCCTAAAAAAAAAAGATGTTGTATTGCCCCTTAGGTGCCAAAACATAATTTTTTTTACTCCCTCTTTGGGCTGATATTTCTCATTTTTTTCCATTTTTTTTCTAAAAAAACGGTAAAAAAAAATTAAAAATTAAAAAGCTGACACTAGATTTCAAGATTTTTGAGTTGGTTGCAAAGGGCAATACAACATTTTTTTGTTTAGGCCTTATATTCATGTTCCCATCGCTGTTCCTCTTATGTGCCCATGCAGTGCCTCTTTGTGCATGATTGTAAGATCGTGATCACCAGCTGCTCCATCAATCAAGACCACAGTATCCTGGCTTACGTCGTCAAGGAGACGCAGCCCGCATCACCTCTGGGGCTGGGGGAGGAAGATGCAGGGGCATCCTCATCGGCTACCACCTCACACCAAGTGCAAGGTAGCTGGACAAATTGTTTTCAACATTGATAATTTCAGTGGATAACTATTATTTTATAAATACCAGCAATTATTATGTTCATGTATAGATAAGGTTTTTAGGTTTCAGTCTTGTGGTGGAGTGTTTTAACATTTGTATAAAGCAATTAAACATCATCTTTTATAAGAACTGATGAAATTGCTTTTTAAAAGGTGATTTAGATAACTTCATGCATTTGTGCTTGCCTACCGAATTCCAAGGTTAATGGAAGCCCAATCTACATGTTACAATTACCTCAACCAATGATGAACACTTTTGGTATAATTTTGATGTTGCCTCCCCAGATGTGTACAGGGCATTTCTTGCTGAGATTCAACCTCAGCATGCCATCTTTGATCTGAATGTTGAGCGGTCTTCTCTGCTGCATGTCCAATTCCTTAGGCCAAGGTCAGCCCAGGGTCTTGCTGACCCCATGACCTCTATGGTCAAGGACTGTAGGCTATTGGTCTTCCTTCACCGGGAATGTAAGAGAAAAAATCCTTGAACTTTACATAGCCATTATACTTTTTTATCACCTAGAACTTTATTTGTCTTTCAGCAATTAAGATAACTCTATCTCATACTGGAAGTGAACTAGAGGTTAAAAAATGCATCGATAGAGGCAATGGAGGTCAAAATCAAAATATAATTTGAGTCATATTTAATAATACACATCAATTATGATTCAAATAATATTTTTATCCAAATTATTTGCTTTAAAAAAAAACTGATTTGAATGAAATTATGCAAATATCACCGTGTATTTATCTTGTAACCTAAGGGATTTCTGATGAGCTTGATACACTTTTTTTTTTTAAATGTACAAAAATGTCTGTAAATTTGAAAAAGAGCATAATTACTTTTGTTCAATTAGATTGGTAGAGGTATGGTGTAGTTTACCCATTTATGGAGTGCTTAGACTCAATCTGCTCATCCTGTTAAAAATAACCATAATTCTGTAATGAAATGAACATAAAAAAAGTCTTGTCAACATGAAATCAATTTTTTTTTTACTCATATTCATTTTATGACTAGATGTTTTTTTTTTTACAGGGTTATTCATTTTGCAACAAAAGTACAATACTTTGTACAGAATAAAGAGATTGACAATGGACACTATATATGTTAGTGGACTATAAAGTGAAACCATTTTTAGTTTTAATATTCTAGTCCACTTTATGAATGCACGTCATAGTTTTCTGATTGATTATGATATCAGTTTTTTCTTCTTCAGATATCATGGAAATGGTATTATTCCTGTGGAGATTAAACTTTATAAATCATACATGTTGAACATGTTATTTAATGAAACAAACATCTGAATTGACCATTTGTTTTGCTTCCTTCACAGCCATTGGTCTGTACAGGGTACCCATAGCAAGAATGGGTAACAACAGTGTGGTATGTATTTAATTCATTTATATTTCCATCCAATTGTTACAAAATTTCATCCTATGGTATTATAAATTGTTTGAGTATCGAACATTTTCTTTTCAAATTGAAATTTTTAATGCTGACACTGTCTATGCATAAATATAATTACTTAAGAAGTTGTATTAAATGAAGAATATCAAATAGTGCAGAATGGAGAGGCTACCATCTGTTCATCCTAATGATAGTATACATTCCTGATTTGATGTTCATGTATTCTGTCTTAATGCCACATTGGATATTTGAGACAATTCAATTGCAATTTAAAGTACCGGTACGTTGCAACAAAAAATGAAATATCTGTTAAACTTTTTTTTCAAATGACCTTTGATGTTCAGTTATTGTTAACATTTGAAATTTCCTATTCAAGTCAGAATGGTCTGGCCATTACCAGGAGCTAATCCAACAGGGAATAATTGACCTTTGACTCATGACCTTCACCAGGTAATCAGCGGACCCCCAGATGCCCAGCCTGTGGTTAGCCGTTTCCTGTGGGCCCAGTGGGATGCACCTACCCAACGCCTCTTTGTCGTGCTCCAGCGGAATCGTCTTCCCTCCGAGCCTGAACAGCTGGCCATCTTCAGATGCTATGAGTTCACAGGTCAGGGGTCGCAGACATCCTTCACCAAAATGGTAATGAAACAGATTTTATTTGTGTGATGTCTTTAAAGGTAAAGACCAGTATTGGAAACGCCCCAATTTCAAAAATGAAATGGAAGCTCTTATTACCAATCATGTGAAAGAATATGTCTTGAATAATACATGATGATCGCCATCGCATGACCATAACTGGTCTTTAGCTTTAATAGAGTGTATGTCACAAAAAGATCATGTCAGCTGTTGAGAGCCAGAAGGGCGTTAAGTCTGTTTAAAAGTATATGACATGATGCCCTTTTGGTTCTCGACAGATAATTTACATCTTGATCATGGTACAAAGTTAGCTTTAAGCATTCGAGAGAGATGAAAAGGATATAAATACTGAACCCATAGAACATTGTTCAATAGACATGTGATGCAGGATATAAACTCACTTCACAGACTGAGTCTACATTGTGGTAATCTTTATTCCAAAAGCATTTAGAACTTTAAAAACCTGTATCATAGATACAATAAATGCAAACAGGTAAAATGTCTGAACAAGATAATTTTCATCTCACACAGAAAAAATTCACAAACATGAAACACAAGATGATTAACTTACGAAGACACTTGCTGAACTTTTGTCATATACAATTGAATAGATAATACTGGGAATAGTAGACAAGCAATCTCAACCCTATTCATTTGTATACCGGTAATCCATATGGCAACTCAAAGTAATTTTTCATGTCACATTTAAAGGATTGATAGCTATACACACGGTGTATAATGTACTAACAAAGAAGGCTGGACTGTCCCATTCCACTTGGGGTGGGGTTTAGGGAACTACCATGAGGTATTAAATAAAAACTATCTAGTATTACTTGGAAGTGTCAAGCTACCCTGCTACAGACAAATATTGCAATTACATGTATTGTGTTCAACAAATTCTGAACTTCCACAGATCCTGATGATAGTTTTTTGGCTTCTTACAAATCAGTATTAAATATTGTTTAAAAAAATATAAGCATACAAGCATACTTCACATGTATGTGTGAATCATGGAAAAGGTTTTGATTTCATGATATATTCTAAGTTGACGCATTGTTTGTTTGTGTCTCTCTTCTCTATTAGATGGAAATGGAGCTTCCTCCAGATATAAAGCTGACTTCCAGCAGGTCTGTATATTTACTCTCAGAAATTTGTATGAACCAAATTTCAGATTTCAAACAAAAAATAATAATGAAATGTATCTGATTTTAAGTCACACTAATAATCTGTTCAAAACCAGTGGGGCATTAAATCTGTGTTTAAGTATAGGAGTTAATGCCCTTCTTGCTTTAACCAGATAATATACATATTGTTATGTACATGACTCTTCTGCCAGATGTATCGTATTGAACCTACATGGATGTACTTTAAATATAATATATCTTCTTTTAAATATTGGTATTTAATGAATTCTGTGATTCATTTTTCGCACTTGCAGGTATTCATATGATGTGCCCTCTCTTAGGAACACAATTTCAGGTCTGTATATTTCACTCTTTTTCTTTTCTTTTTCTTTTCAGAAAATGATTTAACACCTTTTTTAATGATTATTGGTTAGGAAAATACCTGACAGTCCTATGCATCAAGATTTCAACTCATGTTTTGTTGCTCATTTAAATACAAAAAATTAAAACAAAATTATGATTCTGAAACTTTAAGCTGTGTTCTGTGAAGCAATATCATCTATGATAAGTAGCTAGTGTTTGTCAAGGTTGTAAAGTCTGATGTTTATTGTGAGGTCTGCATCTACATTTTTCTTACAGATAAATCCATCAATATGTATGTCATCTGCCAGTCTGGAGGTTCACTCTGTATATGTTACCAGCTGCCTCATAGGAAACTAGGTAGCTCTAAGCCATCCTCGCGCCGTCAGAGCAAATCCAAGCTCCAGATTCCTCCAACTATCCAATCAGGGTCTGGACAAGAGGGTCAGGTCCAGAGAAGACCAGGCAGTCTGGACCTATCCCAGTCAGCTGCACGTAGGGATGACCCTGCAGGGCCTCAGTCCAACACCCCAGGTTCCACCGTGTCATCCCCCACGCTAGCATCCTTGGGTCGAATGGCCACCCCTACATCTCCCCTCATGGACTCCTCCCTCACTTTGAGCTATGATTCCATCACCAACAACGGTGCGGCCAGCCCACAGAGCTGGTCAACACTCAACGCTCTATATTCAGACTCTCTGACCAGCTCTAGGACATCACTCGATGGTCGCTTGAATCAAAAGTTACCCGAGCCTGGAAGCCCTGCCACACCTAGGTCATCAAGTCAGTTTGTTGATGTCCATTATGTGGTATTGGTCCTGCATCATAAGACTATTTTGCACTGCAGTGTTCCTCATCTTCAGAAAAGCATTGCCAAACGAATGCAGCTCTTCTTTGCTCCCATGAGTAAGTGACCTTACTTTGATTCCTAGATATCGATGTAATGATTTGTACGGGCCACTTTGATATATCATTTGATTTGTAAGCCCTCATAGAATCGGTTTCTCAAAAAATATAACTCGTGTATGTAGACTCTATCGTATGTAGGACTTCTATGGTTCAAATTCAGAGATCCTCATCATTATCATCATCACCTTTTTATTGAATTGTGATCATTTTACATCATTGTCTAGTATTATCTGGGTACTGTATTCCATCTCCTAATGTTTTCTCTTGATTACTATCAGTTGGGTACTTCATGGTTCTCCACCCTGCCACTTTAATCCTTCTACTCAATGATAATCTTAATCATCATTGGATAATTACATCTAGTTTTGCATTGACCATTATCAGATGGCTACATCATGGCATACTACCCTCTAACAGTACTTCATTTACTTGATGTTTTGTCATGTTCATGATCAGAAAATGCATCTTGTTCTTTGTTGTTCATCATTAGATGGATACATCATGGCGTACTATCCCGGTACCGTACTCCACCTCCTCAATGTCAACCCGGAGATGGAGCCTTGTCTCCACCTTGCCTTTGGGCCTCAGGATGTGCCCTGGATCCCTCTCTCTGGAGCTGAATCAGAGAGATCAAGAGCAGAGCAGCTTAAAAGCACCAGGCCTCTTCTCACACACTGCCAAAGGGATAGAACAGTCAGTAAATATGGTAGGATTTCTTTCATATGATGATGCCGATCTTTGAAGAGTGTGAAGGAAACTATCTGGAACCAATTTGGAATATAATGTGAGATTTTGTGATTTTTAATTTTTTGTAAAGGTCGTTTTACAATGGTCAGAAGCATTACAATGTTACAAATGTCTAGGCACCACCTGTATTGAAAGATTACTGTCTATGAAAATTGCATTTTCATTTACCTTGTACCCAGATGACATACTGTTTGATGGTCTGTCCGGACGCTGCTACCAACCAATCATCAATAAAGACAAGCTCCCTCTGTTGTTGATGGGCGACAGTCAGATTCCCTTCAAGCTAGGTCTCCTACATTTGGCTGTCATCAATCTCAAGGATGCTACTCTAAACAAAAAGGTATGAACCATTGTGTTATTTCTGCTTGAATTCTTTGCTTGATGATTTAGAAGCATAGGCATAGCAAGGGGACACAAAGGGGTCATCATGGCCCCCTTCCAATCATCCACTTAAACAAAAAACTAGACCTAAACCCTCCCCTACCCCAGCGTCACTGGCTCTTGTGTGTCTCTCCCCCCCCCCCCCCAACCCAATTTTTTCTTAATAAAAAAATATATAACAATTAATAAAAACCTGTTTGATCTCATTATTCAATTAACCCTTTATATCCAAAAGTAAATTGCTGTGCCAAATTCAGTGTAATGGTAATGGTAATGGTTTTATTAAAAATTCATTTGCAGCCAGATGGTTGAATTGCAGAACTTTGTACATTGTAAAAACATAAATACTTATACAAACATAAAACGTATTAAGACATATCACGCAGTGAATGAATTAAAAAATCAGTGTACACATATATATATATACAAATTAATACAATTCATAAAATTCACTTAACATTCTATTCCACAATCATCATAGGGCTGGAGGGAAATATAGAAGAGAGGTAGGGAGGATAATAGTGCAGACAGCACGGGAGACCGAGGAAAAGTGTGAGATAGAGACAGACAGAGAGGGAGAGAAAGAGAGAAAGGGAGAGAAGGAGAGAGAACGAGAGACAAAGCGAGAGATAGAGATATATATATATATATATATATATATATATATATATATATATATATATAAGATAATGCTGAGGATGAGAGTGTATATCAGACATATTCGAAAATGTAACATGCTATACATTTCTATATCTTCTAACATACAGATAAGTGAGTATGTAGGACCTATGTTGTCTACAGATGCTTTTCCTTACCCCTACTTGCCCTTCATTTTAACATTTAAAAATAAAAAATAAATTAATTAAAAATCCCCCCCCCCCCCAAAAAAAAAAAAAAAAAAAAAATGGTTTACCCTAAATTAATACTTGTTTGGTTGTAGATCATTGAGAGCATCACTCAAGATGCCTTCCAGCTTGAGATGCAGGACATCCTTGCTGAATTCCTCTTAGCTGGGACATTCTCCTGTGTGAGACTCAAGTTGGATAAAGATATTCTTAGATATCTACCATTCACCAAAGTGGACCCCACGAAGACTGTCTTCATTGAGGTAAGCAAAATGCAATGTTATTATGATGAGGTAGAAACCAGTAAAGCAGTTGATTGCAACGTATAATCATGTAGAAATGAGCTGATATGAATTTAGGTGTGAGAAAGATAAAGATAAGCTTGAGTTCTGATAATGATAGAAAAGAGATTCTCACAGAAACCAAGGAAACTTGCACTGAATTTTCAAGATTACAAATAAATGACATACATGTGCCAACCATTTTTGGTATAAAATGAATAGTGGCTCAGCAATGTGCATAGAAATATAGAGAAATCCAAGTATGCGTAATAAAGCCAGACACCATGCACTTAACACAGGTCACTATGTGCAAATGAGAGTTGTGTTTTTTTTCAAAGATTATTTCTAGCTAGTTCTTCTGAGTTTGTAACTACTATATTACTACCATGATAAGTTGAGCCAATTTCATCCAAACTGGGCTCAAGTATGTATGAGCATTAAATCATTAAATGAAAAGTGAAATTTCTTATATGATCTAGTAGAATCAAAGACCCACAGCATTACATGCATGTATATGTTTTTTCAATGTCTATGTGTATTTAATGATTTAAAGATATTATTTGTTTTTTCCCCAATCTCAACATTGGTAGACTCTAGATGGCAGCAGATTGTCCTGTGTCAAAGCAGTAGAGAATAGGTACATTCCAAAGATATTCCTAAGCAAGGTAAGAATTACACTGCTAATGTCTAATTGTATAAAATTTAATAAATAAGAACACTCGCATGCACAACCATCTGTTCCTGCCTATGTTCTCCTGTTTATTTTGATTACGAAAAAATTGATGTATATACGGTATTGGAAAAGTGTTTTGACATAATTATTCTCCAGGAATGATACAGACCCTATTATCGTTTAATTCATGAAACCCTATTGTGACGTCATCAAAAATATAATTTGGGAATTCCTCCATTGCTTTGGTTCATAACATTACGAGCCAGAGCAATACAACACTGAGTTCCTTTAGGAAATCTATTTATTCAGATGGTCATATCTCAGTCAATACTTAACATATTCAATAGGCCAGTTTCGGCGGTTACGTAATGCGCGGTTACTGTAACCAAGCCCGACAAGCTTTGTCAAATCGCCATTTAGAATCTGTGCATTGTGTATTAGACTGTCGGTTCTTGCCGTTAAATTGCATTCATATCTTTCTATCAAAACTGCGTGTATATATATGAATTTCTGTTTTGGCCGGAAATGTCTTCCAACTTGCCATTCATCAAGCTGATTTTCAGGCAGCTGCAATATTTTCTGAGAAAAAGAGGAGTTTCGACTACGGTATACACCCGAGAAAAGACTCGTTAAATTAGCGTCCGCAGTAGCGGACTAGCCTGCCCGTAGCCCTTGACCTACGGGGTCCGTGTCACTCGGTAGACGTGACTGTATGGGGAAATTACAACGGGCAGGATTTTCGTTCAGTGAACTAGTTACATACCTCCCTTAAGTTTGACGATATTCCTGACTTTGGGACCTATGACGTATTCAATTATCTAGTAGAGAATATGACGGACCATGCATTTACGATCGTCGAAAACTGAAGGCTTTTATAAGAGTTTTGAAGACTTTCGATTGATATTTTCCGATGGCCATAGATTATGTGGCCTGGAGAAGCTCGAGTACAATTAGCTCTCGGCAGCTCATGATAGCGACTTGTGACTAGATTCTACAGGTTAAATCGACGCCAAAAGACAGAACATACCAACTTGAACAAAAAGAAAAAATATATTAATAATAAACAAATAAAAAGTAGAAGTCTAGATCTAATAGAAAATGTAATAACAAATTTATTTTTAAATGTTTTTTTTTAAATAATAATAATTGCTTCTTGAAGTTGAATAACGAAGGTCCTGCATAATTGTAGTCTAAATAGACTGTCTAATACTATTAATTTTTATTTTATGAAAATCAAACTTAATTCCTAATCTTATTCTAAACAAGAAAATTATTCATCATCCTGATTCTTCTTCCTTGCCATCATAAGGTTTTTTATTATTACTTTTATTATTCCCTTTTTCCATTGCTCTATCATTCTTTTGCCTTGTTCATTGTTTTTCTTCATTTTTTCCGTTCAAAATTATTTGTTTATCATTATTAATCATTCTTATTCTAGCTATCTGTCATCGGACGATATTATTTTATAGATATTATTTTATTCACAAAGACCTTATAGTGAAATTATTATTACATTTATTGTCATTATTTCTCGTTGCTTTTGTTAATAATATTGATTCTGCGGTCAGTGCTTACTTCTCGTTAGCTGTTTCTCGTCCGCCTTGAAATAGTCCGTATCGAGGCGTTTCACAAACATTTTTTAATCCGTAAAATTGTTTTCATTATGATAATGTGAATCGCGCCTACACGAACGAGAACACGTGGTACGCGCGCACGCTTCTGCAAGCATAGGTGACTGTGTGTGCGAACGAGTGGAAAATAGTTCATCACTTCTTTCATTTCTACGTCCAAATTTGTTACTCAGTTTCAAGCTAATAAGGTAAATGCAAAATTGAATGGAAATTACCGATATCGGCTAGCTAACTTATATTTTGGTGCTTCGCTTTCTGTTTCATCAGTGGCTTTCAAGCCAATTTCGCTTGTATCATCAACCTCGTTTATCTTCTTTTTGAGGGGGTATCGTGCGCTGCCTGTACCGGGGACTTGGCCGAACAGGTTTGGCTGCAATCGCTAGTTCTGTAACAGCAATGCATTTCTATTATTCTTGCCTATAAGCCTCAGCGATTTTAAAGATCAAATGTATGAAGAACAAAAGCACATCTCAAAGATATTTATTATTCAAGTTTGAAACTGCCTCCTTTTTCTTCTCTCTCTCTCAAAATAGCGAAAACAAACGATACAATCACACCTAGCGAACACAGTCATGTATGGTATGCACGCAAAGTGTAGGCTGCTACGCACCGCGAGTTCTTTGCTTGTCCGACCCTCCGATTACATAATGCGATTTAAAGGTCTCTGAATACATTACGAAACTGGCCTATTGGTTTTCGACATTTTGACATTACATTTGATGCTCTTTAGGAAAATGAAGAAAAAATTGAGAAATTCCAAAAATTGATTTTTATGATGTCATAGCTTTGGTACTCTATTTGTGTTCACCTTGGTTTGTGGTGAATCTAGTGTCGGCATTTGATAACAATTTTCCAATTATTCTTTCTTTCCATTAAAGAAGGGACGTCGTGACAAACGTCTTGGTACGGATGGTAACAGCGTCTTGTGGGACACCCTAGAGAGACAGATCAGGAGGAATCAAGAATCAATCAGGACTCCTAGCAAGAGGTTTGACACAAGGACATTAACCGCGAAACTCAGAGAACAGGAACAAGCAAGTCATATACTTCGGGTGAGAATGAGTCTAGCCAGTTTTGGAAACGCCCCCCTCTCAAAAAATGAAATGGAAGCTCTTATTACCAATCGTGTGAAAGAATATGTTTTGACTAATACGTGATGATACAAATTTTGCAGAAAAATCGCCTACTAATTGAAATATTTGGTGAATTATTATATCTATTTGGACCTGATAGATATCGGGCACGTATCGCGCACCTGTCGTGTAGTCCCATATACATCTTTCTGTGTACAGTGCTTGTAACTTTACCAAGACCGGGCCAAATTTTGTATCTTTTTGATGATTCCAGAACCTTGCAGAGCACACAAATACATATATGCTAGATGATCAACCTTTTCTGATCAATTCCACAACGTTTCTTTCACAATGCAATCGCATGACCATAACTGGTCTTTATCTTTAATGTTGTATGCATAAATTTATTTCCTCAGAGTGAAGAGAAAGCTACGCTACCATCCCATCCCCAGAACTCACGGTCCTCCCTCCTCAAGAAAGTAGCTGCCTTCTCCAGGAGGGCACTCACACAGTCCAAGGAGGTCAAGCAGGTCAAACCCAAAGACCCACTCGCGGCTGTCATGATGGAAGACGACTCAACCAAGGAACCTGGCGAAGACACTAATCAAAATAAGCACATTGAAATGGTATGCATGTCAAGAACTTTTGAAGATTGTATAGCATATGCTCCAGCAGCCACTGATCGATGGTTTAGTTCTTATATTGTCAAAATTCCTATCTTCAAACCTGGAACAATCAATATCCCTTATTATAACCAGAACTCTGAAGAGTAGAATGTACATTTTAAAGTTTACAGTAAATTAAAGTGAACGATCACTGGATACAACTCTATTTTTTATCAGTCATGTATGATTTTAAGAGCACCTTTATGATGACTTTTAGTCTGGCTCATCAAAAGTCGATCTTGTAACTGTTTTTGGAAACAAATGCCCAGTTCTGAAGAGTTGTGTATGAAGTATTCAGACTTGCCTATTCAGTTTACTTCCATTTCATGAAATAATTTAAACGAAAGTATGAATAAATTTATTTAAGAGCTGCTAATCAAGCAAGTTGAAAAATATATTTCAATGAAATGACCTCATATTCTTTGTAACTGTTCTCTTGGATAATTCTTTCATTTAAGAATCAGAATTCAGAACTGGTCTCTACCTCCAATCTTTAATGTTTGATCATAAATAATTCTTTCAGATCCTGGAAGAAGTTGTGTCCTTCTTCCGATCAAGGATGCCATTCCACAACCAGGATCGACTTGAGAACTATGCCTCAGAGTTTGTGAGCAGTCAGCTGCAGCACTTCAAGATGATGCTGTCTATGCTGTTGACTGCCAACGGGTTCACTGAGAACGTTGATGATCTAGCCCAAGTTCCTCTGTGAGTCACCATCTCTATACTACTTTACTTTCTGACGTTGGAATATGTTATTGATTATTTCAAAACATGATCACAAACAGTTCCAAAATATCAACTTGAGAAAAATGTCAGTACCTATTGTATTTCCCATAGAAATCATATTTGTAATATGCAATTTATCAATGTAATGGTCACACATTTTAAAAGAGGGTGTATTAGGCTTTTGAATTGCCCCCCATGTTGTCTTCTCCAACAAAGATACATTCAAAATATGAACGAATTATCTTTTTAATTATTTTTTGTAGATGCAGTGGAGCAACAGAGAATGAAATCAATCTATTCCACATGGTTGAGAGGCTTTTAGCTGCAGCACAGAACCTTTGCTTTCCCCTGCCTGTTGGTAAGCATCTCTCTCTCTCTCTCTCTCTCTCTCTCTCTCTCTCTCCTCATCATCATCATCATCATCATCATCATCATAATCATCAACATGATCATCATCATCATTATCTTCATCACTATCATCACCATCAACATGATCATATGGCACCATACAAATGCTGTGAATCATGATCATGATCATGATCATCATTATCTTCATCACTATCATCACCATCGACATGATCATCATCACCATTTTTTCCATCACTATCATCATCATCGTGATCATCATCGTGATCATCATCATTATATTCATCACTATCATCACCATCATCATCATCATCATTATCTTCATCAACATCATCATCATCATCATCATCATCATCATCATCACTATCATCATCATCATCATCTTCATCATCATCATCATCATCATCTTCATCATCATCACATTTGATATCATTCTACATAACATTTTTTTAAATATTTTTTTTAAATGTGATTGTAACAGGGTTCAAGCACTTCATCCTGTTCCTTGCCTACCGATGCTTGGATGCAGGGATGTTCCTCCAGTACGTCAACCAAGGAGTCTTTGACGTCTCAGAGACCTTCATGACTCGCATGGTCAAAGAGGTCTCTGATGAAGACAAGGCCAATGTGGACCTCAAGATGAAACTCATACAAAAACTACCAAAGGTAAGGGTCCTCAGTATTTGTAGCTTAACAGCCCTCCATGACTTCAAGGTTGCTCTAAAAACCCATCTCTTTCTAAACAGTTCTATATGATAATGACAATTATAATTGTGGCGTAATAATTTGTGTTGTTTTAGTTTACCTTTTTAAAGTTAAGAAAGTGATATGTTGGTGATTGTAATATGTACAGCGTCAGAGCCCGGCAGATACCGCCGGTGTATACATATCCATATTATTATTAATAGACGTTATCCATGCATTAGTTTTTTGTGTGATTATAGGTGGTATGTTTGAATCAACCAGTTCATAGTTAGCTTTGGTACAAATGACCCCCGAATATATGCAGATCTTTTAGACATGGAGACGTCCTACTATGTGCATTTTAGAATAATCACTGTCAAAGTGATACCGGTGCTTCATGAATACCTTTTGTCTGCCCTCTTGAGAAGAAACTTCCACCTGTGTATCAGAAAATGTGCCATCAGTGAATAAATGAATAATGATAACATAACTTTTATGAGCACGAATCCAGTATTTGTCTTGATGGGTTTAACAATTTTGGTACAAATGACCCTAATATGCCCATGCGCATAATTGTATCTACGAACTAGCCTACAGATATAGGTGTAGCAGTGAATATGCCATTTTGTATTCATGATTAGTGTGTGTATATGTAGGGTTTTTCATATGGAGGCATAACAGGGAAAGGAAAGTTATACATTAATAAGAACTACAGTTGCATGTAAGTGAGAGTTCATATACATTAAGGTGTAAATGGAGCATTGCTCTAAATTAGTTATTAGTGTACATGTGTAAGTGCACTTTATGTTTGTTTGATAGTCATGTGTTGATTGTATTCTTTTCTTAGGCATCTGCTGATCGAGTTCTTATGTCCTGGGATCATCCATCAAGTAATCTTATCGTCGCGCAGCAGTATTCTGCATCTTGCCTTCATGATGGTGAGCTTAAATACACATTCTAACATTTTGGAGTTAGATAAACCTTTCCAGGAAATTTTGAAGAATTGCTTCCTCTTAATTACCATCATAAAGTTGCATCCTGGTTGAATTAATGGTGCTGACGTACAGGGATTATTGGTTCAGTTTCAGCTGCCATGGGTTTTTATGACAGTGCAAATATAATTTATCATCGTTTTTTCCCCTTTTTATGGAGGGAGGAAGTATATAGTTCAAAGTTGTTTTTGAACTATCATTTGTGTTGTGTAACATATAGCTTGAACTTGTGGGAATTTTATGTCAGTAGAATGATGATTGTGTATGCACCACTCATGCATGGCAAATGATACATTTGAACGTTTTTAAAGCTGTGGATAGGTGTAGGAGGTTCATGGATGATGCAAAATAAAATATTTGTGAGGCAAGAGTTTTAATTCATCAAGAGCAGTCATTCACAGAAGGATTTATGTACCTATGCTCATTGACTGGATGAAGTTACCTACACTATAGGCCCTCATGTAATCGTAGAGGCTTCCCAGCTGTCCGTGGATCAGGGAAAATTCAGGGGCTTTGAGCAAATATAACTCAAATCAGGGAAAAACATAGGGAATTTCTTTCTCCCAAACAGAAAGCATTTGGTCTCTTTTACGTCATCTTGTATTCAACAAGCGTGTCCACCTGATAATTTTCTATGAGTATGGCGTTGTTTCAGACATAAAATAGGTTGAAGTAGTGATCCCTGAATTTTGAAACTCCATCAGGAAAAAAAAAAACCCAGTGAGTTTTCTATTTATGAAGTGCTGTGAACCATATTACACACTTTTCTACTGGAATTCTTCCTTGTCCTATTGTTGATAGGTGGTGAATTTGGCCAGAGGAATCTCAGTACAGCAATGTTGCCCCAAACAAAACCTCAGAAATCACGCAAGAAAAGCATGGAAGCAGGTAGGTTTTAGAATACCATCTTGATACCCTCTTGATTGTTGGGTGTGCTGTGCTTGCCAAGCTACTCTGTTAAATCAGTGGTGAAGAAAAAATGATATAATTGCCAAAAATCAGTAAATGTAGATTTATGGAAATTACAGGTACAGGTACATGTGAAATATCAAACAATAGACTTGATTTAAACAGAGATAAAATCAACAGATGGTAAATAGATTCCATAGTAAAATCTTAACATGATGACAAACCTAATGATCCTTACTGATGTAGTTTACACAAAGCGAAACCTGTTGCTCGGTCATTACCACAAGACTTGTGTTATAATTCTGATAGGGGGACTGACTCTCGTTCTTAAAAAGTTAACAAAATGTTGTTGTCATTTTCAGCCATACCAGGATTGGAAGCAGAAGAGGACTTCTTGGATATGATTCCAAACTTCCCTCCACTCAACTACTTCATGAAATACATCGAGGGATCAGGTCAGTATACATTCTTCTTGAAGTCATTGGGGTCTGATAGCAAAGGAAATAAGAATGGAACTTGTTGAATATGGTCTCACGATGTTCCTTGTTTATCAACAGTGGATCAGTTGTTTTAACATTCCGTCCATGACTTCTGATTATTGAAAGGTACATGTACAGTAAGTAATGTCTAATATACGGTAGACACCGGCCCTTCCATTATAATCTACTTTATAATTAAAACACAAATATTTATTTTTAATGATAATATAGAAATACACATTTGTGTTTATTTTATTCCAATGTAGACAACATGTATAATGGTAAAGTTATTGTCACTTATGTATATGGACTTATTTGTTTTCTTTAGCAATTCCAAATCTGAAAGAACTTATCAAGACAGGACTTTCAAATTTCAAGTCTGATTCAGGGAACATCACAGTTGAAGAATCGTGAATTTGCTGTAAATCATACATTTTAGAGTTTTTTACACTGGCATACAAATGCTGATGCACTGTCTAGAATTGTATTGCTAAAAAGATCCCTCTCATATTGTATCATTGCAGAGAAGAATTGGCAGAATTCAAGCCAGGCCAGATTAGACATCGGTCAGAAAGCAAACAGAACTCAGTTTGTAGGACGAGTAGCACTCCAAGCATCAGTTGGGAGCCATGGTTTAGATCTTGGAGGGATAGCTTTCTAGTTTGATTAATCAACCCATTCCTTAGGTAATGAAAATACAGTCAAACTTGCTTTAGTGACCACCTGTCTACAAAGACCACATTTTTTGTTTCCCTTGAAAGTCGTTTCTCATTGAAACATGTACTTAAGGAACCTGTCTACAAAGACCACTTGTCTACAAAGGCCACTATTTTTGTTTCTCTTGGGCGGTCCCTATAGACAGGTTTGACTGTATGTTAATAGTGATTTAATAGATCCAGCCAGACTCACTACCAGTTGGGCAAGGTTTGACATGGGTCAGAAAGCCAACAGAATTCAGTTCATAGAGCAAGTCGCCCTACAATTAAGCCTCAGTTGGGAGCCATAGTTAAGATCTAGGAGGGATAGCTTTCAAGTTTGGTTTGTCTACTTGTTCGATCAAAAATTATTGGTGTAATTATCCAGACAATTTTAGACTCAGACTCACTCCTAGTCATGCTAAGATAGACAGCATAGGAACTTCAACATTTCATTGAACTCCACTTGTTTGGTTTGGGATAACGTATCAGGAAATTAAGAGAAGTCCACATTCAACATTGTGTCTTTAAGGGTAAACGTGCTTAGTACATTTACTATATTAGGATAGAATTGACCTTTAGATAGGCTTCTAACATTCCACACATTCTTATCACATTTGCAATCTCTAATCCTCTTTTACTCATAAAACACCCTTAATGTGTTTGCTGACTTGCCCTCTCTTAAAATGATCTTGTTAGGGTTCAGAGTCCATGTTGCTGATTAATACTTGTTTGTCGTGAAGTTTTTTTTAATTATTCTCTCTCAAACCTAGCCCATTCCAATTGCTAATCTAAGGTAATTTATATGAAAGACATAATAATAATAATAATTATAATAATAAAAATAAGCGCACAGGTGGTGCTGTCTAACTTAGTATAATTATTTAACATGTTCAATAGTTTAAAAGCAACAACAAAAATATTACTATTACAATACAATTCAGTTGAATGGAATTAACTACTTGTGTGCGCATCCAGTATACTATAACTAATGATTTGTGATGTGCTATATGCTTATACCAATTCCCGTGTAAAAAGTTCAGAAATAGCTCCATGTGAACAAAAAAGGTAGTTTAACACTGTGTGTAGTGTTATTGAATATGTTCTTTTATGTGCTTTTTTATCACTCTTCTTCTGTCTCTTGCCAACTTCTTATGAAAATGTGCCTTTTTTAGTTCAGAAATTATGGCAAAAATTTCCCAAGATGTTTGTCATTTCCTCAAGGGATTTTATCACAAGAACATGAAAGCCTGTATTATCCTTTTCATGTAATTGCTGTATGTCAGTGCAGTAAAATTGCTTAAGACTATTTATTGTTTATGTTAATGTAATGTAGAATGGAAGTACTTAGCTATTTAAAGTGATCAATATTGATGATATGAAAGCAAAAGTTTTATATGTTTAAATGGTAAATTAATAAGGAAGTAGAAGTGACTAATTAGTATATTAGACTGGAAATATATCATGTATTGTTCTAGAGTAGTTAGTTGATGCTACATGTAGGTGTTGCAAATGCTACCCACATATGTGCAATATTTATGCTGTCTTGAAGAAGGCTTGACCTTTTTTGTATTATATTTGGTGGCTCATGATTTTACTCATATTCAGATTAAGCATTACCAAAGAAGATTTTTAAGAAATATTTATAAAAAACAGCTACAGGAGTAGTAGTTGTAGTACATGTAGGAGAATTTGTTGGATATATGTTGATCATTCTCTACGATATCAAAGGAGTACAAGGAGATATACCGAATTTATTTGTTCCACATCATTTCGTCTGCTAAGATCCAGAAGGGTACCCATACAGAAAAGATACAGTTTATTGCCCTCATCGCTCTCACTAGACTATTTCATCAACAGGATACTGTCATATGCAGCCTACACACTCAAAATAAATGACATTCAAACTCATTTTCTCACAAGTTTTCAAGTCATAGTCGTATATTTCACAAATAAAATTCTTTCAAAGAACATACGGTACTCAAACTAAAATATTTATATAGACAACTGTATAAAAGATGGTCTTATACTATCACGTCACTGTACAAAAACTTTTTTTTTGTTATAGACTGTGAAGACAAAATTAGTGCCGTAGAAATCAATGACCTGAAATTAATAAATTTACAAAATGATCCATACAAAATCCATATACTTTATGGATTGAATGTTTAACTGATTTATTGCCTACTGATTATTGGAGTAACAAACTGTATTGATGTTGCATTCATCATACTAATGGATGAATTTTTATTCCTTTCATGTTACATATAAAGCTTTTCATGTGTAATCTAATTGCTTGGGATGCTTCAAATCACAACAACAGCTAAAGAAGTCAAGATATATGTACTTATTGTCAGTTTTACTAAATCAGAAAATGTCTCCTGTGGAATGCCATGTCTATGCTTCTTAAAGTATTCGCTATACATGTATGTAATAAAACCTGAAATATGCAAACATTCTATGCTTGAATCCAGTGCATTGTTATAAAGTGATCAGAATGATTTCTGTATAGATTCTTATAGATATTCTGTAGATGTACAGAAGAATTCCAGCCCATAAATTATTTAAGGTACACATTTAATATAAATCTTTCTGTTATTTTTGTGAGAACATTTTGAAAAAATAGCAAAGGAATGGTTGGTGATTGGATCGTGTGTAAGATGAGTAAATATCAATTGCAGATTTTGTTCTTATTTTTTGTGCCGAACTGGTAAGACCTCTGACGGAAGTAATATGTTGTAGAAAATGGGTGAATTTATCAGTGCTGTATATTCTGTCCAAAAATGTAAAAAAATAAATGTCATACAGAAATCTAAAGTAACGTCACGATGAAAGAAAAAATTAGGTACATTTGGATTTATTTAAAATAGTGTGGCAAACTTATTTCAAATCAAACTAACCATCTAGTTGAGGGGGGGGGCATGAAGTCATGGAGGTTGGAGGATTTTGGAGAAATGCCCCGCCTTTACTCTTTGATAACCCTTTTTAGTCTTTATTTGTTTTTCAAATACATTTTTGGAATTGGACCCCTTCCAGGTGCCCCTGCAACCCCTCTTTACATGAGGTTGTAATTATAAAAAATTGGTCATTTACAGTCAGATGACATGAAATGTATCTAAAAAATGATTTTTAAAACATTAAAATTTAATGTCATAATTATTCATCACCTTTTTCAACTGCATCTGCTTCTCCAAAGCCCATTAAAATGAGTTTAAAGGCAGAATGTGATCTTTAGGATACCATTAAAATAAATGTGCTTGTGAGTGTGTTAACGAGTGCTATTTGTATATTTGTCTTGTTCTGTTGTTTTTTGTTCACCATTATTTGCTTTTAATCATCTCCTTATGTTAAGCTAAATGATGCTTCAGAGTGATAGGTACATCATACATGTAGCTCTGAAACAAATGATCAGACAAGATCTTGGAAAATATCATTTATAGCTTCCAATATTTACAAGCATCCTTTCTCAACAGTATCAACGCCAAATGTATATGTATATGTATATCTCCACAATTTCTGAACATCGCACAAATGTCTCAAAATCGATGTCAATTGAATAATGACAGATTTTTTTATATATAGTATATTTACAGTCAAATGAGTGTAAATGTTATCTACAATATGCACAAAAAGCTAGAGATATTTAGCCTTGCACATGCACTTACATATAGAGACACATGTTAATGAAGCAATACCACTTAATAGTAAATTTGAATCATATTTAACATAAAACTTATTTACAATAATATATATATATATATATATATATATATATATAACATTTATCTGCTGTAACTATATAATTCTCTCTTCAAAAGCTTTGGTTGTGAGACTGGAAGGAGTGATAACAAGTGCAATACATGTAACTATACAGTCAACACGACAAACATTCAAAGCAACCTTGATTAGTTTAGTACCATTTGAAACCTCCTCAAAACAATTAAGTGACTTTGGTAAATAACTTCGCTTCAATCATTTACTTTGGTGCAAAAGCATTAATTAATACTTTGGTGTAGAAGCAATAACTTTGAAAAAATATGGACGGATTAACCGTAAAAAGGTGAATATTGATGCTGTATAAAATGCTATGGATCATAGAAACATAAGCGAGGTAATTAGTGCACACAATGGTTATTTAATTAATCTTTTACAATGATTGATAATACTAATGTCAACATAGGACATCATTTTACCACATACACAAATTCACATTTTCTGTTACCTCTGGAATTTCACTGGACGGTCTTTGTAAAATCACACACCAAACAACATCAACTAGCTCCACCAACATTATGAGAGAACTTTTTCTTAATTAATAACGGAAGATGGTTTACAGGTGGGAATACATATAAATGCAAAACTATCAATGAAAGTAATGCCTGTGAACACAATTTCTTGAACAGTATGTTTTTACACAAAAAATGGGCATCATAGTGAACAAGCACTAAATCCCTAAACATTAACTAAGCAAATGATAATATAATCTGTACCATATATCTATTAAACAACATATATCCACATGACCATATTAGTGTGTGCTTGAAGCAACACAAGGTGCAGTGCAAAGGGTATTGGGTCGTCCGTATCTGTTCTGAACAATTAAAAAGACAAGTGTCTGGTCCTTTTTCCAAGAATCAAGAGGTGAATGTTATAGCAGGCCCAACATGGATAACCCACTCCAAAATGTAAATAATTTACAATTAATTCCTGCGATCTACTGGTAATCTTGTGCATTCAAATGTTTAAGACACCATAACGCTCAACAGAAGTACTTTCATCACTACATGATGGAACATTTGGAGATATATCAGGTGACCATGTTCACTCTAATAACCTCAGTAAGATTAGATTCTTTGCTCAACCATCAAAGCTAGCTCCTAGATCTCGATGGGTTTGATGATGGGTTTCCTGATGTGCCTCATGTTAGCCCCACCCTCCTGAGGCTTGAAGGGGGCGTGGAGTCCATACGGGCGTGGCACTGGTAGATCGTTGTCATCATCAGGGATGTATGCGTTGGGGCGGGGCTCTGCTGTAGTGGCGTTCCCACCAGGCAAGATGTACTGCTCTTCCTCTTCCACCATCTGTAACATAATAATATACATTAAATATTGGCACATTTTAGAAACACAATTTCAGTCTGTGCAGTAGTGGTAGGAATTCCTTCCTACACTGAATGAATTTTGACTGAAATCGATTTGAAATTAGCACCTTTCAAATAAGTGTTCAACAATTATTAACCCCCCCCCCCCCCCCCCAAAAAAAAAAAAAAAAAAAAAAATTGCAAAAGAAAGTTATTTCAAGTACTATTACTTGTGATACACATAAAACAAGCATAACTTCTTAGGCTTACTTACACACAAATAACAATTTAAACCACTTGATTTGTTTCTAAATGAAAATTATCCTTAATTTGCACATTTAATCTGGACCTATTCATCATTCAAGCAATTCCTTACGTTCCTTGTTTACTTTGCGACACTAAAACAAATTATAAGCAAGGGATAGATGTATTGTACGCTATTTTATTCCTATTCTCTTCTATAACTAGTAGATATGTAATCTACTAAGAAATGAGTTTCAAAAGAAGGGAACCCCAAAATCAGAAATGCAAAACTTCCAAGAGCATAACTGGCGACCTTTCACAGCAAAAATCAGTAATCTCTGAAGGTAAAATTAGGAATACAGACTACATTGTGTGCTTTTTACACAGATGTATACAGGAAAGGAGAAGGTTCATAATGCTTGTTTGAAGGCTAGAACATAGGAGTCACTCCTCCAAAATAGCAAAGGTTTGCAGAAAATGGAAGAAAGTGAATAGAAGAGAGTCCATTAATTCTGCTTACCTGTTTCCTAGTCTCCATATCCATGGCCTTCCTGGACTCATCCCTCATCATCCTCTCCCACTCCCTGGCTGCCTCTGGGGTAGGGGCCTCTCCCTGCTCCATGCGCAGGTAGGCTTGCTGGAGCCTGGCCTCCCCATCACGAGACCCCTGCTGGAGCCTCAGGGCCTCCGCCTGGGTCATGGAGAGCTCCGACACGGAAGCCATCATCTTACGGGTGATCTCTTTGATTCGGGCTTGGAGGTCATTGACCTTTGATGTAAAAGAGAACGGAGATTCATGCTCAATTATGCTAAATTATAGTGATTACTTGAAATGATGCTAGTATAGGCAACATTTGAGGGTTTGTGTGAACATACGCATATGATCCAGACTACCCAAATGGATTTTTTTTTTTAAACAAGAACTTCATGAATGTCATTTCTATATAAAGCACATTATCTCAATGCACAGTTTTCTTCATCTTTTGTGTGCGTCTTTAAATATTGCTTTACAAAGCCAGTACAATATTAACAAATCAGATTCTCACAACATACACATCTGCCATAGGAGTATATTTCCTTGTTTCCTAATGATAAATGTCAAAAGATGTTGTCAATCAGCCCTGATCAACTACATACACAGTTCCTTGATTCCAGTAGGAAATTTGAGGTTATTATTAAGGCATTTTGTATGGTCAAACCACAACATTAGCTATATTCTATTGTTTCATACAGAGAAAACAATCGCAAATTTAAATGGAGTGAATTCTGTTCCAAATTTGATTTTGGGATCACCCAGAAGACAAATCTACTGATAATTGTACCTTCTTTGCTAGTTCTAGAGTGTCATCTTTGCCAGCGTTGACCCTGTTGTTGACACGATCAGAAAGTCTGGTCACCTGATCAAAGATAAGATCCTTCTCTAACAAGTGCTCCTCCTTCTCCGCAAGGCGAATCTCCAGCTAACGATGCACAAAGAAAGGAACATGATATTAGATGTTAGATGCATTTTTACACATACCAAAATCAGTATCTGCATGAGTAAGGTTTACATACAAACTGGAATCACAAAATATGAGACTGACAAATTGGTCAGAATACTTTACTTTTGTAAAGGGTACAACACAATATTTCTTGGTACTTAATAAAAGCTAAAATGTCCAATGCTAGACTTTTTAGAAATTAATAAATCAATAGATTTTATAGTTGTATTCTGATGTCAAAGTTGTTTTCACCAAGTTAAGGATTTTAATTTGTATCATATTAAACTATTGTAGACATTTTTAATAACATTTCATACCATTTCCTGCAAAATTGGAAATACTATTATCAGGACATCATAGCTTATGTTCCAAACTCTTTTAAAGTCTGTCTCTTAAAGCTAAAGACCAGTTATGGTCATGCAATTGCATAGTGAAAGAAACGTTGTGAAATCGATCAGAAAAGGTTGATCATCTAGCATAGATGTACTGCAAGGTTCTGGAATCATCAAAATTATAAGAAATTTGGCCAAGTCTTCATAAAGTTAGAAGCACTGTACACAGAAAGATGTATATGGGACTACACACACGTGCGCGACACGTGCATTTGTATCTCTCAACAGTATATAGATATACTAATTTACCAAATATATCAATTAGTAGGGGGTTTCCCGTCAAAATTTTTATCGTTATGTAATATTCAAAACATATTCTTTCACATGATTGGTAATAAGAGCTTCCATTTCATTTTTTGAAATTGGGGCGTTTCCAAACTGGTCTTTACCTTTAACTATTTTTAAATGCAGCTTAGTATTTAAACCTAAAGTGACTGCAGCAATGCATAATTAGCTTGTGAACTGAGCTTACATCTTCAATCTTTATGTTGAGGTCTTGGGGATTGAGATCCCTTCCTTCTAAGAACCTAACTCTCTTCTCATCATGAGGGTTCTCCAATTGATGCTCCAGCTCGTTCATTCTATCCTGGCACTGGGCAAGCTGAAATACAAACACAAAAACAACTAATTTTCTAGACATGATATAATATATATATATACTATAAGGGCAATATACTTCAATACAAAACATTGAAGGACATGAAACACAGTTTGTAGCTTTACATATAAATTTTAAGCTTGTGATTATCATTTCTTGCATAAGTTTCTCATTGAATTAACTCATACAGCACTATAAAAATATGAAGTTGTAACAATATCATTCATATCCTCTTTTTCTTTCAATTAAAATACAACAATTCTGAAATATTTTATTTCTTTTATCATCATTAAATTAGGATACAGTTTATCTCCCATTGGAATAAACTGCATGATATCATGCACATATATCTATTCTTAGACTAAAGATAGAAGGCAGCTTTCAAAGTATTTGACAGGATTTCTACCAAAAGTCACAGGAAATATGTAAGTGTATTGTAAAGATCTTTCAATTAAATACCACAACGAAAGGACCAATATGTTTCCGGACTTCACAAAAGCAAATGCTGTTTCTATAAAACATACTCAGGATTACAACCAAATGAATATTCAATTTTCTTCTTAAATCACCTGGATCTGTAGAGTTGTAAGTTCTTGATCGAGGGCTCTCTTGTTGGGTAGATTCTGTCTCAAAAGATTAATGGCTCTTTTCTCCTCGGCCATCTAAAATAAAAAATAAAAGAGTTCTATATCAATCATACTGCACCAAGATTTCAGAAAGGTTGGACTAGCCACTAAGAATAATACACTGAGATACACAGTCACGCTAAAATGTAAACAAGTCATACACTACTTACGCTTGGCCAATGATAAACAAATTAAATCAACTCTTTTCTACACTTCATTTATCAGTTATTCAATTATCAACCCTAGTAAAACTTGCTTTTTTTTATCTTGTCCTTTTCTCCACCTAACTGGAAAAATCTAGGCTATTCCAGATTGACAATTGATTTCATCATTTTTATCTGCAAATCATCTGATACATCTTCAAATGCATTTGTTTACAATAGTTTTCTCATTAAAATCAAAGAATGTCCAAAAAAGTTGCCACTTTCTTGCTCTACTTGCAATTCTCAAAAAATTCAAGAGATTAAATCTGAAATAGAGTGCCAATCCTTAAAGCGCACTAATTGAAAATAAATCTCAATTTGACACACTGACTAAGAACATTCAATTTTGAAACATTCTAGAAAAAACACCATGAACGCCCAGCAGAGGCAGATACCAGTGCTATTCATCATCATCATCATCATCGTCGTCGTCGTCGTCGTCGTCATCATCACCATCATCATCATCACCACCATCACCATCACCATCACCATCACCATCACCATCACCATCACCACTACCACCACCGTCATCATCATCATCATCACTATCATCATCGTCATCATCATCATCATCACTATCATCATCATCATCATTACCATCACCATCACCATCACCATCATCATCATCATCATCACCATCACCATCATCATCATCATCACCATGATCATTACCATCATCATCATCACAATCATCATCATCATCATCATCATCATCATCATCATCATCATCATCACCATCACCATCACCATCATCATCATCACCATCATCACCATCATCACCATCACCATCACCATCATCATCACCATCACCATCATCAGCTCAGAGATTACATGTGGAATGGTAACTTACATCCATCTTGAGGAACCTGATTTCCTCCTCTCTGGTATGAAGATCAACATCACCTCTCCGGATCATATCCTCCTGGATGTTTACCTTCTCATAGAAGAGACACACCTCCTCGTTACGCTCTATCAGTTGTACGCCCCTACATGGATAGAAACAATGAAGAAACTACATCAGTCAGACAGGTAGACATTATCTTTAATGCAGCACATTCACCCAAGTTTCAGTTGTTCCATTATCTGAATGAGGTTGAAACAGACATTAATGAACAGCAATGAGGAGGCTCTCATGAAAAGATTTTTCTATCCTTAGCCATTATATCTAACCACATCTAGATAAAAGCAGAGTTCCTCACAGGTTCTATACCAAGAAACTGTGTCCCTGGTAATTGCATCCCATGGGAGCAAACCTTGCAGCCTGAAGCTAGCATTCAAAATGGGTCTTAACATATCAAGGGCCCGTTGCATGGATGGAAACCTTGATTCGATGGGCTGTTGAGTGATGTTGCCATGGTAATTAATATTGGTGGCAAAGTTGCCATTGGTGGTAAGTAATATGCAACAGGCCCTGGAATACATGCAGGTATATATTATAGTATTAATGACTGCTTTGAGAGAAATAGTTGTTTTATTACGCTCAAGGGAAGGTTAGAATTGTGCTATTCCCCGAGGCTTGCCGAGGGGAATAGCCCAATTCTAACCTTCCCGAGAGCGTAATAAAACAACTATTTCTCGAATATTAAAGCAGTCATTAATACTTTTATATGCCGAAAAAAAATAGACTAAAAAATGAAAAATTAAAAATATTTATCATTTTTGTCGAAGACGGGATTCGAACTCTTGCGTACAACAAGAGGTGTACTGAAAACCAACGCTTAGACCACTCGGCTATGGCCCGCCGTTAACATGCTTGGCAGTTTTCTCCAATATATACATTAAAATGGATTGAAACCGGCTTCGCGTGTGATGAATGCTTCGCAAAAGCTCCATATACGGACTCTTCTTTTACTTTTGCAATGCATATTGGCACGAACTTAGATCAAGATCTATCGGCAGATGTTGTTTTTAATACTAGCAGTCATTAATACTTTTATATGCCGAAAAAAATAGACTAAAAAATGAAAAATTAAAAATATTTATCATTTTTGTCGAAGACGGGATTCGAACTCTTGCGTACAACAAAAGGTGTACCGAAAACCAACGCTTAGACCACTCGGCTATGGCCCGCCGTTAACATGCTTGGCAGTTTTCTCCGATATATACATTAAAATGGATTGAAACCGGCTTCGCGTGTGATGAATGCTTCGCAAAAGCTCCATATACGGACTCTTCTTTTACTTTTGCAATGCATATTGGCACGAACTTAGATCAAGATCTATCGGCATATGTTGTTTTTTTGTTTTTGGAAGTTTATTTTCGTCTTCATGTCAACAATGCAAGATAAAATTGTCGGTAAGATCGATCGAGATTCAATTGTATTGAAATTACCGACCAATCCTTCGCACACATACGGCATCCTCCATCGCTCAAACCATTTTTTAACATGTAAACCTATGGGGTAACCATGGACGCTGACCAACTTTTTTTAATAACCATGGTTATTAAAAATATTGAAATGTTTTATGCATGGTTACCGAGAATTTTACAGGAACAGTTGAAGTTTATGAATGCAATTCGACCAATCAGATGGCTGGATTTCTTAAGTGAGGTATATAAATGTATATATGAAACATATGTCTGATGAAAGCTAACAGGGCATTAACTCTATGCAAAATGAAATGGCCAAATATCCTTCTAGACGTCAACATACGGCACATCAAAATGTAAAGCTAGCTCTCTAAGAGGGCCCTACCTGTCATTGCGATGCTGCACAGCTGTTTCAAATCTCTTTCTGAGCTGTACCATTTGTTCCTCAGCTTGGTTGATCATGAGATTTAGCTTGGCGATATCCAGACGTTGCTGCTCCCGCTTCTCTCTCATTTCTTCCTCTATCCTCTGCTGTTTGGCCAGTTCGTTCCGCAGCTGATCCCGAAGGACGACGGCGTTCACATGCTTCAAGCGCTTCTTCTGCAGTTGTCTATGTAGATTAATCGAGAAATGGTTTGTATGTTTCAACAGCAGCTTACAATATTTAGGTTATTTGAAAAAAATAGCAGGTTGCCAATTCACACAAGAATTTCTGTATTTTGAAGAGTATAGATATTATGATCATGACAGCGACCCAACATTTCCTCCACTGACATTTGCTCTAGGTCATCAAAGGTATAGGGTTAGGGTTGGGGTTGCAATGGGGTTTTAGATGAGGTTTAGTTTTAGGGTAAAGTAAGGTAAAGTTTTGGTCTAGTGCTTTAGTTAGAAATTTGACCACGACACAGTTGTTGCTGAAAAATGTGTTGTGGTACCGATCTTGACATCTTTTCAACAAAATCATGCTGCATGAGAATCAACAACCTTTTTTTTTATTATAACAAATAAATACAGTCAACTGAAATAAAACTCAATTTCATATACTCAGTTGAAAGATCACATGAACAATTTTCTACAGAAAAGGAATACAAAATAATACAGATTTTTTTCTTTCTTTCATTGAACACTCTAAAATCTGTCTACTTACCTCTCTTTCTTGTGGCATGATGTTCTGAGGATCTCAATCTCATTCTGTAGAATCTTGATCTTTTCTCTCATCTCTGCAGCCTTCTGCGTGCTGGCCTGGATCAGGTTGACACACTTATTACGCTCATTCTTGATCACATCGTACAACTTAGCAAATTCCCGAAGTCTGTAGGATGAAAATTTACACATTTTGAAATTGCAAGTGAGTCACAAATTACAATATGATTTGCTATTCAATTAGTTACTTCACATTGTTTTAATCTTCAATTTGAGTTCACTTTGAGCCACTTATATTTGTGCAGTAATTTTAACAGACAGATAAATGACCGCAGCAAACAGCCCGGCTTTGAAAATGTCTTAAATCTGTGATGTGAACTCACTTCATACAACATTAATTCAACAAGCTCAAATCATCATCATTATTGTTTAACATTCAAATTTCCCCCACACTATGGGATTTTTGGCCTTTCTCCAAAATTTTCAGTCTTCTTCAGTTTTTTTCATGCATAATTGAAATGTTAAATACAAATCATTGACGCGCATTTGGAATAAGCCTTTTAGTACGACATTAAAAGGGGAAGTCGAGTTGGCCTTTCATAAGATGCTTAAAACTTTCTTTTTTTTCAAACAATGACAACACCTGAAAGACCCTTTCGTATTGTCTATTCCTGGCATTTCTTCTTGTTATCGATGATGGAGAAAACTTTAACATTTGAATGACAATTAAATGACAAAGATGGCCAACCCTACCTTATCATCATTTCCTGGTATTTCTTCTTGTTGTCGATGATGGAGAGATCTTTAGCCTTGAGGTCATCCAGTGCTCGATGGTATCTCATCTCAGCTCTCATATAATCCCTGGCTTTCTGCTCCCTCTCATCGCCCTTGATAGCAGCCAGACGAGTCAGTTCCACTACCTCTATCCTCAAGTCACTCTGCTCATACAGCAGCCTCTCCTCCTCAGCAATGCTCTGTTCAACTTTGACTTGTTCAACGGCTGTGAATGAGTTCTACAATGGAAAAGAACAGGAAGACATGATTATCGGCTCTGATGATCATTGATCTTTAATATGACTTTTCATGTGAAAAATTATAAATTAAAGTGTGGTAATTAACAAAACAAAAAAACAAGCATCATCAATGGTAGTTACGTGTGTTGTGTAATGTCAAAGGGAACATATTTTTTTTAAGAAATCTTATAGTCTAATTTATGTATGCATTAAAGACAAAATCCATTATGTTTCATCCACCATGTTTATAAACTATGCTGTTTTCTTTCCTGCAACATGAGTTAAAGGTAAAGACCAGTTATGGTCATGCGATTGCATTGTAAAAGAAACGTTGTGGAATCGATCAGAAAAGGTTGATCATCAAGCATCTAGCACCTGCAAGGTTCTGGAATCATCAAAATGATCCCCATTCTTCGTAAAGTTACAAGCACTATACACAGAAAGATGTATATGGGACTACCCTATATCTCTCACAGACCATGGGAGAAACAAATTTACCAAATATATGAATTAGTAGGCGGTTTCCCGGCAAATTTTGTATCATCATGTATTAGTCAAAACATATTCTTTTACATAATTGGTAATGAGAGCTTCCATTTCATTTTTTGAAATTGGGGCCTTTCCAATACTGGTCTTTACCTTTAATATTCATGCCCTGAAAACATTCTGTGAGTACACATTACAAAGTTTGTTATTTAACATAGCTAAAGATCATAATTAATTCTTGATTCATTTCCCTTTATTTCTTTCTGACTTTACCTGATCTGCTAACAGCCGTTTTGTCTTTTCTACTTCAGTTTGTAGTTCTTTCCTCTTTTCCAGTAGAGTGCCATCATTCTTAGGACCACTGTCAGCTTGACCTTTGACCTTGTCGTAAATGGTCTGCAATATAGGGGAAAAAACACTCAACATAAAATATGCCATAGCTGGGATAACAATCTACTTTGTACATATTGGAGCATACATATTAGAGTTTACAGAGGATAAAATAGGATTTTACAGCGTTCAAGGATCCGGGCACTACTGATAATTACAGGGCACAATTTATAATATGGTTTATTTATGGTTGAAACTAAGTTAGCTTCAGAGTCTCTATAAATGGGTGCACATCTGTCAATTTTGTTTTAAAAGTGATGTACATAGTACTTACAAGAAAATCTAGAAGAACACATTTTGTATAATATGTGAGGAACAAAACAATGGGGGAAAAAAACATCTTTCTGGATATACCAAGTACAAGTAACAACCAGATTTCTGGTTGGTGTAACAAATCATTTAGATACTTGATACCTTTTTTTCTAATTGTAGAATGTCCCTGGACTGTCATCGAAGAACAAATGAATATACCTTGATATTCAGGCCAATTAGAGCTACCACCCCCACTCCTACACTACCTGAATTACCATCAGACAACTAATAGCAGGTAGGTGTCTAGGAGTAATTCAATATCTTTCCTGGACAGGTCTAGGTCGAGGGAGGAGGGGGGGGGGGGGCAGGGGGCTCACTGTTTCCTTGTGGAGGAGTTGTCCTCGGGATGACAATTCAGGAGGCACTTGCCCAATTTTTTCTGGGGGGGAGGGGAGGGAATTTTGATGAAAGTAAGGAGTAGACATACCTGTGTATGTGCAACACCCTCGTTCGCCACTTTCAGCTGTAGTTCTGTCTTCTTGAGGTTTCTCAGATCTCTCTCCTTCTCACGCAGCTTTCTAGCGTAGATCTCATGCTGGTTCTTCTTCTCCATCTGTATATGCCTCAAACTCAGGTCCAGTGTAGCTCTTCAGTCAAAACAAAAAGGTAAAGAGGAATTTAAGGCTTTTTTTCTTCTATTTAATGCATATGTTATTGGTATTAAAATAAAAGAGGACAGCATACATAAATTTGTTAACATAAACCAGTAAGAATAATAATCTACATGAATTTAAGTTTATTCTTTCCTTGTCACACAAAACAGTTTGCTGTATGGTATATACTAAAAGATCAAACAAATGGCAGCCTTACTTGTCACCCATATAGACAGCCTCCTTCTCTTTCTGGTACTCGTAATCCTTCATGCAAGCATCAAACTTGCGCTGCTGTTCATCTAGTGCATTCTGGGCCCTAGCCTTGTCCCTCTCCAGCTGGAACTTATCATCTGTACGGCCCTGCAGAGAGGCCAGGAGGTCCTGAAGATGGGCCGCTAGATCGGCATAGTTCTCATCCTTCTCCACTCGTTGTCGCTCCACCTCACTGGGATGCAAAAAGACAGTGTCGTAAATCTTTATTGGATTCAAGTTCTTGCATCCTCCAATCATAGGATTGTAAAATACAATGTTCCAATCAAAAATTGTTATGCAGTCAGTATCTTACACTAATCAAAGCATTAACTTCAACCCTGGAACAAACACTATACCTTAAGCTAAATCTAACCCTATACCTAAACCTAACCCGAAACCCAACTACAATCCTAACCCTAACTCTGTATCTTTGAGGAAATAAAGCCCCAAGATATTTCAACTACAACAAATATCAGAGCACCATTCCTAGAGAATGAACAGGAAGCCGTATATTACAAATAAATACTCAAACTTCTTCTGTGCCAAGTGAACTTCTACATCATTTTTTCACAGTTAATCCTTCAATATATATAAAGCAAAGGTAACAATTGCAAATGAGATTTTTTTCAAAATACAAGATTTTCCAAGGTGTCTAACAGAATTTGGAGACATATTATCATTCAACTTGTTCTCTTACTTTTTAGCTTTGTTCATCTTGTCCATCTCCTTGATGAGTTGTCCTGGAAGAGAGTGAACAGCCACAAGATCTTCCTTCAGTTTCTCTTGGGTTTCGGTCTAGAAAAACAAACAATAAAAGATCAATAATAATCAGGCTTCTCAGCAGGATATTGTCTATTGGTCCCATTGAGTGAAATATGACCGTGCAGCATCTGAAAAGGTGATTTAGAAGGATCAAAGCAGTTTCAGAGGATGAAAATATGCATGAACACATTTATTTCCACTGTTGGTACTCTCATAAAAAAGAATTCACCCTTTGAAACAAAAATTTAAAAATCTGACATCCACTTCCCTGTTACCTTTGTTGGTACCCTTGTCAGAGAGATAATTATTTACCCCCTGGTATTTTTTTCCTGAAAAATTGCCCCAATGGTTTTGGGTTTTGGGTATTGGCACCAATGGTTTTGAATATGAACTATATCTATAGCAAGAACCCTGATCCTACTACTGATATAATATTCAATCAGGCCTTAAATTTCGTCATTTTTAGGGCAAGGCCAGTTTGGCCTTGAGTACCTCATATTTTTAAGGGCACCAAGGCCAAAATATTTTTACAAAAAGGGCATCGAGGCCAAAATATTTTACAAAAAGGGCATCGAGTATGAGGCCAAAAAAATTGATTCTATTTTTGTTAGATGTCATGTGTATTTTATGAAACTTGTGCGGGATCAATTTCCCATGACTTTTAGCACCAGCTTCTTCACAGAATGTATAGAGGTCTACGGTACATACAAACAAGGCGGCGGCCCGCAAGCCTTAGATTTAGCAGCCAGGAGCAAGGGGCAATTTTTTTTTTAAGTTGCCCTTTGCCACGGGAATTTACCAGAGCAAGGGGCAATTTTCCAAAACGAGATAGGCCCCCTTATCTAATCATAAGTTCAAAGAGAGTCTACAAATGTTAATTTCATAATGTGAATAGATCGAACGATCAATTTAATAACTTTTTAATCTTAACAATATGAACAGGAAAGATTGATTAAGAACATCAAACTTGCACATTAAACAGTATTTTAAAGTAACTAAAAATATTGATGAGCAAATGAATAAATAAATTGTCAATTTCACAAACACGAAAGTCAGAAGGACTTGGCAAGTTTACCGGGCCGGGTATCCCAAATCAAAATCGCACCTCACACACAAACCTTCCGCCACTCTCTCGGTAGTAGGAGCAAATTTGAAGAAATTATCTTTTTAACTGTTGTATAGAAAGGTCTAGATAGGCCTAACTAATGAAATAAGATGTAAAAATGTCCTTATAGACATTCGACAGCTGAAAGTGACACGCTCAGCTCAGTTGCGTAACGTGCATTCACGAAACCAAAATCGTTCCCCGCACACACACTCTCGCCACTTTTGGTGGGAAGCTGTCGGGCTGGAAGTTTGCCAGCGAAACCGATGCACCCTCGGAGATTCGCAGCGCGTAATTTTACCGGGACTCGAAACGTTCGTCTTGGGAAGCTGGCGGGGTAGCTTTTTGAAGCGAGGTCGGCTGGTGGCAAAATGAGAGTAACTACGATCGAGAACATCGTAGGTGTTCTTAACTTATTAATAAGATAATTCTAAATTCTATTTGAGATAAAATAATAAACTAGACCTACACACAAACCTCGACAGATCTCTAATGACTATTTGAATGCTTGTTTATTTCTCCATTTGACGATTTGTTTTCTTGATCCTGGCCTTCGATTTGTACGTACGTACGTACGTGCGTGCGTCAACAGCATGCACCATATGCATATCATGCGATCGCGTGATTGTACGTGCGCTAGCGCATTGCCTATATAATAACAAAGGGCGCATTTTCACGGCACTTGCGCCTTATTAAAGCACTAAATACGAAGCTAGAAGAGAGCTCGTGGGCGGCAGACTGTTCGTGATTCGTGTATTTTTACTGTTCTAATAATTTATGGGCGCATTTTCACGGAAAACACTTGCGCCTTGCCGTCTAGTTTTAGATGATTATGGGCGCAATTGGTGGTTTTATGTGCGCAAATTTAAAAAAAAAGGGCACGTCCAGTTGGAAAAAAAGGCACGTCGGCCAGTTTGAAAAAAAGGGCACGGCCTTTTAGGCCGTGAATTTATCTTTTTTTGGGAGGGCACCGCGGCCAGTCATAGGGGCATCGACGGCCTGGCCGTCGATGGCCGTCGATTAATTTAAGGCCTGTTCAATAATCTACTTATCCCAGTAAGCCTTGACACTCCTATCACTACTTATCTTGTCTTGAAGCCATCTTATTTGTCCTCACCTCACTCTCTAGCTCTTTCATTTCAAGATCAATCTGTCTTTTCCGCATGGCAAGCTCCTCTTTGAGATTCTTGGCTTCTAACTTGCGCTGTCCAATCTCCTGCCGAAGCTCATCAACATTCTTGTTGAGCTCCTTGGTTCGTTTCTCTACCTCTTCTTTCTTGGGAAGCCTGTCATACTCTCGTTCCAGCATTCTTTTCTCCTCCTGCAAGCTATAGTCATAGTAACAGAAACACACATTGCTTTAATATTCATTCACATAACATTTTGCCCTCACCATATCATTTTAAGGAGCTTCAACTAAAGATTAGGAAGGTCTCATCACAATTATTTTTCAATATTTTCAACCCCCCATTTTTTTCATTTTTTTATTTGAAGAAATTTGGCTAAATATTTTGGATATGATGGTGTAATACCCAAAATGTAATGTACAAGTTTAAGAATGAAGACCAAAAAAAATACTGAACTACTTTGATCAAACAACTGCTCACAGACATGGATTTTTACTGCAAGCAATGTTCATCTTTTAATGATCAGTCGTTATCAAATTATATTCTTCACAGCAATCTCTATGATCCTCACAGGGAAACAACATTCAGAAGATATTTAGCAAATGTCATTGGTCAAGGAAATAAAATTAATTTTACTTCATAAATACACATAAGATGACGTACCTTTCAATTTTGAACTCATACTGGTAATTCCTCTCTTCTGCTTGGTCTATCTCATTATTGTGCTTGAGCAGTTTGGTCCTCAGCTTAGTATTCTCTGTGTTGGAGCTGTCCGGAAAATTATCTGCCTTCTCTAGCTCTGTTGTCTGCTTCTCAAGGGTTTGTGTAGCTTCTTTGGCCATTTGCAGGAGTCCCAGCTCAGACTCTCTTGTTCTGCACACATCAGATATCGAAATTAGTAAATGACAATGCCAAGTGCTGGGAGTAAACATTCAGAATGCCATCGCTCACTATTACAGAATTTTCTATGGAAGAGTTTAGACTGAATGGAAATTCAATGGGTCCATCCATAAAGTGATACAATTTTGAATGATCTTTTATCTTTTTTTATTTCTTTTAAATCAGAATAGATTATTATACCACTGTTGACTGTATGAATTATTTCACTTGTAAGGATAACACCTGCCAGAAGGATAGACATATTTGAGGTTGAATTCATAATCAGTGCAAAATAACTGGCTTTTATGTAAGTGAACAAGAAATAAAAAAGGTTCGATATCACTTTCTGGTGAAAAAAATGATATCACATTTCTCCACAAGATTTATATCAAACATAATGATTTTGCTTACCTGCCAAGAGTCTTATGTACTTCAGTGTATTTGGCTTTCAGCTGGGCTACCCTTGTACCCGTCAATCTTCCCTCCTGGAAAAGCTGTGGGATCATGAACACAAGATATACTTGGCTACTTGGCGATATAAATACACAACATTATGCTTTAGAGGTCTATTCTTGTTGAATTTGATATCAGGTCAAAAAGGTCACATTGGATTAAAACTGGCAGGGGAGGAGGGGGAGGAGGGGGAGGGGGGGAGGGGGGGAGGAGGGGGAGGAGGGTAAAGAAATAGAGGGTAACCATTTTAACCAATATCCCAGATATAACCAACAAACATACATGTACATCTTAGGGCTGTGCACAACAGTGTAATGAGGTACCCGAGTACACTCCCAGGCTCACAGGCGAATACTCAAATATTCGGACGCCATGTTTTTGTTTTTTTTAAATGATTTTTTTTTTTGAATTTTTTTGAATTTTTTTGAATTTTTTGGATTTTTTTTGAATTTTTTGATTTTTTGATTTTTTTTTTTTGTTGATTTTTTTGCCACTACCATACCACTCGGCAGTTTCTCAGGTCCCTCGCTGAAAACTCATGCAACTTTACTTTGAGTTGCAGTTGAAGGCGCCGATTTAATAAGAATAATAACAGTAAACAATGCTGTTTTAAAAACCAAAGATGGCAGAATAATCCATTTTCCTCCAAGTCCAAACAGAAATCTGGACATTTGGTCCCAGTTTCTGAAAGGTGAGTTTGACAGTGCTTGAGTTGGGAAACATTTTTACCGACGGTACCATGCCAGCGGACGCCGCTCTCCCTGGCACGGGTAAGCGTGGGCCTGGACATTTTTTATTTTTTTTGTTTTTTTTGTTTTTTGTTTTTTTTTTTTGCGGCCGAATATTCGGGTACGAGAAATCGTACCCGAGTAGTTGTCAACCGTGCGGGTGCTCGAGCATTCGACTACCCGTCGCAGCCTTAGTACATCTACAAGTAGTTATCATCAATACTCTGTGCAATCACACGACTACATGAGTAGTTTAATCATATATATCCCAAACTTCAAAGGTATTCACAAGAATAACAGGTAACAATTATGTTGTTACACTAACATGGCAGCATGAAGTGCTTTTGATATTGCAAATGGAAACACTTGCTTCTTGGATGATTACTACACAACAACAAAGTAATTTGCTGAAATACCCATATTTTAACTTGCCCAATTTAAAAAAAATTAAAATTGCCTAATGAAAACGAGTGTTTCCTGTATTAAGCATATGGGGATTAGAGAATTCAGTAGTCAAAATGTTAACTGGCTGAATATCATCTAAACCGACCGCAATGGAGCTCATGTCAAGAATAGGGCCCCATCACAGGTTCTCCAATCGATTGCCCATTTACAATCTCATGTATCTCATATTATGATGAGCTGTGGTAAATATTGTCTTGAGTTAACTTAAGATCGATCATGCACCTCAAACCATTAATAAGACATGACCCAAGTCTGACAAAGATGTCAAAAATTGGAAGTTCCAAGTTACCTCATCTAGACATTGGAAGGCTGGACTTGCCGATACCTCCACCTGACCCTCTTCCTGGAGGATGACCTTAGGGGCAAGTGGGGCAATGGCCGGTTCATACAATTCATCATTGTGATGATGGTGGTGGTCTGGACTACTCATAGTGATGTCTCGGATTTATCTGGAAGAAAGGATATAGCGAGAAAAGTTTTCATAAAAATCTTGACATCATAAAGATTCTATTGACTCTTTAATGGATTTTGTCGACAAATTGAACAAAAGGACTGTCACAGTCGACTTTGGCACATGTAAACTATAAGATCCTCCCATAAACTAAGTAAAGGCAATAGATCTAGAGTCTATTAAATAAACTCTTGCTATTGAATTTCTTTTCTAGACCCACTCATGAATCAATGCATTGAATGCAAATGATGAGGTATATAAAACAAATATGGACTGCTCTTTAATCAGATGGTGGAGGAAATTATCATTCCCTCGGCCTCGGTGGTGTTCATATTACCGGCCCTTCCTAGGAACTGTCATAAGTCTAACTTCTTGACTATCCCATTGAAACATGTATTATAGAATTAACATGCGTTTAAATGGGATAGTCAAGAAATTAGACTTATGACGGTTTCTAGGAACGGGCCCCAGACTTCTCAGGTGAAAAACGATCCCAAAACAAAAGGCCAAAGCCAAAGGGAAAATTGAAAAATCGTTCAGACACCCATCAATATCAGGCAAACCCGGACTTTAGTGCCCAGCTGAAAATCTCAGTTTATTATGGATTTAATATCAATAATATTAATTATGCTAATATATGCAAATATAAACATACCAAAACTTGATGATTTTTAATCATTTGACGTCATAAAAAGCAATTTTAAGCCAAAAATAGCAGCGAAGTAGGGGATCTCCTCTTTGCTTGATGCGAGATACTAGCGAACTGAAATAACCGAATAAAAACTATGGTGAACTAAAAAAAGAAAAGAAAAAATCAAACCACCTCTGAAATTACCTTTGAAATGTTTATTAATTTTTTCTTCCGATATGCGCACATGATAGGGGCAGGTTGGGATGGGATGGGGGGGGGGGGGTGCTCAATAGTCGCCAAATTTGGGGTAAAAGGGCAACTGGCCTTGGGGGGGGGGCTAAATTTATTATTTACTTATTTTTCTTTGTAATCATTTTTCTAATTTTTTTCCGGGGTGGCTCTTTTCTTTATTCTGCTTCTTCTTTCTTTCTCACCAGATATGCACGAAACATTGGGGGTTTGAAGAGATGACACCCCCCCCTTCCTGATGGGGGCGCCAAATTTAAGGGTTATTTTAATCTTTCTTTCTTTTTCTCTGCCCCCCCCCCCCCCGTCCCTTTCTCCCTTTCTCTTTAATAGGCATGCACGCATTTAGCCCCCCCCCCAAGGCCAGTTGCCCTTTTACCCCAAATTTGGCGACTATTGAGCACCCCCCCCCCCCCCATCCCATCCCAACCTGCCCCTATCATGTGCGCATATCGGAAGAAAAAATTAATAAACATTTCAAAGGTAATTTCAGAGGTGGTTTGATTTTTTCTTTTCTTTTTTTAGTTCACCATAGTTTTTATTCGGTTATTTCAGTTCGCTAGTATCTCGCATCAAGCAAAGAGGAGATCCCCTACTTCGCTGCTATTTTTGGCTTAAAATTGCGTTTTATGACGTCAAATGATTAAAAATCATCAAGTTTTGGTAGTTTTATATTTGCATATATTAGCATAATTAATATTATTGATATTAAATCCATAATAAACTGAGATTTTCAGCTGGGCACTAAAGTCCGGGTTTGCCCAATATCATTCCACTTTAGTCTAGACTTTAGGTCTACAGACTCTAGAAATCTAATTAGTCTACACTCAAGTTTTATGGACAGCACAATACACAAAAAGGAAACAGGTTAATTTTGTAAGTAAATATTCAGGGGAACAATGCACAAATCTAGATGTTTATTTATACAGCTGACAAGCTGTGCAGCTGTGCTGTGCGCAGTGCAATGCAGTGGTTGGTTGGATGGCTACGGCTATCAGCGGACACACACGACAGCAGTCCGCTAGGCTAGGGCACTTGACTACACAGTTACCGCTCAAAATCTCGGGTTACTTCTGGTGTATATGTTAAGAAAAGTCCATTACAACATTTACCTTACTCTCGTATTTCTGTCAATGGAAGACAAGTAATCCCTTCTTTTAATATCCCTCATCAAGTGCAAAAGCATGTCATTATATTTTTCTTCCAATAGGCAGAAACATCTTGGATTTTCTAATCGTTGTCGTGTCTCCTAAGATCAAAATACTAGCTGTAGTAGTTTCTATGGACAATATGCGCATGCTCAGTAGGCCGAATATGTGTTGCCAGAATATTGAACATATGAACAATTAGTGATTACATACATAATATACAAGAGTATATGAAATCTAAATCTTTTAAAATTATTTAAATAAATATTTTGAACATCAAAATATTTTATTTCTATCTATTGCGTTCAAAGTATTAAATATTTTATTCTAAATGATTACAAATATTTAAGACTCTTTAACAGTGCACGTTTTCCCATTGAATTCTGTTTGTAGACGCTTTTCACTGATCCCACTCGTTGTCACTGGTGTCGGATAGAAGCAAATTCAGCTTACATTTTTAAGCATCAAATCTAGAAATAACTAGAAACATTTTCTAATAGTGAAATATATACCTGAGTAATAACACCAATCATGAAGATCGAGGAGGTGAAAAGTACCACGAAAACCCAGAGAATCGCAAGTCATACTCATGTGAAGGGATTGGGACTTGATGATTCTGGAAATGCATCATCATCAACAACTGCTGGTCTTATTGGCCAAGAAATGGCCAGAGAGGTTTGTACTATTTTTTGTTCCAAAAGAGTAGAAATTTGAATAGTAGGTTCTTTACATTAAAACATTCTGTCTATGTTAAGTGTCTGACATTAAGTCACATTCAAATTATGTCGAATTTTACCCCAAAATACTTTTATTAGGGGTCTAAATTAAAAATTTAGAAAAAAGCATTTAAATTAAACTCAAACATTGAACTTGTTTGTTGAAGATTAACTGTCCTTATATATGGTTACTGATTAGGGACTTTTTGATTGAGTGAACGAGAATCTCAATTAATGTCCACCACAGATCCACTCGTTGACTGCTCATGTTGGTGCACAGTTTAAAGCTGTTTCGATTCCTGTCGATCATTCGGTCAATATGGGCTAGGGTCTACAGCAACGTCATGTGACGGATCTTCAGTTTCTAATTTTCTATCTTTTTTTTTTTTTATGTTGATCTGTGCTTTAACTAGTACTTTTAATCTTTCCATCATCTGTTTTGGTCCTTCCATATGTTTTGTCTTTGTTTTTATCATTTCATGTCATATACATGATATATCTATCTTTCTTTATGATTTTTTTTGTTAGTATCCTTTTTTCTCTTTCTCTTTTCTTATGTTTTTCTTGAGTTTTTATCCTTTTGTCTCATCTTTATTATATCTTTCCTTATGTTTTTCCTTGTTTTATCCTTCTTTCTATCCTTCCTTGTTTTTTCTTTGTATTCTTTCAATTCTTCTTTCTTTGTTTTTCTGTTTTTCTTTTCTTTCTTTTTTCTCATAGCCTTTCTTTGTGTTTTCAATTTCGCATCTTTACAATCATTGCAATGGATTTTGTTTTCTCCTTTTAAAGACTCAAAGACTGCATCTTCGCCATAATTTTATCATATTCACATCCAACAATTTGCTTTTCTTCCTGCAGGCTTCTGGAGTTGTTGTGGAGTTGATCCGATCCAAGAAGATGGCCGGCAGAGCCATCCTCTTGGCAGGACCTCCTGGGACAGGCAAGACGGCTCTAGCCCTTGCCATAGCTCAGGAGCTTGGCAACAAGGTTCCCTTCTGCCCTATGGTTGGCAGTGAGGTTTTCTCATCAGAGATTAAAAAGACAGAGGTCCTCATGGAGAATTTCAGACGAGCAATAGGTTTGTAGATTAATAACTTTCACATAGCCTAGATAGGAAATCAATGCTATTTCATTGAGAAATGGACCGTTCTCTTTTTCTTTTATATGAGGAATTGCCCTTCATATCTCAGGTATACACTTTAAAGTTTTTTTTTTAAAGGAAATGAGCTAACAAGTAAACCAAGTTAAAAGTTTTCCATTAATTATCTCGTTTCTTGAGAAGTGGTAAAAAAATTATATTTGGTTATACATGTATGTCCTTTTTTCTTTTTCTTTTTACCTTTTCCCCTCAGTGTTATAATTACCAACTTCTTCCAATCTGTATTCTGAAGTTTTATTTCTTTCTTCTTTTTAATTCTTTATACACAGGTCTTCGTATAAAAGAAGGGAAGGAGGTGTATGAGGGAGAAGTCACAGAATTGACCCCTTGTGAAACAGAAAATCCTATGGGAGGTAAGATTTAATATTTTTTCTTAATATTTAACCCCCCCCCCCCCCCACCTCACCGCAGCAGATCCAAGTTTGAAGAGGGTACACATTTATATGATTGTATTATTCATGTCTGAATGTTTATTAGGTGGGCGGACAGGCAGTGGTCATTAAGTTGAAAAAGTGTTGTTGAGTGAATTACTTCCACAGTTTTCTAGAATTTCTGATGAAAATATACACAAGATCATCATGAAGTGTAGATATGCATGTCACTGTGGGGGACAAATCAAGTTGCTGCCTTGGAAACTAAATTTTGATTTTACTTCTGCAGGGATGTTAATCACCACTAATTTGTATTTCTTTTTTACATTTTCTTGTCAGGAGGGCACTCTTCCATTTACACTTTCTATGATCACATATCATAATGTTTTCACTAATCATGTCTTGTTTACACTCGTAGGTTATGGGAAGACAGTGAGTCACGTAATCATCGGTCTGAAGACAGCCAAAGGTACGAAGCAGCTCAAACTAGATCCTTCCATCTATGAGAGTCTACAGAAAGAGAAGGTTGAAGTTGGTGATGTGATCTACATCGAGGCAAACAGTGGAGCTGTCAAGGTATGACGTAATAATTTCTTAGCATCGATGTGTAATCTGCTATAAATTCTGAATAAACATCTTTAGTTACTCTTCCTTTAAAAATCACTGAAAGGTTTTAATTGTGTGGAAAAAAATGTATTTTCTCAAAAAGTCTTATCTCAATTCATTTGTCTCATTTTGAGTGACATACAGATTGAATCAGGGAGATTGCTGGATTAGTGTATATGTAATTCAGGCTGTATAGCTTTGTGTCATTGAGGGAAGGAGAAAAAAGTATCCACTAAGAACATAGAATGGGTCTTTTCATTGTTATGATGAATTAAATCAAATTAGAATATGTTGTAAATATTACTTGATAAATTTGTTTGTTTTGTATTTGTTTGTTTTTGTTTTTTTGTCTTTGATGAGCTACACATTACACAACAGTTCTGCCATTCCTGCCATTCACTTTTTGTTTTCTGCTGCAGCTCTTAATCATACACCTGTTGACTGAATACTCAAGTGAAAATTACTGATACATTTCCAAGTGTTTCTGTCTCGTATGCTTATCCAAATAAATCAGATAAATTATTGAATTGTGAGTTGAAACTGGATTGTTTTTCATGTGATTATTTTGAATACAGAGGCAAGGTAGATCAGACACATATGCAACTGAGTTTGATCTGGAGGCTGAGGAGTATGTACCATTGCCAAAAGGAGATGTTCATAAAAAGAAAGAGGTCATCCAAGATGTCACACTTCATGACCTTGATATTGCTAATGCAAAACCACAGGTATGTGTATAGTAGTTTTACCATTTCATTAAATTGTTACTGTCTATTGTTTTAGATATCCATTCACTTTCTTTTTCTCTTCCATTTAAAAGTTTATCACTTTACTCTTTCCTTTTCCTCCCACATCTCCCTGATACCCCAGGGTCATTCCATGAGTTTGGCGCCAAAAAAAAATGATGATGTCTATATAATGTATACACATGGAAGATGAAATCAGCTGTTGATGATTTCTATGCATTGTATGTGTATAGTAGTGCACTGCCAGAATCATTCCTGTTTCAGTTGCTCCTCTTCAAAATATTTGCTTAATATGCATTCCTTTTTTACCTGCATTATATGGACATCACATTCATTTATTGAGCAGTACATAACCATCTAAACATAGTTGGCTATTCTTTTTTTTGCTAAACTTAATTTGAGCAAACATTGCTATGGTTTATAGGAAATATAGTTTCTCACTTCTGGTATGTCACAGAAATGCCACAACCCCATTGAATGACCCCAGTGTTATATCCTTTCTTTTTGTTTTTTTTGTAGTGCTTCTGTACATACCATATTTATCTGAGCTTTGAAGAAATTTTATCGACTGTGTGTGACCGTGTATACAACAATATTTTGTTGATTGTGAACATAAACATATTTGCAAATTAATAATTTACTCCAGCTGCTTACAATAGGTGTTCTATTGTGCATTACCATCTCATTTTTGTGTTTGCTAAAATTCTCAAGCCTGCAACAATCCGCAAAATTCCTAAAAAATAAACCCTTAACCAAAACAACAGCTCATACTGAATCCATCCAAGCCGCTAGAGAATATTTTCATATTTGATCATTGTTTAAAGCAAAGTACGCTTTTGATTTGTAGGGAGGTCAAGATATCTTATCCATGATGGGCCAGCTAATGAAACCCAAGAAGACAGAGATCACAGACAAGTTACGCAAAGAGATCAACAAGGTTGTCAACAAGTACATCGACCAGGGTGTGGCCGAGTTGGTACCCGGCGTACTGTTTATCGATGAGGTACACATGCTGGACATTGAGTGCTTCACATACCTTCACAGAGCCCTCGAATCAACGCTCGCTCCCATCGTCATATTTGCCACCAACAGGGGCAAATGCACAATTAGGTAAGTCCTAATAGAGAATCTTGCTTTGACAGTGAAAATTGTGGGAAGAAGGAGTAGGGAAAGAAGGAGGATACTTTGGATGGGCAGTCTGCACAAATTGTTGGAAGAGAGAGAAGTGAAAGAACTGGGAGTGGTACTAATACAGAAGGCAAGGAGCTGAGGGTTGTTGAACAGCATGATCACCAAAGTCAAACGATATGGCACTTAGAGAGAGAGAGAGACAGAATAGGGGGACCTGGTATTCATGATGAAGTATAGGATTTGAGAGCTTGTATTTGCTTAGGAAGATGTTTCAAATTCAGTATCAGGCAGGATAATGCTGATGTCATTTCTTTGTTTAGATACATGGTACATTACTATTTGGAATAGTGAGAATGTACATGTATGTCATCAGTTCAAAGTAGGAAGAAAAGATACCATACATACTTCACATTTGCCGATTTCATTTAGACTCTGTTACTTTAAATGTGTTAGTTGTAACTTCTATTTACAGTTTGATTGTTTTTTTTTAAAAAGAGAGATACCATGTATGCTTCATATGTGCCTAGTTTATTTAAATCTTACTCCCTTGAATGTGTTCACATGATCAAAAGTAAGCTTTAAACTTCTGTACATTATAATTCATGAACAGTTTTGTTTACTCCACTGTGAAGAGACCCATGATGGATCTTATTCATGCTTGTTACACACTAGTCTTTTAACATTGCCTTCTGGAACCAGGAGGACCCTGTAGTGAAGCCTATGGGAATGAAAATAATTCAGCCGTCATTGGGTTAAATGAAGAATAAAAAACACTTGACATTCGTAAAGACACTACCCTTTGATGTCTATGTAATATGCATGTATTTTGATTGTTGGTTTAATGGAATCAATGTTTTTGTTTCAGGGGTACAGAGGATGTTCAATCACCCCACGGCATTCCCCTTGATCTCCTAGACAGAGTAATGATCATCAGAACACTTCCATACTCACAGGAGGAAATGATGCAGGTAAAAGTCATTGTCCTTTGGCAAGATATTAATCTACATTTGCCACTCTCCACCCAGGTGTTAATGGGTATCGGTAGGAAGGAATTCCTTGAATGCTGTGAGCGCCGAGGTCGGCTGCCTAGCAGAGCCGGGTAATAGTTGAAGCGCTTTGAGCACCATGCATGGTGGATATGTGCGCTATATAAATATCTAATATCATTATTATTATTATTATGATCAATTCTTCAGTGACTTATTTGTAATCAGCATATGAACATGATCAATTTGAATAGAATTGTGATTGGTTAAAGGGCACAAACATACATGTGAAGTAAAGATTCATGTTTGAGTATTCCAAATTGATTGATAAGATTTAGGGATCTGAATATTAAGTTTGTACAGGAGGGTTAAGAAAAAAATATGTCCTAGGAATTTCACTAAAAGAAAGATCTGTTTTGTACTGCATCATCATGAAAATGTAAGTTTAAGAGTAGGAGGTCAGATATTCAGAGTGACTTCATATGAATGCAGGATAGCAATATTCATATAAAATCAATGTGAAATTATGTGTCAAATGTTAAATGAATACTGTTGAAATAGTGCAAGAAAAATAGATATCAATAAGTCACCTTCTCAATTATGCACTTTTGTTGGATGGTTGTCAGATGGTAATGTTGCATAAACCAAAAGTATTTACCGTTTGTGCCTCATTTATGATTTAGATTCTGCGGATCAGAGCACAGACAGAGAGTATCCAAATCGAAGACGATTCCCTCAACATGCTTGGTGAAATTGGCACCAAGACAACCCTCAGGTTGGTGCATACAAATTACACACTTTGGGTTATTTTCAAGATTACATAGCATTCCACATGTTACATGGTCTTCAATTTTTATGCTTTAATTGAAAATGTATTTCATCATTAAAGTTTAAACTGTAAATAATATTTATTGAAAAAACCCAAACTTTCTTGGTTTAAAATATCTGTATTCTGTGCTTCTATTAGAATCATAGATTTTTCTAATGTCTGTTTGACTCTAGAAACATTGTCTAGTTGGTTTTTATTTCAAGCTTTGTATATTTGTAACTCATCTCCCACCCCTAGTGTTCATTTGTTTTTCTATTTTTTCCTCCTCATACTACTTAAAGCACCAGTCACTTTCTGGAAATGACATTTTGTAGTCGTCTTAATGTGTTCTACATGTAAAATCATTTCTAGTTCCTCACATTCCTTAATTAGTGATGGATTTTTCACCGATATGTGATACTTGGTAAACTATAAATTTCTGCATAATATATTTTAAAGGGATCCTGTAACTTTGTCTCATAACCCTACAGTCTATTGGCAAAAAATGAGTATGGTAAAACCGGTCACTCAAAGATTTTTACTTTTTGAGGCACTTCTTGATCATTTTGAAGCACGATTTTTTAAGTCTTCAATATTACACCATATCACAGACACTGATTACACGTAAGGCCGTGCATCTCAGATTTAACATTTTTAAGCGATGCCTTTAAGTAAAATTAATTTCATTTGTTTTGATAATCCCTCCTCCAGATATGCTGTTCAGCTTCTGACACCATCAAGTATCCTGGCCCGTATCAACGGTAAGGACAGCATAGGAGAAGATGAAATCAATGAGATCAATGAGCTCTTCTACGATGCAAAGTCTTCGGCCAAGATCCTTGCAGCTGCAGCAGACAAGTACATGAAGTAATCCACTCATATCTGATTTCTCATCCAATATTGTCTTCAAAATTGAAATATCCCTGTAAGATTTAGAAGTCTGTCTCGAACCTGTTGCTTACTACCTCTGGTATGTTGTTGCCAGCAGGAAGTCCATTCATCATATGAAAGCAAACTGTGACCCACTATTAAAGACGGATGCTGAGTCAGTTGACGGGGGCTGTACATTAAACTTACACAAGAGGGTTTTATGTCTCTTCCTTTGTGCCAACTGTGAATGCATAATCAGTAGTAAGGTTTCTAGATCTTCCTTTTCCAAAACGTGTGTCCTAAGCTGTTTTTAAACTGCTAAATAAAAAACTGAAGAGATAGGCCTAATCATAGGGGTGTTGACAAAGGCATTCTGGGGAAAATAGCAAATCCAAAGAATAGGTTAACATTCATTTGCTTGAATTGATATGATATGAATTTTAAAATTTGATTATATTATCACTGATCCACTGATTGAAAGCTTGATCTTGGTCGGGTTAGTCATGTCATCATATTTCATAATGACATATTGTCTGTTTGGAGTTAGAAGGGCACTAACTCTGTTTATATAATGAGTTAGCACCCTTCTGACTTCAGACAATGTGGACCTTCCTTTCAGTTTAAAATAATAAAGATCATTTTTGATAGATTTGATTCACAGTGAGTGATGTTAATAATAATAATAATATGTCTTGTTTACCCAGGGTAGCCTCATCAGTATTCATACTGTTCTCCCTGAGGGCCCTGCAATCATATTATGTTCTACGTGTTGATACTCTTGGTAGTGTTGATAATATGGATACTGTAGGAAAAGGGGGGAAAAAAAATCAAATTTTATTTTGTACCAACCTGTATGAGAATACACTCCAATGTGTAATGTGACATCTGCATAATTATGATGATGGTACCCAATTCTTACCAAATTTCTTGATGTTTCATGAATGGAATAAGCACATATTAAACCATTAGGTACTTGAAAGTTAGTTCAGTAATGATACTCTAATGGTCTACATGAGAAATATGTGTGAGCTTTGATGTAGTCTTAAAAGTTTATGCATTGTCATGATTTCCAGTTTTTGACTGAAATATGGACTCTCTTATACACTTAATGCAACATTTTAAAAATGTCATTGTCAAGTATGTTAAAAATGTTTGCTCTACTTCATCACTCGAAATATTTATAATACAATCGGATCCAATCCATATACCAGTGGAGATAATTATGAAGCACTTTGCAACTCCAAGGAAAAGATGTTATACAAAGTGTTTTTTAGATTGATTGGATGGGGTTGGATACTTAATATTTTGCATTTAAAACAGTCAGGGTTGCCCATGTAAAATTTTTATATGCACAATTTGTAAATGACCTAGGAGGCGCAATAGCTCAGTTGGTAGAGCAGTGGTCTCGTAATCTGGTGACCCTGGTTTAAAACCAAGTCGATGCGCTAGTGCCATTTGGTAAGGCATTAATCCTCACTACCAGGTCCCTAGGAGCCGTCGGCCGTCTGGTTGCTTACTCACAAGCATTTATGCTTTCTTAGCAGTCTGGTAGAATAACCATGACATCAACCTGTAATATCAAATGAGGAACTAGAATGCTTTTTACTCTTTTGTCCATACACTGTAATGTCTTTCCATCTTTAGAACCAGTAGACTTCTTTCTGAAGATCAGCATCATATTCAAGGTGCTCAGTTCTTAGACAATCTCTATTTTTTTGTAACAAGATGGAAAAACAAAACAGTACTTGTTTGCTTTGCAACTGGCAAGTTTTTTCTTATTCCCATTTTATGTCACTTTTTTCAAACATTTCCAGCTGTTTTGTTATTCACTTTGCTCTTCACACAATTATTGTGTTTATATTGTGTATAATAATGTAAATTATGTGAAAGCAATTGATTGAATGCACTTGATATGTCATAGAGTGAACTTTCTGAGTTATGAAAAGTGTCATTTTCTTTTTCTTTTTTGTTTGTTTTTCAATAAAAGATACTTTTACCATGTATGTTTTCCAAAGTCATTTTGTTCGGAAATTGTTCATTGCAAAAATTGTAATTTGTTAGTTTATCTGTATTGATATCTTTATTCAGAAAGGTCATGTATAAGAAAGAGAATATCTATTTTAGTGGAAAAAAAGAAAGAAAAAGAAATCAATTAGTAATAAAAGAAGATTTGTGAGGAGGATTTTTTTTGTAGGATGACCCAGTTATGAAAAAAAAAGTATTATTGATCAAAATACAAATTTAATAAACTGAAAAATTGAGTGTTCAAAATTGATAAATCATTTAATTAGTCTGTGCACAAAACAAAACAGAGAACTGATACATGTAATACATTATACACTTAATTTGGACAAATCATGAATTGTCATCACATCACATTGTATGTAGAATCACTCAAATTGGCAAAAATATAACTTTATACAAAATTACAAACAAAAATCACAATAAATGAAGGCTTTCTGAGCACAATCAAAGCAAATATCATAATTAAATTAACATAAGTGAAATGAAATACTAGTAATAGAGTCAGCTGCAGTTAGATAGTAATACTTTATCAATTGAGTCTGTCCAATCTCAAATAAGATTACATGTATTTTACCAAGAATATCACTCTTAAATTACTGCAGATTTTTGTTTTCTATAAGATTCAATATACTGTCATCTAATAATTGCTTGGTAGAGAAGAATATACATAGCACACATCAAAAAGCGTCATTGGAATGTTAAAACGCATATAAACAGCACACACTATTTTCACCTATTTAATGAGTTATTAAAGGAAGAGAATCTCAAATTTCTATTAATTTAAAAAGCCCTGTGAGACAAAAACCGAAAATGGTGAATATTGTGCATAAATATATCTTTTACAAATATCAATATTACTGATATTATTGTTGACTTTTATATCCTTTTTTTTCTTTCAATCGCCCTTACTTTTATGATCCATCGTCTTTATGAATCAAGCGTTTGCGTTCATAAGAATATACCAATCTCGAAGGAGAAACAACCAGAATCCACCTGGAATTACTATATATTTCAAAACGGATTTAACCTCTTTGTGGATCCGAATATATCAAAAACAGACCTATAGTTCCTACACTAGATCCTTTGCCTGATTATTAAATATCAAAACAGTCTCATAATAAGGATTATCGGTAAAGCAAGCCTCTCTTATTAGACGAATAGCTCAGACACACGGGACAATTATAATACTGAAAACACATCTTTAAAAAATCATCAAAAATGATTTAAAAAATCAACCCTTGTCAGTCTTTACAAACAAGGAAAGAACAGCAAGAAAAAAGCAAATGGTGTCACACTGGTGAATGCTTAATGCCGATGATTGTGATATTTCTTCAACGAAATGAATCCCAAGCGGAGAATGATAGGAAGGTGCAGTCCAAACTTTGCCATCTTTTCAATCATTAATTTTGGCTTGATGTCGCAGCTGCCTTGAAGGCTCATATACCGGTAAATCGGCCTTCAGACTTTTATCATTTCGTTGCAGCATTGATGTGAACATTTAAAGGGACGGTGAATAAATTATAACAAATCGTATAAATTATTTAACTTTGCTGGGTTTGATGGCACATTTATGTTTATTCTTCTTTGGCTTGATTTGGTATTCTATGTTCGAGAAGCGTTTCCTATTCCCAAGATTGTGTTCGCTGATCCAATTCCGTATCTGCCGACTGAAAAGAAACAGAAGTACAAAACAGAAATCAACCCCACGAAATAAACTATGATTTTGATTCTCTCTTCTTCCTTCTCTTTTGTTTTATTCATTATACACTACTTAGCTAGCTCTATACAAACGATCTTCATAGATTAACGATACTTGTATATTTCATACCTACCATCATGTCAATATACAACATTTAATTTTTCTACTTCATTGTTCAAGTTACATTATGTAGGTCAACTATAAAAGAGATTAATTCAGATATTTCAAAGTATGGCTACGACATTTAAAAATAAATAACTTCTCTGCCAAAATTTCAATACATTTCAAATAATGTTGGGTAATTTAAAGAAGTTATACGTCGGGCCTTTTTCTACAAATCCGTAGTAAAATATATGTTTCTTATTTGGATGCCAAGGCACTAAAGTCCAAAAGATAACGACGGTATCTACCTTTTCTGGTAAAATTATCATTCAGATGAGGGCGGTTACGCTCTGCTATATTTACGTCGGAAACTCTTCAGAAAAACTCTATAAAATTCACAATTTTTTGGTATTCAGATGAAAAATGATCATGATAAAATAATGTTGGTAGAATAGACGTAAATTGTACAGAATTACATTTTAAAGGCCATGATTGTCATAAAGAAGGGGATAGGGGATCTCCGACTTGAATCTTTCTCCTTGGGGGCGCAGGCCGTTCCCCCGCCCCCCCCCCCCCCCCTGATCCGCCTCCTACTATCTGACTTTGGCCTCGTGATTATACTTACATGATGTAGGTTTGGGTCTATCAATTTGCCAGTAGTTGAAGCCGTCTTTAGCGCGTTGATTAAACGTGGTTCCGTGCGATTCGGATCTGCTGCTCAACTTAGGTCGGTGAAGATCGTAAGAGCCCGGAAGGTTTCCCGACATTTTCCGGATCAGCATCGAATTGAATGTAGGATCTTTAACTCTGGAAAGAGTGCCGCTTTCGGTGTACTGGAAGGTCGCTAGACCCTCTCCTTTCGGTACCATTGGCGCATGGCGGTCTATATATCAAGATAAAGAAAATATGAATATTTTATAATGCGCAAAGTTCCGAAAAAGAAGGTTGTAACCTAGTATAATGAGAGAGAGGGGGTGGGGGTAGAAAAAGAGAGATGCGGTAACAGGGAATTCGCAATTCTATAAAGGTTCTATCATTAAGCCCTATTCCGAAAATTATTTTTATTTATTGTGGACTTGGGTATAATTGAGATTATTTCAAGATTAAAGGTGAGAATATTATATATATTATTGCTCTACCACCCAAAAAGGTAAAACGAGCCCTTAGGAATGATAATAGCGAGAAGATAAGAAGATTAATCCCCTCCCCTCCCCTCCTTCTTCACTTTCCCCTCACATGCACGCAGTGGTGGATCCAGGGGAGGGGGTCGCGCCCCCTCCCCTGCCCCCCAAAGGTAAACAAAACAGATGGTAACGTTACAAAGACGCCCCCCCCCCCCTGCCAAAAAAAGGCTGTGTCGCCGCTAAATATTTGTTCACGAATGAAAACGGATGAGTCGCCGCTAAATATTTTCTCACAAATTGGGCCCCCTCCCTCGCCGTCGGCTGGATCCGCCCCTGCATGCACAACTTTCACGTTTAGCGCTATGAACGTGGTGTTTGATTGGACAGATTTCTCCCGTCATGTAATCCAAAGCAGGTGCTTGAACAAAATTGTCCCTCTATAATAGTTAAGTAGTTACGCAGCATATTCCGTGCCGCGTAACATCACCCCTCCGGCCCCTCACCCCCCCCCCCCCCCCCCACACACACACACACGCACCCACGTACGCCCCTATACTCACCTGCGTGGCTGACAATCTTTCCTGACGGTACAGCGACCTCAAATGTTGTGCACTGTAAGAAAAAGAAGTCGATTGTCATTATATTCCTAATCCCAAATATAGACCTTTTAATTTCATAACTTCAATTATCTTGTCACTCAGGAAAATTAAACTAATGCCCTCGGTTTTTCCATACTTTGGTAATATTTCTGTGGTTTATATGACCATAAATTGCGTCTTTTTTTATCTGATTGATGCTGCGATATTATTTCTTGAAATAATTGATAGCCCCTCCATGAATATTGGTTTTAATAACTCGGTCGATCTCTTATTGATATGATACTGGATACAATGATATTGATATGATATGATTATGATATGGTGTGGTATGGTATGGTATGATGATATGATTACCTTGAGTTTCATTTTGACCCAGTGATCAGTATGACCTTGCATCATGTTGACGGGGTCATGCCTCGACCACCATGTCATTCTGAACGGAGAGAGAGAGAGAGAGAGAGAGAAAGAGAGAGAGAAGAAAAAAAGAACAATATTAAATATAAGTATAGTGATTTGAGATATACATAAACGAATTAGTCACATTCCAATTCATCTCTGCATTTAATGGAAGGATCTTAATTCTAGCGAACTAGTAATTTACCAATTACAATTCAGCTGCGACAACTGGGAACAAATCTTTGTCAAGGAAATCATTTAATCATATTTCAGTGAATTAATGATTTTTTTAAAATATTTACGGAATGAATAGTGTTTAGGTTATAACTTGGCGTAAATAGGATAATGAATGAATTAAAATCTTTTCAAGTACTCTGAATGATATTCATTTCAGGGAAGAGGTGCGTGAAAATGTCGGGAAACGAATGATTTCATATTATTTTCAGGGAACGAATAAATTGAACTGATAAGAAATTTGTTTACCAGATAAGAATTTACAGAATCGATCAAATGAGTAAAAGCATAGTTACAAGCCAATTTTGTGTCTTGATGGCTTGATATTCCTAGAACGTACATAATTATTAACATTCGGACCTTATAGATTTCCACGTATTTTCCATTGTCATGATGTAAATTTACATTCATTTCAGGCACACCCACATAAGACAATTTTAGTGAAGTATAAAACAACAAATGTATTTCTTAGTTAAACTATGAAATGATTATCATTTTAATATGATTTTGATAATTCATTCTGGGGTTCTGTGGAGGCATTGAAATATTAAGTTAAAAGAATCCCAAAGAATCTCAAATGAGAAACAGAAGTTATAACTTGATAAGCAACACTTTACTCCTACCTACACACTTGACCGTAAAGTTTATGCTGAAAGTATATGTTTCGGAAATAGTGCATAGCATTCATTTAAATGTGTAAGTTATGAGAATCTCTAAGAAATTGACAAACATATTAATTGCAATTTTGATGAGTATAACACCTTATTCCGTATATTCCTGACAATACTATTTACAACATTGAGGACTGATAGAAGTTTAGTATGTGAGTGCAATGCAGTCTACCGCAATAAACTGGAGTATATAGAAATATAATAATAATAGTAATAATAACCACTTACGATGATTTCCTTGGTGAAGTAGGTCGATGTGTTGCTACGTTTGCCATAATTATCTATGGCTCACAAGTCCAAGTTTGACTAGAAACTATATTAAACAAGCCTCCGAAACAACTTAGCACCAAGTTATAAACAGAGCGATATAGGACTACCGAGGACTGTATAGTTTACATTGGTACTGCGTTTTGACGATCGCACGCTAATAAGACGGGACCGCTAATCCCCCCTGCCCGTCAATAAACGGTGTCTTAGGGGTAACTCGCAGGGGGACCCGGCGTCTGTTGGCATGGCAACACGAAACCAAGCAGCCAAGGATTGTGTACGAGGAGTGCTCGGTAAATAATAAAAGATCCTTTGAGGGGGTCGACTAGCGGTCGGATGGGGTAAAGCCATTCAAGTATGCAATGTAATTGCCCTTTATAACTGTTGTAAAAAGCGAAACTAAGTGTTTATAGGCCGAGATATTGAGACAATAATGCGAAATAGATTGTACAAACTGGTCAGTCGAGTTACCCAAGCTGTTAACAATTTTTTGTTATATATTGTCCTGTAAGAGATACAGAACATCAGGTTTATTCTATGCAACCCTAATGTGAGGTCTATCCTAAACAAGATATCGGAACTTAGGATTATTTTTGAACGAAAAAAGGCTGTCTATTATTGCTTTCACTGAAACATGCAAAATAATTCTATATAATAATGATGATAAAATTGAAATAGACGGATATAAATCATCCTTTGACATCCTTTGGATCGATCTTTGGCTCTGGAGGTGGTGTGTGTTTCTGAGAAATGATTTTGCATTCAATATTATTGATGCTATAAGTATTGGTGTAATTTGCTTATACCAAGATCAAAACAAATTGTTGTGGGCGTGATCTGTATATATAAACCTCCGAAAAACAACTTGTTTTTCGAGAAAGAAGGAAGACGAAATTATTCTTTTAGGAGACATGGATATTTATCTACTTCACAAATCGCCACTGGCTAAAAATTATATTGATTTGTTGAGTAAAAAGAAAGCAAATTCTCGTCTGAAGTTGTTTTTTAACACATATCAAAGTTTTATTGATTTAAAAGCAAGACGTATACTCTAGCTGTTTCGCTCTTATTCAATTTTATATTTGACTATGTTAACCCTGCATGGTAGTAATAGTAACTTAAACAAGTCAGATCAACAGAAGTTGAAAATGATACAGAACGAAATGGTGAGATTCATCAATTTCTGTTGTCGGCTACATCGAACTTTCTAAATAAGGTTTTCTTGAAGTCAACCAACGATTGAAACAACTCGTAGTGTATCACGTGCATAAAATAAATCATATACTAGGTCAAATCCTTAATATATTCGATCCAACCTCGATCTTGTTACTGACTTACACGACTATAATACAAGACATAGCCGATTCAACTTTAACTTACCAGAAAGAGTAGCCATATTGGAAATTCATTTTATTACATTGCCATAAAACATTGGATTTCCTAATGATATAAAGGAAGTAAAAAACTTTGCTCATTTTCAAAGGAAATTAAAGGAATATTTGAGAGTCAGAGGAAAGAAGCGAATGACATGTTATGATTGAAATAGCGTGAATACAGAACACTTTTCTCTTCTCTGCCAGGTTCATACTTTTAATTTTGTATATACTGTCTAATGGTTTTGTACGTTTTAAAAATACAACATATTTATCATTATTTTCCTTTTCTTTCTCCTTCCCCTCTTCTTCCTCCTCCTCCTCCTCCTCTTTTCTTCTTCTCGGTCTTCTTCTTTTTCTTTTTCTTCTTCTCCTTTTTCTTTATCTTCCGACTGCTTGTACTTTTTATCATTTCTATCATTATAAGCTTATGTTGTCATTATCATTATCATAATTTCAATCATTATTATTTTCAATGTTGTTATTATCATTATTATCTAAGCCTGTAAATATTAAAATTTTATCTTGTTCATTTTGTACCGTGTAATACTGCACTGGATAAACTCTCGAGCTTTCGTTGGTTATCCTTTTCAAGCTGACTTAATTTTTGATCTGTTATTCTTTTATATTGTTTTATGTTGGAGGCTTCAATTTGTTTGCAAATAAAATCAATTAATCAATCATATTAATTAAGATTAGATAGGGTGGCTTTCGTCATCAGGGTATTTCCCCTCTTACATGTATTTTTTTTTATCTAGGACTATCTGTTACTATTTTGCTGCCTTATATTTTTGTTTATACACTTTCTTCCATTTGTCTGCCTTTTTAATTTTTATATTTATTTTTGTATTTTGTATGTTTTTCCTTCATATATTATCGAATCTTGGAAATATGTGATTTTCATTTTTTTTTTAAATGATATGAGCTTAGATGGCCCCCCCTGGCGCTCAAGGACCCCCAAACAAATAAGAGCTCACTACCCCCCCCCCCCCCCCCCCCCCACTGAGCGAATTATCGGCCGGCTGTTTCGCCGCTAAATATTTTCTCACGAATTGGGCTCCCTCCCCTGCCGCCGGCTGGATCCGCCCCTGGGTTTCATCGCCTCCCAACACCCCCTCCCAACCCCCAACCCCCCTCCTATTTCCCAACCCCCAACCCCCCTCCTATTTCCCAACCCCCCAAAAATAATAATAATAATTTGATAAACTTTTTTGTTAAAACCTTGCCGACCATTACTAAATAGTACGTACCGACATATTGCCGGTTTCAAAATCCTTCTAAAACGTTGTCAGAAAGAATGTGAGACTAACTCATAGAGATATATACCAGGCGCGGATCTAGGATTTTCCAATAGGGGGGGCCGGAAATTTGAAAATTGCGCAGACCATTTTTTCAAGGTCATATTAGAAGTACCATACCGGTACAATTTTTGACATTTTCTTTGGGGGTGGGCTATAGCCTCTTGCCCGAAAAAGTAATTTTCTGGTTTCACAATTCGGCTAGTGAGCGAAGCGAGCGAGCAACAATTAGAGCACAATATTGTGAAAGTGTTATTTATCACCAAAATAAACGAGAAAAGATATCAAACTCATATTCGGGCAGCTCGCTGCCACCCCCCCCCCCCTCCCATTAGGCACAAAGCGCGGAAGCTTGACCTTTCATTAATTATTAGAGAAAAAGACGATTTGTTGTACCATTCTCGACTCGTATTCCTTGTCTGAGTTCAGTTTTCCCCCTCCCGCGCGAAGCGCGGAAGCTTTGGCGTTTCATTAAATTATTAGAGAAAGAAGACTATTCGTTGTACCGTTCTAGACTGTTAATCCTTGTCTGAATTCAGTTTCCCCCTCCCGCGCAAAGCGCGGAAGCTTTGACCTTTCATTAAATTATTAGAGAAAGAAGGCGATTTGTTGTACCATTCTCGACTCTTAATCCTTGTCTGAATTCAGTTTTCCCCCTCCCGCGCGAAAAGCGAAAGCTTTGACGTTTCATTAAATTATTAAGGAAAGAAGACGATTCGTTGTGACATTCTCGACTCTTAATCCTTGTTTGAATGCAGTTTTTCCCCTCCCGCGCGTAGCGCGTAAACTTCTGACGTTTCATTTAACTATTAGACAAAGAAGACGATTCGTTTTACCATTCTCGACACCCAATCTTTGTCTGAATTCAGTTGCCCTTTCCCGAACGATGCGCGGAAGCTTTCACATTTCATTAAATTATTAGAGAAAGAAGACGATTCGTTGTACCGTTCTCTACTTGTCAGAATTTTCAAAAATGTTTCATTGTCTGCTCCTTTTTCGTCCTATGTCATCTTACTGCCCCTACTGCCCCTGGCTACGCGACTGAAAATCCCTGAGCCCAATATGTACGTTCTTTCCGCTATATTTCTTTCTAGCTATATTTCTAAATTTCCTGGGGGACGTGTCCCCCTATCGGGCCCAGGATTGCCGCCCCTGTCCATGATTACTACCAACATGAGTTCAAATACAAGCACAAGCGAGTTGGTATGAGCTGAATCCAAATGAAGGGCAAAATAAGAGTTATGAAGCGGCCCTACCGTTAATTTAAAATTTGGCTGTTGAGTATATAACTTCTATTTAAAAGACACCCAAAATATTGTGCCCTTTTCAAATTTCTCCCTAAATAGCGATGACCTTTGTAGCGCAGGGGCTGTTCTTAACGTTTAACTTTGAATCCGCGGCTCGAGATTTTATGCGGCCGGCCCGGCCCCTCTCTATTCAATAATTTCGTTATCTTTTCTCTTCTCTTTTCTTTTCTCTTCATTTTTCCTTTCTCTTCTCCTTTCTTTTCTCTTCTCCTTTTTTTCTCCTCTTCTCCTTTCTTTTTTTCTCTTCTTTTCTTCCTTTTTTTTCCTTCCTTCTTTTTGCGCCGCCAATAGGGGGGGGGGGGGCGGCCGTTTCGGCCCCCCCTGCAGGGGGGATATATAGTTAATACAGAGATATATAGTTAATATATATATAGTTAATATAGAGATATATACTTAATGGTATACAGTAGCGGATCCATGGATCCGCCACTGTATACCATTAAGTATATATCTCTATGGACTAACTCCACTTTTCTTTCTTTTCCTTTCTTTCCTCTTCTCCCTCTTTTTCTTTTTCTCTTTCTTTCTTGTCTTCTCTTTCTTTTCCTTTGTTTTCTTTTCCTTTCTTTTCTTTTCCTTTCTTTTCCTTTTCTTTTTTTCTTTTCTTTCCCTATCCCTCTCATTATTTCCCTCCCCCTTTTCTCATTTTTCCCGACAATATCCTGACAGGTGGGAGGGAGTGTCGCACCCCCCCCCCCGGCCCCCACCCTGGGCACTACTACAATAACTGTCAGAGAGACTCCAGGGACCCGTGAAGGGGTTGAAGAGGGAGCTTCTAGGAACTTTTAAATTCATATACACGCCTATAATTACATTCCCCCCTCCTCCTCCTCCTCTTCTTCTTCTTCTTCTTCTTCTTCTTCTTCTTCACCTTCTTCTTCTTCTTCTTCTTCTTCTTCTTCTTCTTCTTCTTCTTCTTCTTCTTCTTCTTCTTCTTCTTCTTCTTCTTCTTCTTCTTCTTCTTCTTCTTCTTCTTCTTCTTCTTCTTCTTCTTCTTCTTCTTCTTCTTCTTCTTCTTCTTCTTCTTCTTCTTCTTCTTTTATGAATTGTTTAATGGTTACTTTCTCATGTATTACGTACTACTTGTTGTTGATTATTGGTATATGATTCACAAACACTTGTTATATTAAGTGCATCACTGTTATTTTTTTTATCTGTTTTAATTATTATATGTATTGTAAATAAAGTTTTACTTTCAAAAGTCAAAAAGTCTTCTTCTTCTTCTTCTTCTTCGCTTCTTTTTACTTTTCTTTTTTCACACGCCTCATTGCAAGCCACCATAGAATTAATTCGTTCAGTTTTGTGTTGGAAAACAACTATTTATAACTCAAAATGAGTGCCGATAAGTTCCTCCAACTTCAAAAGGATGTGAGGCATAATCAAGAAGACCTCAAGGCTTTCATGAGAGATCTAAATTCATGGGAAACCAACATCAAACAAACAGATAAAGAATTAAATCAAGATGCCGGAGGAACAGCTGTAAGTTCGCAAGAAAAGGTAACTAACGAGTAACGTGACTCCAATAGCACAATTTCGTCGAGGTATTACCGGTCAGCTCAGGCCACACAACAAAGCTCCATTACTAGACTCTTGACCTATCCTCTAATCCTGGCTGTGTATTAAAATATGTTTTATTAATTCTCAACATTTCAAACACCACTGTACAAACTCAACGGCGCTACGCCGCTAGTTCAGAAGCCTAGAGTAGCCTAGATCTAGATGTTAATGTTATGTTTATTAGTTTACCTGTTTCGTTTCAATTTTCTTGTTATTTTGGGGGGAATTTTTCGGAAAAACGTTGATATGAGTAGACTTAGAGTCTATACACTTTTTCACAGGTTTAAGTTAACGGCAAACCGCTGCACAATACAAGAGCATACCGATGGTGGGTTGCGGGCGAGTGTGCGCCTGTGTGAAGTTATCTACGGTAATGTCAAATAGTCTAAGAATAATTTATGCCTTTAATTTTAAGTTACCGGTAAAATTTTAAAAATAATTTTGTATCTTAAAACTTTGTTTCATGCTCGTTGCAATTTTTTTTAGATAGTTATACATATATATATATATATGGGCTGTTATCAACTTGCAAAGGCCAAAACTGTGTGATGACACAGAAATTGAATAAAGTTTTAATGAATGTTGATACTTAACATGCTAAATTCTCTGATGCATTCTGTGTAAACTCATGTCAACATACACTGTAGACACATAGGTGCATCCTGGCTGTGTATTAAAAGCTGTGCAATTGATTCTCAACATTTCTAACACCACTGTACAAAACTCAATTGATTTCACTGAAAATCGGTACTTTAGTTTAATGACGATCGATGACACCTAAATAGCAGTAAAATACAATTTTTTCAACTTTCCGATGTTAGAAAGAATGAGGATCTGAGACTGAGAGTGAGACCTTCGTGGTGGTGATGTCCAGGTAACATGTGTGTTGAAGGACAGCTTTTGTCAACATTAAGGCCGAGAGATTTGGCAGAGTGAACTTTATCAAGGATCAAGTTTGTTGCCTTATGTCTGAGTGGGCCTACACTTAATAATTATAATAAAAATAATAATAATCTTTTAGTCCACTCCAAATTTCATTAAACTGAAAATGGAAATTCTTTTTGCCCAATTGATCGTGAGCCCGGCAACCACTGAGCAGCACCAGATCGATGTTGCTCTACCCCCCTTATTGTTGAACACCAAACAAGGTAGCAGCAACTCTCTCTTTTAACGTCTTTTGGTATGACGCGGCAGGGTTTGAACCCACGACCTCCCGGTTGTGAGGCGGACGCTCTACTGACTGAGCCAACACACAGGTGTACATCTCCATGACTCACGAGAAAGTTTGCTTTCTGCTTTAGAAGGTGTGTTTTATTTTTTTCTCTGTCATTCTCAACAGGTGATACCACCAATAAGGAACAAAAAGGTGGACGCCAAGAAGAAGCGCAAGAAGAAGAAGGATGTTGTAAAAGAACCTGAGATCACTGAACATACTCCTTCTCTCACCAATGGTTCATCTAGTGCAGAGAGGAAAAAGATCAGAGGATATGACTATAGGTCGTGGGATAAATTTGATGTGGTAAGTGTGTCATTGTAATTAGGTTTTACTGGTATCCGTCAGATCTTGGTCTTGCTACTGACTGTTAATGTGATAATGTCACAATCTGAAGAAAAAAAATCTTAGGATTTACCTTGGGTCACTGTATAGGCAGACCAGAGAGCTGACCGCTGTACCGCAGTCGCTGTAGTTGGTCAGGGTGCCCATCTTTTTATTGAAGCTTCTTGACATGTTATTAATCAAATACTGCATTCTAATCAAGTTGTTCAAGATCTTGTTATTTCTTCAAACCTGGTCTCACACTAGTAACACACTTATAGTAATCATTTATACTTGACCTACCAGTATGTAAGCAAACAAACAAGCTTGCATACAAAGTGTAGGGGAAGCCTGACATATTGACTGGTATAACCCGTCTAAGAAAAAAAGCTCTGTGGACCTGTAGGAGTTACAGTGCATTGAAAGTTATCTGGAGTTCATTGTCTCTCTGGTATTACTTGATTATCAGGTTATTTGCACCAAGTTTCTCAAGCAGAAAGCAATGTTCAAAACTTTGTAACTACCAGTATTCAAGTTCTTTTTTAAAAGCAGAATTAATTACTTAATTTTTTGTCTTTCTTCTGATTTTTATAGGTTTTGTTTTGATCATTTCAGAGTAATCATTTTGTGTTCACATTTTAACACGTGAAGATAAAGTTGAGTTCTGGTCATGCGATTGCATAGTGAATGAAAAGGTGTGGAATGGATTAGAAAATGTTGATTATGTAGCATGTAAATATTGGTGTGTACTGCAAAGTTCTGGAGTCATCAAAATCATAATAAATATGGGACTACTTACCTTGATTTCCTTATCTTTCTATGCTCATTTCTCAGCTAGTATACATTTTCTACCAAAATTGTTTGGCAAATGACATTTATTTGTAATCTTGAACATTCAGTGTAAGTTTTTGTTTGATTCTGTGAGAATTCATTTTCTTTTTTTTTACCAGAACTCAAGTGCATCTTTAAGTCATGAAAAGTGCTTTTTTGTTTTGCATTCTGTTTTTTGTTTCATGGTGTCTTTGAAATGGCCAATATTGGCAATCATCATCTTGCTATTGTCCTGTGACTGTTAGGATGCAGCATGTGCAGAGTTGGATAGTGATGATGAAGAAAGTACAAGGAAGACACAGGCTCAAGAGGAAGATGACGAGGAGGAGACAGACAGTGAAGCAGAGAGGGAAGAAATGGAAGCACAGAGAAAAATCATGGAGGCTAATGCTGAAAAGGAAAAGGTAAGACAAAGCGATTATTTGTCTGAAGAAGTATGTTTGTTATCTTTCTTGAGGGTGTGTAGTTCTGAAAAGGACTGTTGGTATAGTCTTGAAAAAGACTTGGTTATCTTTCTCAGCTTATAGTTCTAAGGAGAGCTATAGCGCTTGGAGAGGATGAGTGGCGGGAGTGGCTCGACGTTTCAAACAGGTTGACTATCCGTCATCAGGAGGGTCTATGTTTATAACTCCTTATGTGTTGTGGACAGGAAATCCTAAATATTCAGTTGTTGAACAACACATTTGGACCATGGATAATATGGAGGTCACTGTTTTTCTGCTAGAAGGATAATTTGTTGCCTCAAATGTGAAGCTTACATCCATGGTTTACACGTTTGACCCATTCTATCAATGAAATGAAGCAATTTGGTAAAAAAGTCTAAATTTCAACTTCCTATTTTCTTATGTTGTGTTGAATTCTCTTGTTATTCCCCCCCCCCCCCCCCCGTATCTCTGCAGGGCAACACCTTCTTCAAGAAAGGCAAGTATGAAGATGCTGTAGCCTGCTACTCTAAAGGTCTCAAGGTCGACCCTGACAATGCACTGCTTTCTGCCAACAGGGCAATGGCTCTCCTGAAATTGAAGAGGTTAGTCGTGAGGTATATAGTTGAAGCAAAGATGGAGTTATCTTGTTTGTAAAGCAGTTTCTTTTTTCCAGTCTTCATTTTATTCCTTTTTTTGTGGCTGGCACATTGGAAAGATGAAATGTAAGATAAGGTAATCATATTGACCCATTCTAATATTGATATAATTGAAATTGCATTAAATGACAAAGTTGGCATACATGTGTATCAGTAGAGACAGACAGAAGAGGAAGGTTTGTGAGAAGAAAAAAAATGATTTGTGAAACATAATAGATTGTTATTTACAATTCATTCAAAGACAGTTTATATAATGAAAAGCTATATTTTGTTTATCTTTAAGGTTTGAAGAAGCAGAGAAGGATTGCGACTCAGCGATTTCACTTGACTCTACCTATATCAAGGCCTATGCCAGGAGAGGCACTGCTAGACTGGAGCTCGGTAAACTGGAAGAAGCCCAAAAAGGTATTTTAAATCAAACCAATATGCTAATGACTCTGTAAGATCTCTGTGAGATTTTAATAGAGATATCTGCTACCCTCATAGAGGTAAACTCAACTAGCTGAATTTTTGACACAAAACTGACAATCTTATAGGGCTACAACGAGTAGTCAAATGCTCTAGTACCCGCACCGTTGACAACTACTCGAGTACGATTTCATGTACTCGAATATTCAGCCGCAAAAAAAAAAAAAAAAAAAAAAATCCCGGTCACCTGGCAGTGTCCAGGCCAACGCTTAGCCGTGCCAGGACAGTGCCTACCGTCGGTAAAAATGTTTCCCAGCTCAGTCACTTTCTAACTCACCACTCAGAAACTGGGGCTAAGTGTCCGGATTTCTGTTTGGAGTCTGAGGAAAATGGATTATTCTGCCATCTTTGGTTTTTAAAACAGCATTGTTTACTGTTATTATTATTATTAAATTGGCGCCTTCAACTGCAACTCGAAGTAAAATTGCATGAGTTTTCGACCGAGGTGGCAAAAAAAAATATATATATATATATATATATATATATATTTAAATTTTTTATTTTTTATTTTTTTTAATTTTTTTAAATTAAAAAAACATGGGTCCGAATATTTGAGTATACACTTGTAAGCCTGGGAGTGTACTCGGGTACCTCATTACACGGTTGTGCACAGCCTTAATATCTTATTAGATGTATATAAGATCTAATGTACATGTATTTCCTAACTGCCTTGTAACCCTCAGATTTCCTTACTACCTTGTTTACCTTATCGTATTGCGCTTCTTCTTCTGTATTGGGAGTACAAAATATAATGTGCACCATTATGACATTTTTGAAAGGGTCCTCTTTTTTCACAAAATTGAAGATTGCAAAGTGATTGCAATGATTATGATATTTTGTTTCAGATTTCGAGCAAGTGCTGAATATAGAAACAGAGAACAAGCAAGCTAAGAATGAGATAAAGAAGATAGATAAACTACTCAAAGAGAGAGAGGAAGAAAGACGTCGAGCAGAGGAACCATCAAACGTAGTTCACGCTGTCAATAAACCACCCCATCTCAGGTCAAAGGTTAGTCAGTACATCAGTATTTAGATATCATAAGGCTAAATTAATTTTTTTTAATCGTGTTTAGCGACTCCGCAGGCCTCCTTTTTTTATAGGCTGTCTGCTTTTTTCCTTTATTCTTTTTTCTTTTAGTTTTAATGAAAAAACATGAAAAACATCCTGCTACATTTATTTTGCTGATTTTTTAAAAGAAGAAAACATAAATGATGGTGGCCATCTTGAAAAGTAGCCAGACTGACTGGACGTCAGGGAAAATGTCCCGAGCAGCCATTTTGATCAAGAAAAAAAAAAGGGCCTCCTTCCCTTTTTTTCAAAAAGGCAAGATGCTAAAACATGTTTTTTTAATAAATTGGCCTAATATGTAGGGGAGAGTGTAAAATTATGTATTTCATTTTTTTTTTACTCAGGAGATTATATATAGGAGAATCAGAGACACTGGTTTTCTATAGCATGGAGAATCATGTGTACACTGTAAAACAAAGTACAAACAAGTATAAGCATTTATTGAATGCAGCCAAATTTTTATCTTTAGTCATATGCAGTCTTATTGAGAGAAAAGCATTGATAAACAGGAAAGGATAGTATTTTCTCAAAACAGTGTTGTTTTACTGTCAAATCTATCTTGTGATTAACCCACAGAGACCTTTGAAGAGAATGACAATTCAGGAAGTTGGAAAGGGAGTGGCTGAAGAGAAACAGAGGGAGAGAGAAAAGTTGAAAATAGAAAGAGAAAACGTAAAAATGCAACAAGAAAAGACTGACAGGACATCTTCGGACCGTAACAATCAAAATGCAGATGTTGATAGAACAGGTGAAAAAAAGATCCAAGAGATCAAATCAAGGACCGGTGAAGGCAAGGGTGAAAGGTCAGAACAAAAAGATCGTCCACAAACTTCGGGCTCACCGCGAGGCAAGGGGGATTCCCCACGAGAAGGAGGAGGGAAATCCCCTACAGTGTCATCAGTCAAGCCAACCCTTCCAGGTGTGCCATCTACCTCCTACCAGCTACAAGCAGACTGGAAAAGACTGCAGTCACACCCTGACATCTTGTTTGAATATTTCAAGGTAACGATCATTGCCTTGGTACCTTTTCCTCCTTTTAACTATGTGCTATTGTAATTTCTCTTTATGATGAACTATAGATGTATGAATCCACAGTGTATATACACCTGTTTTTCAATTTTGCCAATATATTAAGTGGAGAAGGTAGTGAGGAATTTGATTTTGGTACCATTAACTGAATGAATAAGTTTTAATTTGAAAGTATCTTTTGCATGTACTTATTGTTCCTTATTCATGTCGTGATTTTAAATTGATGTCCAAAAAGAAACGTCTTCAGAATCATATACAATATCTTGTATGGTTTTATGAGGCATGTATGATAAATTTAGGAAGTTGTATTTTATGGGCACTGTACCAGTTATTAGTTGAATGTAATTCCGGATTAAATGCAGAGCCTCTTCCATTTTCCACAGAAAATTCCATCGGCCACCTATCCAAAGCTCTTCCAGAACTGTCTAGACTCTGCTATGCTGAACCAGATTCTCCATCTCTTGACCACGTCTTACATTCCGTGAGTTTGCCCATAGTGTGATACATTCACATTTGCCGTATAGCATATTTCGTATATCGAATGAGTGGTAATATGAGGCAAATACCATTGGCTAAGACAAAGTCGATTAAGCACAGGGTCTGGTTCATAACAGGATGAAATATTGCATTGATTTTTGTTTTCTCTTTTTCTAACTCACTTGCTATATCAGCCTTTATTCCAAGCACTTAAAAAAAAATCCTAGTTTTTGCTAGCCAGACGTAAAAAATGGATGTATTACACCATCACCCAAGACGTAGACGTTCAAAAAATTTCCTTTTCCTTTTTGATTGGACATTTTTTAGACACTATAACCCCCTTTATTGGTCGTTTGCTTCCTCCTTATTGGTCACTGGCTAATCATTGGTCCCTAGTTTCAATTAGTGTGCGTGATTGGAATCAAGAGGCCGGTACTACTCACCAAAATTTAACAATTTAGTTACGATACATCAAACACATTTGCCGATAAGATATGACATTTCATTAATAAATCAAATTTGAAGATCCACATTTGTGTGTATTGCTGTTTTAATAGCTTTTTATAGAGTTTACAGCAGAAACAGCTTGGTACAAGTATATTGTCATTATTGTACATGTACATGCCGATATGGAGTCCCATATGTGCATTTTTATGTATGTCCTGATATAAATAGGTATCGGCTATAACAAGGAAAATCAATTGGTCCCGACGACCTCTTTATATCGAGTTTCCCCTGTAATAACATTTTATTAATTTTCACTTCTTAGGTCCAACACACCCATCTCTGAAACTCTGGAGAGGCTAACAGCTGTAAAGCGGTTTGATATGAACATCATGTTTATGTCTCCGAGAGAAAAACAAGGTATAACTTTGGCATGACAATTTTATAGAATTTTAATACTTTGTATTATTACAGAGACATTGGTACTCTTCTTTCCCCTCTAGTTCCTTGTGCACCTCAAAATACGCTATTAGATAGACAGTGCCATGCAAATGCCTGTTATTGTTATTAATTAACAAGGCAACATCAAATAAATTGTAATGGTGGAGATATTACCGATTTGATTTTTTGTTACACTTCCTTTGGGGAACCAGAAATGGAGGAGCTCATTTACAGAATATGAATGATCAATACTGAAGGTTGTCCCTTGGAGAGACGTCAGCCTCAGAGTGACTTGGTTAATCAAATACCATGAAACAGAAGGGAGAAAGATTTCTTCAGGAATAAACGGACTAGAGCAATGTTTTTTTACTTTAAAACTTAGTTTCCTGTATGTATTGTTTTTAGATTGTGCTTTGGAAAATATGTACTATACCATAGCATAGGTTCAAATTTACTTAATGAAATCAACCAATATTTGTTGTGATGCCGTTTTCTATCCTTATGTTTTTTTTAAATTCTTTTTATCACCCACAGTGATTCAAGGACTGTTCTCCCACTTGAAATTGGAAGTGGATGAGCAAAAGTATCAGCAGCTTGCGAAGAAGTATGGATTATGACACGGCAGTCACTTTCATTCAGAGCATGAAGCTTGAACAGCTGTTTATGAACTCACTGATTGACAACAGAACTTTCAGATGTACGAATTTGAGATCGTAGATGCAGTGACTGATTGAAATGTTCTCCATTTACTATCTGGATTATGTATATGTCAGTCAGAGCAGGAGATCGAAAGTTGAATAATCCAAGTTTGTATGTGGTTGTCATATGAAGAGAATTGTATCACTACATTAGCTAATGATTAAGAATGTTTCATGATGTCACAAATAAAAGTAAAGCCCTAGTCTACTTGCTGTGAACAGAGGAAGATGGAGGCCCTGTTGAAATTGTGTTTTCTTTGTACACATTAAAATAAATGAGGCTATAGTTCTTACTCAAAAGATTATCAAACTTAAATCACATCATCTCTCAGAAATGCTTGAACTAATAGTGATTATCATCCTTCTTCCTAAAATGTTTTCATTTCAATTTTTGTTACTGATTCCAAGCATTATCAAACTTTTTTGAAATAATGAAAACCTTCAGTAACTGAATAGTGCAAATATCTATCATAAAATGTTTAGAAATCACTGAAGATTTTAAACCAGTCAAGATAATGTATTTAAACACACAGAGCAAAATAACTATCTACAAATTACATTTTTTGGAGATGTATCACACTCAATGTTCGTCATCTGGGTCAACGTAGTGTCATATGACACATAGTTTTGACTCTATAAAAGGAATATATTTTGTTACATTAACAATCACCCTTAAAAGTCTGCATCTTTTACTTGTTTTTCATACATTTTCAGAACCAAAATATACAATCCTCCATGTGTGGAATTTATTCAAGATCTGGTGTGTATGTGTTTTTATGCCTCCGCCACCGAAGGTGGTGCCGGAGGCATCATGTTTTCGGGTTGTCCGTCCGTACGTCCGTCCGTCCGTACGTCCGTCCGTCCGTCCGTCCATCCGTCCGTCCGTCCGTACATCCGTCCCGTTTGACCGTTATCACAATATCTCAAGAACCATTTAAGATTTAAACTTAAGACTCGGGAATAGTATTTATCACCATAGAAAGATGATCTGATTAGATTTTGGAGTACGTAGGTCAAAGGTCACAGGTCACAGAGGTCAACTTATGAAATTCCTTGTATTGAGTTTGTTAGCGCGATATCTCAAGAACCATTTGAGATTTAAACTTCAAACTTAAGGATAGTATGTATCACCATAGGAAGACGATCTGATTAGATTTTGGAGTACGTAGGTCAAAGGTCACAGGTCACAGAGGTCAACTTATGAAATTCCTTGTATTGAGTTTGTTAGCGCGATATCTCAAGAACCATTTGAGATTTAAACTTCAAACTTAAGGATAGTATGTATCACCATAGGAAGACGATCTGAGTAGATTTTGGAGCACGTATGTCAAAGGTCAAGGGTCACAGAGGTCAACTTATGAAATTCCATACATTGAGATTGTTATCATGATATCTCAAGAACCACTGGAGATTTAAACTTCAAACTTAGTGATAGTGTGTATCACTATAGGAAAACAATCTGATTACATTTTGGAGCACGTAGGTCAAAGGTCAAGGGTCATAGAGGTCAACTTATGAAATTCCATACATTGAGATTGTTATCATGATATCTCAAGAACCACTGGAGATGTAAAAACTTCAAACTTAAGGATAGTATGTATCACCATAGGAAGACGATCTGATTAGATTTTGGAGCACGTAGGTCAAAGGTCAAGGGTCACAGAGGTCAGCTTATGAAATTCCATACATCGAGATTGTTATCATAATATCTCAAGAACCACTGGAGATTTAAACTTCATACTTAATGATAGTGTGTATCACCATAGGAAGACAATCTGATTAGATTTTGGAGCACGTAGGTCACAGGTCAAGGGTCACAGAGGTCAACTTATGACATTCCATACATTGAGATCGTTATCGCGATATCTCAAGAACCACTGGAGAATTTTCACTTCAAACTTAATGATAGTATGTATCACCATATCATAATATCTCAAGAACCACTGGAGATTTAAACTTCAAACTTAATGATAGTGTGTATCACCATAGGAAGACAATCTGATTAGATTTTGGAGCACGTAGGTCAAAGGTCAAGGGTCACAGAGGTCAACTTATGAAATTCCATACATTGAGATCGTTATCGCGATATCTCAAGAACCACTGGAGAATTTTCACTTCAAACTTAATGATAGTATGTATCACCATATCATAATATCTCAAGAACCACTGGAGATTTAAACTTCAAACTTAATGATAGTGTGTATCACCATAGGAAGACAATCTGATTAGATTTTGGAGCACGTAGGTCAAAGGTCAAGGGTCACAGAGGTCAACTTATGAAATTCCATACATTGAGATTGTTATCATGATATCTCAAGAACCACTGGAGATTTAAACTCCAAACTTGTTTAAATTGCTCTATGGCGGAGGCATCATTTTCGACTGCGCGCAGTCAAAATTCCATCTAGTTCTTCACCATATTGTAACGTATTCAATGTTATGTAATTTTCAAAAGTAAGTTACCTTTAAATTCAAAGTTTCCTCCTCATTATGAATACTATACACAATAAACAAGGTAACACAAATGTTATAACTTTCAAGACTTTATATTGGAAAACACCCTCAACATTTGAAGAATACAGTTATAAGTACTGACTTGTGCATCGAACAGGATTTTTATAAATGTTTAATACAAAACTGAATTTAGAAATAATACACTTATTGAACAAATCCAAGTTATTTTGTCCCATACGTTACCAACATCAACAATTTTATTATATCAATGATCAAATATATGACATGTATAGCCCTACTAGAGCTTAAATCAGAGTAAAAAACAAGGAAAGTTGACAATTGTATGTTTTTCTTTATCCTTTGTAAAGTATAGGACAGCACATGACCAAAGGCCTTGAACTTGCCCTGTCAATCAGATAACAAATTCTCAACTAAAATACAATATAACTCTTCCAGAGCAGCCTACAGTCATAACAATAGTAAAAAAACACAAGTGAAATAGTTAAAGAGTTCAATATTTTGAAAGACAAGAGTGCTGCATACCTGAGTATAGTACCATCACCAGTTTGAGCATAAATTTTTATATAAAAAGAAGGCAGATTAATTAATTTTCCAATTTCATAAAAGAATCTTCCTAGCACCAAATTAATAGAAATGAGAAAACCATGTTAGACTATTATCTTTTTTCAAAACACTTTCTACACCGCTGATTGGATAAGACTCTTTACAGTCTGTTAATCCTGATAAACTTCTGCATACTATCACAAAGAGAAAAACGGCACATAATAATTGGAAAAAACATCTTGTTATCAATGCAGAGCTACCAACTATACCAGAAACATCACAGTAATGTAATTGCTAAAAACCAGAAAGAAAAAAATCAGTGTTTCTCAATTGAATATGAGGGAAAAAGGCACTTGAGAATCTGTCTCTAAGTGTACCATTCACATACATGCCAACATTTGAAAATCAGAAATCTGTACAAATTATGCTATTTAAAAAAAAAAGAGGAACAATCCTAACTCTCCTATTTAATACTACAGACAAATTTGTACAGGAAGAGGAACACCTGCATTAAAATGATAATTATCTTCTCCCAAAAAGAGGAATGTTCCTCTTTAATCTGAACAGTTGGCATGTATGCATTCAGTTTTCAAATACTTCATAATGAAATTCATGTAAATAATACATCAATGCGATTGTATCAGATGTACCATATGTAGATTAGTTCACTCAATATATGATAACTGTTTGTGAAAAAAGATATCATTAAACACTTTTTGTGGTAGAGTGGTTTTATCACTTGACTGTACATAGAAAGGTTGCAGATTCAAACCCCAGCACGGCACTAGAGTCCTTGAGCATGGCATTTTACCTACATTGGCCCTCTCTACCCAGGTATTACAATGGGTACCCAGGATGTGCACTTCATTGTGGTTGGATTAGTATGCATGTGCTTGTAACGGGCAACTTGCTGGAATGCTCCCAGAGGAGTGGAGAATGTGCAGAATCAAAATTGAATCCAGTGAACGGGGTAAAGATGATGTGATTGCTTTGGTCAGTTTAATAATTAAGGCACTGCACTATATCAGAAACATTTTTATCATTAAAAAAATATATATTGCAGGAACTAAAATACAAATACATGCTTATTGACCATTTCACACAATTTTTCCAGCACTTTGGGGAAATCACACTAGTACTGTGCACCTGTCAATAGTTTCATTCTTATTATTGCATTCATTCTACAAAAACATCTTTCCCTTTTCTTCAACAATCATACATAATCATTCATGAATAACTAGTTGTGTGATTCACAAATATGCATCAAGAATAAAAATACAGTTCAAATCAAATGGAATGTACTACATTTTCATCTGTAAGTGTGCAAATTACTAAAGACCAGGGAACAATAATTCTCCCCTAACCTTACTTTACATTATACAGAAATAGGGTAGACCATAGAAGTTGCTTATCAACAGTACATAATAAATATTCACACACTACATTATTAAAGATTCATATGCTTGTATAAGAAATGTCCACATTCCTGTGCAAAGTGCAGAGTGCAAAAATCGACTTGCGCCAAAGTTGCTTATGTGATGTTTGAATAAAACAATTGGGATTTGGGTACTAACTCGGTCTTTGCAGATCAAAATAACATCCCTAACAAAATTAGTCATGCCACACATATCCAATATCAACGAACATGTGTGCGTGTGACTTTGCTTCTGCGAAAAGCATGTGCCATGCATTTCATTTGATACATTCAATCAATTCTCTCACTCCGCTTGTCCCAACATAAAACATACTGTAGGCATCACTTTGGTGCAAGTCGATTTTTGCACTCATCAAAGCATGAAAACATACCACACAAAAATGATACCAAATGATATGGGATAAAACACTCTTTCATAAGATGTATGAAAATTTACTGTTTAGATGATTTTTTAAATAATTATCAATTTTCTAGGTGTAAACTTTATTTTTACTCACACAGTATATTCAGGAAAAGACTCACATGAACACTGGCTTGTCAGTAAAAAAAATACATTTAGCAGCTTAAATTTTATTAATAAAGGATTAAAAAGGTAAATAGTCCACCTAATAAATCTATAGATCAAAAGAACGAAGCTCGAGTATTTGAAATGATTTTTAATCACGGCAAATTAGAGTATTAACAGGGTTATTGAGTTATGTCATACTCAAAATTGGTGTATCTGTTGAAGAAGAAACAAACAATGAACTAGAACTTTAATGAGCAGATGCTTTTTCTTCAATGTTGTATTACGATACTATGACACATTAGGGCATAGTTTAGACTTATACCTTCTGACTGATCCACAAATAAAAACATTCTGAAAAGTAAAAATCAAGGATTTACCGACAGAACCTGTCATTGCATCATTAAATTGATCAAACAATTCATCTACTCCAATTGCATGTATATCAGTAGTCATATGGAATGTTACAGGGCTGTGATATATATATATATACTAAGGCAGAATATGAAGAAAGCTTCATGGCCAGCCTGTAACATTAAATATGGAATGCATCTGTTACATAATCTATAACTTCTCAGTTTTAAATAGTCCAAAGAGAGTTCACACCTTTTAGAAGCAAGTGATAGGACAACATACATCACTTCATTCTTTAAAAAAACTTAACTACACTAATCTTGTGTAAATGTTTACACATGGATCATATGGAGGCACGATAGCTCAGTCGATAGAGCAGTGGTCTCGTAATCCGGTGACCGGGTTCGAAACCAAGTCGATGCGTTAGTGCCCTTTGGTAAGGCATTAATCCTCATTACCAGGTCCCTCAGAGAGGACCTAAAGCCGTCGGCCGTCTGGTTGCTTACTTACATGCATTTATGCTTTCTTAGCAGTCAGGTAAAATAACCACCACCACCACCGCAATATGAAAACAAATCTGTCCTATCCACCCTGAATCCAACAAGTAGAAATAATCATAGACACAAAAAGCAGTACCAGATTGCAGAATACGATGCTGCTTGTCAAAGCTCATCCTTTTCATGGGGTTGTCTGTAAGCTTTATGATCCCTGACGTGTGCTACGGCCTGCAGGATAAGGCGTCTAAACTCTGGCACATCAAATTTATAGTCGCAAAACTTGGGATGTGGCTTGCCCAGGGCTGGGTGATCGATCTGTACAGGGAGGGTACAAGCATGCATGTCAGTAAGACAGTCCATTAGAGGTTTTCAGAGCCAAACAGCTCATTATGCTGTAGAAGAAATTAGATGCCCTTATGGCTCTAAAAAGGTAAATAATAGCACCAAAGTACAGTGAAACCCACCGTAGCAACCACCTGTATAGGAAGACCACATATTCCCCTTCCATTGAATAGTCTTTTTCACTGAAATGCATCTTCTATCAAAAGGAACCTGTACATAAAGACAACCAGCCTATAAACATTGCTTTTCTTGTCTTGCTTGAGTGGTCTTTATATACAGGTTTCACTACAGTCATTTTGATGCTAGAGTTGGTGTCAACTGCAGTGGTAAAAGAAATGAAAGTGACGTCAAGGATATAAAAGCCTTTACGGGACCAGTGATCCACCCACAAAAAGATTACACAATGGCTAACAGATGGGTTTTAAAAGAGTGCTGGCATCCATTATTAAGATCATTCTCTTTTTCTAGTTTAACATAGATGCCATAACCAAGGTATGATTTTCACTTATATCAACAAACTCTCACAATCATTAGTTTCCAACAGAATTGTAGAATTTCAAAGTTTCCCACTCTTCATGGAATTCATGATAACTGGTCATTGTAGATTACTGGTTAGTACCTTGGAAAATGATAATTGACTCAGTCTCACCTCATTATGTTTCTGCACCAGGTCATTATCCTCCCATGTCATATACTTAACACCTCGTATAGCAGCCAGGTGTTTGTAGCAATTCTCGTCTTCACAGTTAGAACTGCAAGATAATGATCATGCATACATGTACTTAAAAATGAAATAGAAGTAATCTTGTTTGCTTCAATGAAATCAACATTTGCCCATAGCTTCCTCTGGTGCTCTGGCAGTTGCTCACTGGCAAGCAGCAATTGCTTCATTTCATCAAACATATAGGATTGCGGTTAAGGTTACTTTCAATTGGGTTTTAAGTTAGGGTAAGGTTTAGGGTTAGGGTTAGGGTTAGAGGTATGTGTAGTATTGTGTCAAGGGTTGAGGTTAAGAATTTGTTGCAGGAGCATGTGTGTCGTACAACCCTTCTGCTTTATCACTCTCACAGAAATGTCTTGCCTGCAAAAAGAGTTTTAACCTTTCAATTCTCTCATTGTGTTTTAAATACTTTACAAGGGTACAGACTCTTGGTTAATAAAGACAATTCTTCAGCATTTTGTTTTGTTTCTTTTGGTAGGACTCCAGCTGTGAGTCCAATTTTGCTTATACATACAACAGCAAACTTTCAGTACCCTACGAGATAAAATAAGAATTATCATAACGTAAGGGTTAGTGAAGTGTGATCATCAGATATGTGGTTATGACTACTGAATTCTCTGATCCCCATAGGTTTAATACATAGATCACTCAGTTCCCTTACGCAATGTGTACAAAAGCAGGAATTTACAGGTCACGGAGGCAATAATGAAGATATGAATTATTGGAATCATAACATGGACATCATCAATCATTGATAATCCTGGAAAATTAGTAGTTTCCTTTCTGAATGCAAGCTGGGAATGAAAAACATGCATCTACAGCGCAAATTTTGAAGATTCAGCGATTCTCAATAATCAAGAAGATAAGAATCTTACATTTCAAAGATAACAGCCCAGTCTGGTAAAAAGAGTAGATGAGTTAATCCAGCTCCATGCATACCAATGAAGATGTCTGAGTTATGTGTAATCTGCAGGGAAGAATCACAAAATAAACATTTATATTTTTTCATAATTTTTCCTTATATTACAAAGGACTATATTGGCAAATTGAGTTAACAAATAAGAATGAAAACAAAAATGGTGTAAATCAAATAATTTAAATGATACCAAACTACCGACCTGAAAATTTCAATCTTCAACTCTTCCTTTAAAGATAGACTATGGAAATGTAAAACATTCAACAAATATGACCATCGATGTCAAAGACGACAATCATTCTGATATTTTACTTGAAATCAGCAATGCCCAGAAAGAACATAAAGAATCTGAATGACAGCCTGTTTGTATTAAAAAATGTACATGTAAAATGTTGTTTGTACAAAATGTCAATCTATTCAAATAGAATAGAATCAGAAATAGATGAATGTGATCAAAATTTGATTTCCTCTTTAAAGGTACTATGTCCCTTTTGCAGCCAACCTCAAATTCTGTAGAACTTTGCAGGAATTATGAATATGTCATGTATGTCCTATCTGTGAAATTTAAACGTTAGCAGTGTCCTCATATTTAAATTATGCAAGGAAACCTGTTTACTTGCTAGAGTTCACTGTCAGACACTATTGAGTGACTGACTGGCTTTTTTCTTCTTTGGTAATAACATACATGAAAAGAGTGGTAAAGGGTACATGAGCATTTGTCTACATCAATAACCCACTTCTTGTGATGGCCAAGATTAAACAGATTGAATCTTTGCGCAGCATAAAACATATGACCATTCGGTACAATTGTCTGAAAATCAAGACTATTACTTTTGGGCTCTATAGCCCTAAAGTCGATTTGACAACTAATAGTCGTTATTTTACCACTTGAAGACATTTTCAAGCCCCAACTTTTTTAGGGAAGTTCTAAATTAGTATTATCTTTCAAATGCAGTTGGAATTTAACTTTTTCATTTTTTGGCCTGCAAATGGGACATAGTACCTTTAAGTATATTTCATATGTTAAGAAATCTGAATGAATTGCTAACCTGAAGTTGATCAGCAATTTTCATGTTTCGCCTGGAGAAAAAAAATCAGAGAAAAAATATAGACTATCTATCAGTTTATATAGGTAACAAATGAAAATATGTATGATTTCAAATTAATTTGATTCATCTCAACTACCATTGGTATATCCATTAAAGGTACTTAGTAACATTGTGATGGTTGATTTCACAAATCTGTTGAATCAGGATGCAAAACACGTAAAATTATGTTTGTATGTATGGATTATCCAACTACGATGCCCCAAATCCGAAATTAATTCACGCAATATGAAGATTTTTAACAAAGTTCAACGGGTTTTTGAACAGGCGTCGATGTGCGGCGCTTCTGAATCTAATTTCTCCCAACAATTTTTTTTAAAATTTTCCCAACCGTTTTCCCATGAAAAAAAGACATAAAAGCAGGCTATAAAAAATCTGTCAACACTTAAATGTCTGGAATGGAATGTAGAGCCATTTTATTGCTTTGTGAAATTTCCATTCACGTAAAATGTAATTAAATTGTAATAATATGGTTGGGAGAATTAAGGAATCGATCGGATCAGTTTTTTCCAACTTGTACCATGAATAATGGTCTGTTTTCGCTCAAATTTTCAGATTATCTTTAATTGTACATCTAGCATTGAAGTTACTACCTATAGCACCACTATCTCTCATCTGAACAATGTTACAAAGTCCCTTTAACAGGGGTAGGGGAAGGAGGGAGGGGGATTCTCCCTAGATGAGGAGAGGGGCTAGGGCACAGCACATCTGCAACACTCTATATGCTCACTATGACATTGCAAGTACAGCGGAGCTTTAAGCAATTCACATTTTACATGTTAGAATTTCTTTTAACTCATTACGCCCCTTATGTCTATTTTCCATTTTAAAACTAACACTGGGGTCAACAAATTGGAGAGAGCACTGGAAAGAAGAGAGAGAAAGATAAAGAGTGAGAGAGAGAAGATCAAATAATTGAGGCATGAGCTCTAGTTTAAACAAATAACACTTAGTGAAAATTCAAACAAAATAGTGACAGAGTGACAGAGAGAAAGAAATAAGACAAACTAGATATGACCATACTTGGCTTGAAAGTATATTAGTTCAATGTTAATTGAAATTCACTTACCAGTGGTATACAACTACATTGACTTCCACCCCAGGCATATTTTGTAGCTCCTCTACCAACTGTTTAACAAAAAAAGAAAGAAAAAAAAAACAGTTTAAGAGCTGCACATGCAAAATACAGAGCTGTTCCTTGAACTTCTCTCTTGATTATCAAACCAGAAGTCACAGAATCAAAAGGATATTACAGAGAATGTATTTGAAACAGGATGTACTTCTCAGATCATTTGCCGGTATGCATTACATGAGGAGACCATGTAACCTTTAGGTTTTATATAGGGTAGTGATTTTGATGACAAAAATAAATATTCTTATCTTAATAAAAGAGCATCCTTTTGCTCACTTGGTTGCAAAATTTAAAAACCAGAAAGATGATATTTAGGGAATTTCGTTAACCATCCTAGCACTAAATACACCTGTTTGGATATGCATTATCCAGAAGATACCATGTGAAAAGTATGGTTGCCCAAGTTTTATTTTCATAATCAGATTTAGTTGAAAATAAACTTCAATAAAACTGCACATGAATACATAGACAAAATTATATCACTAGCTTGACACAAAGTATAATGTAGCAGGTGATAAATTTTGATTTTGAGTTGAGAACATTTGTGAGTTAAGTACTCATGTCACAAAAAGGATTTGGCTTCAGCTCTGTTTAATAAGTACTAATAACACACATTTCTACATGGATACAAAAAATTAAAAGGTAAACATTATATCTGTTGCTCTCACCTCATTTTGGTTAACAATATTCCTGTGCTTGGTCTGCCTGTCAAGAAGTGTAATTCGTATTTTGTCTTTCTGAATTGGGGATAAATTGGGAAAAACAAACAAACTTGAATTTATCCATAAGAAATAAACTGCTAATTACACCTTCCATGAGAAATTTATTCTGTATTATGTAATTTCATATTTGTACATAAAATTTGGTAAACATCCTTTGAACTTCTATCTTGAATCCAATCCAAAATCAAGCTAATCTTGAGTTCTAGTAATGACAGAAAATAAGTCATCAAATAAGTGTAAAACCCAAAGTTAAACAGCATCTTCAAAATATTACAGTTGAATGGAGCAGTTTTTTGTGGCTTTTTCTTTATAAAACACATCCTGAACACTCTGTTTTATCCTTTAATTTTAATCCGACACTAGAATATTCAATAAAGGTGTAAGTATAAGTCAAAAACTTTCAGGGAAAAAAATACTTTAAAAATTTGGGGTGCTACTTTTCAAGCTTGCTTGCATGAAAATAACACTTGTTTAATTTGTTTTGCATTGAACTCTATGCACATTTGGGGGGGCTCTTTTATGACTTTCAGGGGCTCTTTTTAGCATTTCAGGGGCTAATTCGCCCCAAGCCCCTGTGTATTTTTTTCACTGATTGCCTTCCACTAGGCCATCACACTCTGCTTCAAGGAGTATAGCGTCTGTTGCTAGAGATTGCGCTTGGACCTATAGCTGTTCTGTGCATTGATATGAGTGAATGTCCTTGAATGGTGCTATCAAAATAATTCCTCATGTGTATATACCAGGCCGAACATAACATAAAATGTTGATTGCTGTTTTCTTCACTTTTTTTTCATCGATGCCACTCTAGAATCAATCCTCACACCGTAGAGCTCACTCCCACTCACCTTAGGTCCTTCTTGTGTCACTCCAAGTCGATGCAGTACATGCTGTGAGAATGCTCTCATCAGGCTGCTGCCCTGGCAATGAGGCACCAGAGGCATGTTATAAAACATGCCTCGCTGCATACGTGGCAACAGACTGAAGACTCCATCAGCAATGCATATCTTCAAGCAAAGAGTGGAAAATAAACTCACAATTTGTTTCCTTAAATACTAAATAATGGTCTTATATACCCAGGGTAGCCATATTAGTATTAATACTGCTCTTGCCATGGTCCCTGTAATTACTTTCCAAGCATTGCTAGTAATACACCCGGGTCAAGAGGGACAGATGTGGGTGAACATCTTGTCCAAGGATGTAAAGCACGGAGCAAGGATCAAACAATGCTCACAATAATGTAATGACTTGAACTATATTTCCCAATTACAGGGAAGCAACATCAAAAACAGTAATCAAACACACCTTTATACGGATCCTATAAAAGTTTAAAAATGTCTTAATAAGATCATAGTAAATTGTACATGAATACATTTTGAAAAGTGGAGAGAGATGACGTTTGATATTAAACATATATCTAACTTGTTGACTCAAATAATATATTTATTTTTAACGTTCATTGTGGAAATGTATTTTTAAAAGGGTTCCAATGCCCTGATAGAATATAATACCCTTGGTTTTTATGCTATCCTCAACCTGACTTCCCTCACTCAAATGTCGTTGTGGAGTTATGAATTCATTGATACTAATAAGTTACTAATTAGAAGGGAAAAAAGAGAAAAACTTACTCTCTTGCCATCCCAATCTTTTAAATGCAGAAAGTGAGTGTCTGTGAATACTGACCACATGTCAAAAAATAGATCCCCATACACCATGTTACTCTGGAAAAAAACACACATTAGTACATGAAATTAAATAACCAGCAAAAAATACAGTTAAAAGTAAAAACAACTTTTTAGATGAAATCTCTGACATACCTCTATCTTTAAAAAAAAAGAAGATGTTATCATTACTTGAATATGTATACATATATTCCCAATAGAATTTTTCATTTCCAGTATCATTGTCATCAAACATACATCATGTCTTGTAAGAGTGTCCTGAACACAAATTGTCACGCACAGAAATTCAAGATTTTTAAACAACTGCCATCATCTCTACTGAAGCGTAGTTCCACTGATAGTGGCAAGAAAATAAAAGTCATGGTAACTCGATCCCTTTACAAAATAAGAAGAAAAGAGAAAACAGAGAAATTTGAATGTTTAGTCATACTTACTGAATCCCACATAACAATATTGATGTCTTGTGAAAAGCTTCCATTGATGTGTTGAGACATGTAAAGATTGATGAAATCACAGAAGTGGTGATACATATTGACACCTGCACAAAAAAAAACAACAAGCATACATAATAATCATGAATAAAGTCAAACATTATGTACAGCACTGAAATTGACTCCTCAAATATATACAGTAGAGTAGGGGATCTTAAAGCAATAGTGTTTTATGGGATTCATTCATTGTACAATTGCATATGTGTGAAGATTGAGAGTAATCCAGTTCAGATATTGTTCTTTTGATTAGTGAATACTGTAACAAAAAAAGGAATTAATAACGATGGCCATTTTTTAGGGACAAAAATTGAAGAAGAAAAAATACACCCTTGTGCTGTTATTTAGTCATTTTAGCATCATGACACTTTCTAGAATCTAGAACACAAAAATATACCATCTATATATAGACATAGAAAGAATTTAAATGTAACAATATATACATGTACACAGATTTTTAGTTCATACAAAAATTGAAGACTAAAAAAAAGAAAAGTTAAAGGTAGGTAGCCAGGTTCCTCTTCAATAGTTTTTTCAATATGACACAATGTTCATGAAAGGAAACAATATTAGAACATGTAGACAGTTGTTCCTTGCAGTTAAACATTAAAGCAGATTAATTTTCAGTATTGACGTAAATCAATTTGAAAAGAAATCAGTTAAAAGAGAGATGGCACCGCAACAAGGACAAAGAGGTATTGAAATTCAGATGAAAGTTCAGAGTGTCCTAGCAATCCTACCTGAATCAAATTTCATGAAGATAGTTGGACGAGTAATCACTAGATCGCACTTTCTCTTGTGTTTTACAGGCTTGAAGACAGTCTCTGTGTATTCATTTAACTCTCCATACCTATGAAACATGTCACAAACAGAAAATCTGTTGCTTTTCTGATCATAAGGTAAACTGCCTTTACATGAAACAATAAGTACAGTAACAATATGTTCTCTCGTAGACAGATTCAATAAATGGTTCCATGCTGAAGATGTTTTACAATAGTCCACATAATACTTACGGTAATAAAACGATTCAGACCACATCTAAGATTTCAGTATACAAGTATCAGATAAATGTGTCAATCTGATATCCCTTCTAGAGCTTGAATCAGATAATAGTTCAAATAAAACTTTCCAATGTCCATTTATGTTCATAATCCCACAATACAATTCCAAAATACTTTGTAATGTATAGGACATATCTTGGACTTGCACAACTACAACTGGAGAACCCTATTCTTACTCTCCAATTTATTTCATTTATGCAATTTCCAGCAGAGTTGTACAAAAACAAAAACGCAGAGACAATGGAAGTAAGAAATACACAGACTTTTGCCTGAGAATAGCCATAAGGAAAGTAATTCCTGTATTATAGTAGGTACTCCTCATTAGCAGGTAGGTAGTTTACAAACATAGATAAAAAACAAACAATCACAATTTGTACTGACAATAATAGAGAATCAATAAAAAACTGTTTTAAGTAGAAGACATTGAAGAGATAGGAAGAATGCTTCCAAGACCATGCTCGCCACAATAAGATGTAGGCTTATCAAAATGATCACCTCTGTACAATTTTCAAAAAGATGATATAAGAGATGGTGACTGAAAGTAACTCACCATGACTGTAGTTCTGAGAAGTGTTTACTCTGAGACTTGAGGTAGTCTCGGTCCAGCTTGCAGTGGCCACCAACTACACCTGGCTTGTTGAAAGCTTCCACACTAAATCTGTGAAATCGAGGTGTAAGAAAATTCATATAAGATGAATCTAAACAAAAAGAAAGGATATCAATATGCCTGTATGAAACACTGGAAAGGCTTATCCTGTTCCATGTGGTGTGAATCGCAGAGGTGGATTAGTTTGCAATGTTTAGTAGCCTCATAGTTTGACTGTGGGGGTCATTTTTCTGTAAAGCTATTTGAGTAATAGTGCAACAAAAGAAGAGTCCTGTGCATGCAACAATGAGTATTGAAAGGATGAACATTGGGATGATGCATACAATAACTTTCATATTAGCTTCTAGAGTAATCAATCAGGCAAATTATAAATAATATTTAAATATAAATATATACATATCTTTTATTTTTACTAAATATAAACTAGATGGATATTCAACTGCGCGCAGTTGAAAATGATGCCTCTATCCGCCATAGAGCGATTTTACAATGTAATCTATTAACGATCTTTGACCTCATGACCCTAAAATCTAATCAGTTCATTAGCTCTGTAAGATACATACATCTCCTGAGTTTGATAGTAATCCATTCGTCGGTTCTATTGACAATGCATTCACAAGCTATTTTTCCATACATAATGAGCCCTATGACCTTGTGACCCCAAAATCTTATCAGTTCATTGGCTCTGCAAGATACACACATGACGTAAGTTTTGCGGTAGTCTATCAATCGGTTCTTGAGATAACGCGATCACAAGCTATTTTTGCATACATAATGAGCCCTGTGACCTTTGACCTTATAACCCCAAAATCTAATCAATTCATTGGATTGGCTTTGCAAGATACATACATGACCTAAGTTTGGCAAGAATCCATCAATCGATTCTTGAGATAAAGCGATCACGAGACAGACGTACAGACGTACGGATGGAAGGACAACCCGAAAACATAATTCCTCGGGCTACTTTAATTGTAGAGGCATAAAAATAAGTCTACTTACCTTTTACGATTGTGAGCAGATTCAAGCTTTCTGAGATCAAGGTATAAATTCTTGGCTCGACAGTGACGTATGAGCTCACTGCACTCCAGTAATGAATCATCCTATTAATGGCAAAAACAAAAATAAATATCTTACAAACACAGGTATCTGAATTTGAAATGTGCACTCAATTATTAAAACGTTTAAAGCTGATACTCTAAGACAATCCCAAATACTGAGATAATTACATAAATAGAAAGCTTTTAACCCCCATAATAACACCAAATGGTGTCCACCCGACAAAACAAGTTTAGAATAATGAATTTATTCGAGTAAACTCTACCAAAATATCTAAGTCTGAAACCCGGAAGTGCACGTAGAGTCGGGCCTCTATCCGTGACGTCACGAACGGGAGTCATGGGCTCAGTGAGAGTGAATGGCAGTGATATCCCTACGTAAATGCTATCCTGTCAGAGCTTAGATTTGTTGTTGTTAAGGAGTATATTTGATGGATTTTCTGTTTTCATTTGAATGAAGAATAACGAAGCAACATTTTCCAGTCGCTGATTTCTTTTTATATCCTCATATTCACCTATTTGGTAGAGATTTAAGACGAGTTTACTGCTTAGGAATTAAAGTTAAATCGTGCACTTATGAATAGGCGGATGCATTATAAATTATTGTCATCAGATGTACATGAGCAGTTTTGTAAAACGAATAGGTCTAGAACTATGATAGTACTTATCATAGATGTGTGTGACTGCCTCAAAAAAGGATACAGTACCAGTTAAACATTTTATGTTGTAAAATATCAAACTTGAACGAGATCATGCAAGCGCGCTTCCTCTATAATATTTTGGCGAGTGATGCGGCTCTTGCATGAACGTTCGTGGAGCGAGCAGAATCGGGAGGTAAGACCAAGCCGCTGCTCTAGGCGCTGCTTTCTTGTGAAGGAACGTACATGTACGTGCGCTAGTTATATGTTTATCGGCAATTGCAAGAGAATGAAAGTGACGTTGCCAGCTAAGAAAAACAACTAACAAAGACTTGCTCCTGACTACCGGTGTCAGAATTGGTAGATGAAGGATGTTCAGGGCCAAGGAAGGCGAAAGACATGGGAAAAAGGAAGAAGAAACCATCGGGAGATCGCTGCAGTGTATGGTAATGAACTGTGCATGGGTAGACAGCTACTGTTCACTCCGTGCCTAGGCCGATTTCAACACCAAAACAAAAATTACATGGTGAAAATATCGACTAATAGCACATCGTTGGCATGTATATGTCATAATTTTTAAAAGGGGAATTGATATTAATACTATGAAGTACTAGGGGAAGGTAAAGAATTGTACATAGAATTATGATTTATTAGGCTTTTCAGCCTTTGAAACAAAAATATGCAGAAAATCGTATAACTCTGCACATGTTTGCTATGGAACATCCGGGTACGTGAATATACTCTCTCCCGGACGTGAGGTCATAAATAGTAGACCAGCGTCGTGACTGATTTTCTATGCAAAGAGAGGCGGATATTTTAGACATTTCAATTGAGGATTTCGAGTAGACAGAATTTTTTTGTGATATACTAAGTAATTGAAAAACTTAAAAATAACATATACTTACCGTAGGTAACAAATTAAGGGACATTTATTTGCTTAGAGTATCAACTTTAAGTAAAAAGAAAATATTTGCATCATTTTCACTCCAGTCACAATAGATTAGCAAATAAATGCCAAAAATAATGAAACATAAATGCTTATACAAAAGATTGTTGATTGCTAAGCAAGTAGAAGTTAAAACACTCCCTGATCCACAAACAAATGTATTTTATTTTCTACATGACTTTTTTTATCTGCATCTCTAACTGAACACATTAATACCATGATCACATATATTGCGTGCCTAAGTTTCAGAAAGCATTTAAAATGGTTCTAGTACACCTACCCCCCCCCCCCAGTCAACTACATGTACCCTCTAGGACAACTACCCCCTAGGGCAACCACCCTCTAGTATGACTACCCCCTGGGACAACTACCCCCTCCCAGTAAACTACCCCCCGGACAGACAACTACCCCCCCCCCCCCCCGGACAACTACCCCCTACGACAACCAACCTCTAGGATAACTATCCTAAGAGGTAGTTGTCTGGGGATTAATTGTCCCAGGGGTAGTCATCCTAGAGGGTGGTTGCCATAGGGGGTAGTTGTCCTAGGGGGTAGTTGACTGGGGGTGGTTATCCAGGGGGGGGGGGGTGTCTAGGGGGTAGGTAAAAATTGATGATAATGCTACTATACCTCTGACTTTGGTTCACATATAACTTTCATTGTTTCTATAGTATGTTTGATGAAACCAAAATCAGCCTGGGTCCAAAACAGTTCCTGTTGTTCTTCAATATCCTTCGCCCTATAGAAAAAAATGAATGATATAATGAGTATTATGCACTATAGAAATTACTTTCATTTTCATCAATGTTATTATTTGAAGGCTTCTACAGTGATACACACTCATCCTGAAGATGATACAACCTATCAAAATGTCAAGATAGATCATGAGTGGGCCCTTTTCAAGGCCAACTAACCCTGTCAAAAGATTAAGTAGCAACCGCAAACTTCACTCAAATTGTTATTATTATTAAAGATAAACTTGAGTTCTGGTAAATATGAAAAAATAAATTCTCTCAGAATCCAACAAAACTTACACTGAATGATCAAAATTACAAATAAATGAGATGTGCCAAACAATTCTGTAAATATGTGTTTTTTTCTCTCTCACTTTGTTCAATTAGTATAATTGTTTTTGCTGTTGCTGTTGTTATCATTGTCATTTTCTGTATGTTCTGTAAATGTGTGTATATTCCCTTCCAATATATCCAATGAAAACTCTGAGCATTATGAAATGCACAACAAAATTCTTTCTTCCACATGTAGTCAATAGACCGATTTCACTGTAGTTCTTCAAATTCAAATCCATAAAGTCATATAACCTCAGTGATATGTTACTTTTTAATGATATACTAACAATATATACTCACCAACCTATAGCTAGTTCTGTACAAACAGGAAAATTTGGATACTGGCTGACAAGGCACCCTTCTTCATAGCCCCAACACCTCGCCTGATCTAAATCTGCCTGTTACAATTAAAGTGTTTGTGTGGGTGGGTATGAAAGAGAGATTCATATATATTTGGATAAATTCACATTTCTCAAAGATGATCAAGACAAAATACAGATGGTGTGTTATTATTATCATCATCATCATTATCATCATCATTATTATAATTATCATTATTACTATTAATATTATTATAATTAGTATCATCATTATTATCATTATAATCATTATCATCACCAACATCCATCATTTTACTGAGTATTATTATTCTACATTATCATCATCATCATCACAATTTCCTTTTTATATCAGCATTCATTAAAAAAAATGTTATTCTGAACTTCACCTAATAGAGGGGATCGAATACCAAACTTAATCAATATGATGGTCAGGACTCTCCTCCCTGAACAACTCGTTGTGATTTGCATGTGTATCACTAATATACCCCTTTTGTGTTTTGGATTCTTAACGTCCAAAGGCAGCGACTTTTCTACAAGGGGCCTACATTTATCATGCTATGAAAAGGGATGACATACATGGATTCCAGCATTACACTATAGCCTGCATCTTTAAAACACATTGGGCAAGGATACGTACAGCAACACATTTCACACGCTCCATTTTCTGCCTGAGCTACATTTGAATCCACTAACTTTGGTTCATTACAGCTAGGTTGATCGCCTCCAACTCGCCTCTTCATGAATCAATTACTTTTAAATAGATATTACAAAGGAGAGTAGGAGACCTCCAAAAATTACCTTGTATGGACAGCTTTCGTCTAGCCTACAATCCTCTGCCATTTCGGGGTGACTTTGAAAGAAAAAGGGGTATTGGGATGGGGGAAGGTTGGGGTCATTAAACTTTCTTGAAGATCCATCTGAAACTCCTTGGGAGAAAGCTGAACCAACGTAGAAAGCAACACAGAGCAACCAGACAGACTCCATACCCATGTTGCTCATGTTTCGCACAGCTTCTGCTGAGCTGAAAGGAATGAGGAGAGAACAGATGCTTTTTTTTAATGATTAACTAGTAATGAATCAAAATGGAAACATACAAATAAATAATCATAGTAACATGACACTCTTTACATCTAATAGTCCAATAAAATGTCTTTTTTTGTTGTTGCTTGCTTGTGTCATAGTACTTACTTACAATATAGGAAAGAGAAAAATTGATTTTCACATATTAAATAAACATTAACCCCCTAGCGAAATTGTGCACATCTGCCTATAAAACTAACCCATATCCTCCCTCCCCCTCCTCCCCCATCCCCTTAAGAAAACAAAGACAATTAGAAATCTGCATTTTCTTTATTCAATGTTGGTTGTATCAGGACAATTACCCCCTGGAGTATTACCCCGAAAACCCACCCCCTCCCAAAGACAACCACCCCTGAGGACAATTACCCCCCAACCCCCAAGGATCACAGAGGATAATCACCCAACAACAGCTACCCCCTCCACAAAAAAAAAAAAAAAAAAAAAAAAAATGACCCTTCCTATTCAAAAAGGGAAATCCAACCCAAATAGACAACTACTCTAAAAGAAAGCAGAAACATCAGAGGAGCTAACAGATAAATTTTAATTAAATCTGAATAAATATAAGAAAGTTATGAGTTTTTAAAGTTATAATCACTATTATGTGGGCACTTCAAATTGGCTGAAGCAGTAACGTCAACATGATGTAGTGCTGGACTATAAAAGGGAGAGGGAACTTACAAGAAAAACAGAAATTGTTGATATTTGTTTACAAGGCAAATGGGAGTTATCTACGTCCTACGTCATAATCCACTGACCAAACTACCACTTTGAGATTCGCATAGACTTTGTGATCTCATATTTCAAACATGCATAACTTCCTTATTATTGGTCCGATTTATTTCAAACTTTTGCCATTTTGTTTCTGTTAATTATTTTTCTGCTTTTAAACATATCAACTTATTACAAGGGTTGGAATGTCTAGTTGGTTTTAATAAAAGCTGATCTTCTTTTTCAGGGGGGCCGGTAATTGTCCGGGGGGGGGGGGGGGGAGTGGTGAATGTCCGATGGGGTAATTTTCTGACTGCTGCTAGAAATATAGATCTATATATATTAGACCTAGATCTATATTTTACAAATTAAAAACCCAGCAAAATCAAGAAGTCGCAGTCGAAGGGGAATTAAACATTTTTTAGCATTTTATACGACTCTTAACCTGCAGCTCTAAACGACAATAATTAGCTTACGATGTGCTACCAATTTTAACATTGCCAAAACAACTTCTTTTTTGTTTTGGCACTTCAAATAAATTGAGAAGGCCTGTTCTACTTTTACTTTTTCTAAAATTCTAGACCTTTTTAAAGTTTTTATCTAGATCTAGACCTATAATATACAATAAATTACAACATATTCTAAACTACTACTGATGTGATCAACAGTAGGAAAACATGGTGAACAAAGGTTAAGGAGGCAAACATACAAACAAACAACAGGTCAATGCAGTACCACCAGCCTTCGACCTTCTATCTAAAGTTGTATGCAAAAGACTGGCACTGCACTCCATACATGCACAGTATACGGTACATGGTCGCGCGTATGTCCACCACGCCCACTCCATGACATGACCATTCTTTGAACAAACATAAAATTATATGAAACTTGAAGTTGAATCCAAATATATTTCACCCCCAAAAGTACACCTGTAAACTTGAAATTGGTCATGGTTCAACGGTAAGCCAAACAATATTATTATTTCTGTATTAATTAACTATTACCTATCTATACAGCAATCAGCCAAGTTTCACCTAGATCTACCAAAATAAAAGTAAGTTACCAAGTTCGGTCGAGTCACACGTGTACGATCCTGGAAGTTTTTCAAGAGCGACAGTAAAAATATGGAATTCATATAGGCGGTGCGGCGATAGGATTTTTCAATTTATTATCAAATGTAAAAGGTCATTACCTTTACATTATCTATTTTAGAAAAGAAAATTAGGATGAATGATTTAGAAGATATTACTGTTAGAGATAAACACATTTCAAAGAGTTTCAAAAGTGCCTGTAAAAGCAGACCAACCTTGACGTCACCGTCGGCCAAATATACACGCCAATCAGATGCTAATGATAGGCGCACGCTATTACATCAGTGCGCGCCAATCAGCATTTGCAAAGGAGAGGCTGGCAGCGCGGGTCACGAACTCTGACCTTTAGTCTGTCGACATCCTTCACAATTTTCAAGAAATTTTCTTCTAAAAGGTACGTAAAATTATTTTGTACTGAATTTTCGCGTTAAGTAATTTATTAATAACATAAATTTGAAATTTAGGTACTCTAAATCCAAAGGAAAGTTGTTAAAATCGGTATTAGTTGTGGAAGCATATGTGCTCGCCGTTGTGGTGTTCGGCGCACCGGCTATGCAATATCGTGTGTATTATTCTACGTGAAAAACTACGGAGCCTTCCCTTTCATCAGCGAGGAAGCCCCGCTAAATGTTATGTGCAAACAGTCGAAAGCCAAGACAGTAATTTAATTTTTCTATCGAGCCACCTTGTTTTCTACTAAAATTAATGAATATTACATTTACACATGTCTTAATAAATCAATGTAAATGTTGCATATTACTTACCACCACCTTGCTTGCTGTGAAATATAGAGGTGAACATGGCTTTGTTTTGTTCCTGTTTAACTTTGACCTTTGTGCACCCTTATCCATTCTTTGTATGCGATACCGGTATACGGTCCGATCCCCATCACACGCTGACCCTGTCCCTCGGCCTCTCTGAGCCCAGAGAGATGGGGGAGGTAGATCTAAATCTAATCATACAATTTTCTGCTGAACAAATAGGTCTACTAGTTCTTTGTAGGCCTACTAGAAAGTTTGCTGGATGAATCATGAGACATGGTGAAGCCTAGACCTACTTCTGAATAGACCTAGCTGAGATTGAGAAGGATAGCATTGCATGCAACCGAAGCAAAGCCAAGCAAAAGCCTGTATTTTGTAAATGGTGCACATGTCTTAATTTAAACTAAGCAGGACTAATGATTAGTTGGCATTGCAGAGACTGAGTCCAGCCTGAAGAAATGTTAAAACTGTACTATTTGTAGTAGCCTAGAGGAGCAAGAAATAGTTAACTCGAACTACATCAACATGGATAAGCACTGGTGGTCTGGTGGTCCTGAAAGAAAGTGCGCTTGTGGAAATAACATGAATTTCCAGCATTTTCAATTTGTACAAAAATTGTAGAACATAAGAAATCATGAACCAAATTTCACATTTCAAAAACTTAAAAAATGTTGACTCCTGTCATATTACTGTTAAAATAGATCTAAGCCATTTTCAGTTTTGCAATTTCTTAAAGGGGGTGTAGCATGACGAGACTACGTGTCTTTCCTGTGGCCTGACTCGGGGGGGGGGGGGGCAATCTGGTATAATACGACTACAGACAAAGTATTCACGAGACGTTCACGTGCATGCAACATGAGCCTAACTGAAGCATGAGGAGAACTTCGGTCTGTTTCGTGAACATTTAATAGAGTGTATGAAACTTGAAAAACAGCATATACATTCATCAAATTGACAGATAATTCAACCTACATATATATGGTGATGTTCTCTTGACATACAGTTTCATGTAAGCTTACAAGACTAATTTGAATTGTCTTTGACGCGGAAGATATGTTTTTAATAACGATTCAAACAATATGTGAAATATTCAGACCATATTAGATTCCCCAGCCTCTGACATCAAGTTGTCATGAAGAACAGCAGAGAAATCAAAGAATGTGATATTAATAGGAAATAAAAGTTTTGATTTTTGCAATCATTCAGAATTTCAGATTAACTTCAAGTTACTTGTCATTTGTCTAATTTCTTTAAAATAAAAAGATCAATTGAATTGTTGAACCCATTCTCCTCCATTGAAGCAAATGCATTCAAAGTAATTTTCTAATCCTCAAAAGTGGGGGAAAAGATCTTTTCTAAATATGTGTCCACCACCTAAATATTTAAAGGGAAAGTCCATCCTTGGTTTAAATGGAACCAGAAAACTTACAGACATCAGAGAATCTATTCAGATGTCCACTCCTAAATGACCAATGCTGCCTGGAAGACCTAGTGGCAGCAAATGAGAAGGCTCTTCACTGTGTACAAGCCTGGCAGAGTATTTGAGGTCAGATGCTGGTCACGAAAGAAGAATACAGAGTGTATATATCTTTTTCTTTAACATGATATTATTTATTTTTGTTGCTTGATAAATCTTTGTAGATATTTATCACAATTATGAAATTTTAGATGGTTACCATTTTGTGTTGTTGTTTTTTTTTAATTTAAAAATTTCATTTAGTTCTGAGTTTTGAGTTTATGATCGATCGGATGGGTGGTACATGCACAACATTACTTATTATAGGCTCTGTATAAGCTTGGCTTGTTAGAAATTATAACTCTTGTGAGTAATGTGACGCGGGATTCCATATCCTTAAACTGCTGGCTAACAGAGCAACAAGACCAAGCTCTGTAATTATTAGGATCTCTGTCCAGTAGTGCCGTGTTTGTGTCATCGAACTGGATCGACCAAATCAATATACAGTATATATATATATATAATATCTTCCCGTAACATAAGAGTAATTTTAATAGTTTCATACTTTTAATTAAATCTAATGTCAATTGTTATTGTATAATTGTTTTAAATGGTGGCACGCTACAAGAGTCCTATCTCGCACCCCGGGGCAACGTGTCTGACACGGCCGGTTGTAGCAACTACTCCTTAGATCAAGATTTAATCTTGATCTAAGGAGACACAAACGAACGAAGAGACATCAGTGAAAGTTTGAGCATTGAAATCCAATAATATTGAAATAAGAAAGTTATGAATGTTTATAGTTGCAATTGATCGAAAACAATTTGACAACTCTGACTATGACATATCCTGCAAGTTCCTCTAATTCCTCTCCCAGCTCTGTAATAGAAAAAAAATCATGAACTTCTATTTTCTCTAATGGAATATTATCAGTTAACCCTGTAAGTTGGGGCTTTGATCAGATCTGAAAATCGGAGCGACACCCTTGCATTTTTTTTTTTTTTTTTTTTTTTTTTTTTTTTTTTTTTTTTTACTGTTCTTTAAATTTTGAGCACTTCGATACCTAAATTCACTCATACATGTACCTTGGATAATTCTCTCATTTTAAGTTGTTGTATATATTGAAGCTACGAGAGGCTTTATAACATACAATGGAGAAAAAAATGCATCCCTACATTATAATCCGAAATGGCGCCTCACATGTTTTGCCTCTTCTCTTAGACTAATATTATTCATTCATTTGAAAGTCATGAAAAGGCGTTTAATATCAACAAACATGGTCTACAACAACTCTAAATGACCAAATAATCCTAGCCATGCTTCTTCTTTTTTTAAGCATTTGATAGACCAAAACTTGAAACTTTCTTAGCATATTTTGCTCAAAATTTCACTAATCTGTTTCCCTTATTTCTCTGTTTAAAAAACACACACTACATGTAAATGTCAGGGTGGTTGGACTTCCCCTTTCAACATGATCATGAATAGATAAGCTCCTCGATGGGTATAAAGTTCAAATCACAGCCTTTCACGTGCAAGACAGAAACACAGAAGGAAATGTGGTACTTAATCTGAACAGAAATTACTGATGGGCTGCCAAATGTTGGTGCTCGGTTTGAATATTATGTGAATTACTAATAGGCTACTAAATTTAGGCTACATCAATCAAACACTGGTAAAACATTCCTCAGATTCTCATTTATTATGACAAGAACTGGGACGAATGATGATGACAACTCAGGTTGTTCTTAGATTCGTTTTAACTTTAAATGTACCGTAATTAACGGTGTATAGACCGCCCTCGTGTATTAACTGCACCCCTCTTTTTCGCCCTAAATTTTTTTTTTTTGAATTGCCCACTCTGTCGGCAGCAAGCCAGGTCCGTGTTAAAAAACCCTCGCGGGAAGGTCTTTCATTTAACTACGAGGTGCAGCTTAATGTGTAAGATCATTAATGTAAATTAAAAAAACATTAGAGGACCTAGGAATCTAGAACCTTGTTGTACGCCTTGTAATAGAAGAAAAATTAGAGGAATTATTATTATAAACTACATATTGAGATCTATCAGAAAGATTACTTTCAAACCAAGATGAGAGACTAATTTGTGTGTTGTTCTAGTTTCCGAGTGGTGAGTCAACACACCGATTACTGAGCTGGGAGACATTGCCAGGCATTGCACCAGGTGGAGGGGCATAAATCGAAACTTTAAATTTTTGTTTTTTGTTTTTGGTGTACGGGTACCGTGTATAAACCGCACCCCCGACTTTGAATTTTTTTGGTGGCAAAAAGGTGCGGTTTATACACCGTTAATTACGATACATGGATATTTTTTGGGGGGTGTAAATTATTGAATTTTTTAGCAATTTGGATTTACTAATAATATAATTTTTAATGCTTTAACTCTAGCTGAATATATTGAACTTCAAATTCCTCTTTACTTTTTAGTAGGCAGGCTAGTGAGGCTACAACATGATTAGGTACATGTTCATGTCAGTGTGTAAAGACAAATTATGATATGATCAAACTTTACTTTACTTCATAAAAAAAAACCATAGCCACCTTCATAAAAAAAAATGTAAGGCATCCACATATGGACCTGTTATGTTCTGCTTTTGTAGTTTTGTTTCGTGAATTTGAGAGTTGAATATAGATTAAAACAACTGAACATTCAATGTGAGTCAGAGATTATACTGTATACCTGGAAGTAAATTAAGTATGATGTGAAATTTGTGTGAAGTGTATAAAGATTGATTAAATCATCACAATTCAGTTCTAATGTATTCGCTTTTCGGTGACTTCTATGTCCTTTGAGGGATAGAGATACATGTAGCCTAGACAATGTTTTGAGTTAACTAGAAATTCAAAATGGCTGGTAGCCAAAATGACAGGAAGTCTACTTCTGAAATGCAAGTCAATGCATTATCCGATTTACAGTGTCAGCCTAAGTTTTGTTATTTCAGACATGTTTATAAGTTTATAAGCAGTAGGAATTATATAAAAAGAAACGAAAAATTACAGTACCCTATTTGAATTGGAATAGCCAACATAGCAAAACATAAAAGTCAATAGTGATCCATGTATTTCAGCTAGTAAATCTCCTAATTCGTATAGACAGGTGCATTGGGTCATAGAGATGCATGCTCCTCTTTCCAATCTCTTTCAGTGTATACATTTTATTCTTATGATATTATAGCAAGATATGTTAGGTATTCAATGAAGTCATAGTCAAGCAGGTAAAAGTTTGGTCCATATTTCCTTTTGTAAGTCTGTTTTAAGATCATCTATTATTTACACTTGTACAGAATATTATCAGTTGGTTTGTACATGTATGTTTGACAATGTTTCAAATTGCCCCCTTGCCCCTTCAAATACTGTACATGTTTGTGCTAGTGAAACAGATAATTAGTATAAATTAGTGGAGAGCTTCAAAAGAGCTCTGAAAACCTAACAAAGTAGCTTTATAAAAGTAATACAGATCAGCTCAGGGAAATACACATATTTAATCTGAAACGTGTTTGTGCATTGTAATATGCAGACAACAGGAAAAATACATGATTGAAAACTACTGTAGTATGCAAATGATGCAATAAAATGTACAGTATAATGTTAGTTGTAGGAAATTAAAAAAAGATATTGCTTTTTATGCCTCCCCCACTAAAGGTGGTGCCTGAGGGTTGTCTGTCTAATC